AATGAACAATATGTGAGATAATTGGAATATGAGCAAAATAATATAATATTTGGTTCAGAATTGCCATGATGCTCCTTTGGAAATCAATGGATATTTAGAGGATGGAGCGGAATATTCCGTTATTCAAGTCATTGGAACTGGCTTGAAAACTGTTTCAATGCAAGACTCAAACGGTATGGAAATTATCGAATCTTTTGTTTCAATCTTTGAAAAAAAAAATAAATGCGTTCACTATTAATTAGAAACTTTGCAACAAATTAACTTCATTTACTCTCATCTCTAAGAAGGATTACACAACTTATTCGAACCCAAACTTCCTCTCCATGAAAATTAGTAAGAGTCATCTGTCCAACAATAAATCATCATTCGAAACGGAGTTTTAAGAATCGAATATATTCGCTAGTGGAGTTTGGAAACTATCAGCATTAGTCACCTCGGGTGGCTGCCAGATTACAGTAAGACAAAAAACTTNGATTGGTACCCCTCACCACCTATGGGTTTTAGAAGGTGACCCCATTGGAAAAAAACCTTGTTTCCCTTTCATGTACTGAGCCTCTACGTGGCGAAAGGGATCAACAGACTTTCTAGTCTGGCTAATCAGTACACTTTTGAACTTTTTTTTTGAATAAATATATTTTTTAATATGTCCAGTTGGTTTTCGGCCACCAACCCCCCTCCAATTTTTTGAAAACTTCTATTATTTTCGATTTCTGAAAGACACCAGTTTTTTTCATGTTTGAAATTGAAAACATGCCCAAGAGGGGTGTCTTTCAAAAATCGAAAATATAAGGAATTTTCCAAAAACTCTGTGACTGCAAAGTTTTCAATCTAGATCTGTTTTACACCCTTAAAAATATTTAAATCTATCGAAAACTTGACAGTCAAACTCCAGTCTGTAGAAAATGGTCGAAATTCAACTGAAAAAATACGTTTTTATAAACCTTAACACACTGTAGAACATCTACGCCCTCCCTCCCCTCTCCCGTTGTGGCCCTCATGGCGCAGCTGTGTGCGTGCGCAGCCATTGTGCAAAACGCCGCGGGTTCGGTTTTGGTGGCGGCCAACCTTTCATTTAAAAACTCAAAACCGGACAAAGTGACATGAGGACCAACAGACGCGTCTGGCGTTTTATATATAAGGAAGATCATTGGAAAACGTACATGACATTTTCGCAATTTCGTCCAGTGACGTAAGCTGGACATTTGCAATCAGTTGAATTGAGTGGTGTTCCATAGTTTTGACAATTGGCAAGTTGTGCACAAACTACTGTAACTAGTTGTTTGTATTGGGGAAGTATTGAAAAACATAAAAAATAGGAAAAATAAGATAAATATCTAAATTACCTGACGAGGCTGCAAGTAGTAAAACGAAGAAATTGACCAAACATCTGTGACTTCTTATCATGGTTCGATCTGTAATACTGTTATTGGTTGTTTTTCGACCTTTTTCTTAAAGGAGTCATTTTTATCGGAATAACGGAATAAATTTCTTTCCATTTTGGCTTGAATAACTAATCAAAAACTTAAAAAATTGTATTATGAAAAAGTTATATCAATTGGAAAATCTCTCTAGAATTAAGAACTAAAAAAAGGATCATAAGCATTGCATAGTTCAAAGAAATGTTCAAATAGACCAAGTTATATAAATCGAAATTTGCCACCCAGGGCATGAAATAAAGTAGGCTCTATTTGTCGGAGTTCCAATTAGTTCTAATGATATTTTTCTACTCAATATGTCAGAAATGAACTTTTATATGTATTTGAGAGCAAATCAAAAATTGTTTATCAGATAGGTACGAAATTGGACATTGAACTGATTAACCTGGCATCGCATTCAATTTATATAATTTTTCTGTTGCTATCAAAATGATCTGCTCTTTAAAAAACGAGTACAGCCTTTCAATTGAAAAACTGAACTTTGAAAGAAAATGGCAATTTTTAGCATCGCATTTTGTGGATCCTGTCAAAAATAAGACAGACACTCTCAATCAGAAAAGAATTCGGAACTGCAAACTTAAATTCGATTTACCATTTAAAAATTGATTGGCAAGTATGTAGCAAAATTTAAACATTTTTAATCTAGTTGCTGGAACATTTTTAATCTAGATGCTGGACTATTTATAAAAGTTCTAAGAATTAATAAGTTTTGTTGAATTCCTGTATGGTCCATTTCCGCGAGAAATATTCAACAAAAATTACTAGGATTGTCACAGAAAAATACCTCTCTCAATTTTAGACTCTCCTAAAAGTTCTGCAGCTCAAACCCTAGCATTTTTTGTCGTTTTATACAGGCGGATTTTTGATTCTCCTGATTCAAATTATTTTATAATCAAATAGCAGAGCAAAACTATGATTTCGTAAGGTTCTTTGATTCTAAAATAAGTTTAATTATATTAATAAGAAATTAAAAAGTCATTGTATAAAAAAGGACGAAAAAAATTGTCGAGATTCTTCTAAGCTATTTTGGGATATTAGACTTTACAGATTATGTAAGAAGATGAAAATGGGATTCTATTAGACAGCTATAGGTAACTAAACTCCAAAACTTAACAAGATCCTGAACATTAAGACTGACTATTTTCTTGAATATTGAAATTTTATCGTCGCCAGTTTTGAAAATCTAGAAACCCAGAAATACTGATTTTTATTCTGGAGAAAGAAAATACAATTTCAGAACCGAAATTTTTTTTATCAAACAAACCTTTGCAAAAAACAGTTATCTATGAAATCAACGACCAATGATTTTCAAAGAAGGACGCATTGAAACTGCTCTCTGGTGTATGGTAAAAACTGTTGAGCACATCTGAAACAAAAAGCAATGTGCAGCTTAAAACTGTCACAACAACAACTTATGGAGGACAAAAAAAACTATGAATAAGAAAAACAAAATGAATTAGAAAATTTTCAGAAGGAATACGAAGAAAAAAATTAACTAATAACAGAAAGTAAAGTAGAAATACAAAATAACCCGAATTCAAAGACAAAATCTAGAAGGAAAGTTCCTGCAAAAAATGATAATAACAATCATAATTGTGATGGTTTTCAAAAGTGATTCGTTAATAGAGTCTACTATCCATCATTTCTCTCATCATTCCCGTCATTAATCCGTGTCGATTGTGGTTTGTTGTATCTGTATTCCTCGCATTTCTTTTTGCTTCTTCTTCAGATCAGATCGATTTTCCCGAGATAGCTTTCGGTTGTCTTCCTCTTTTTCCTCTTTTCTCTCTCTCTCTCTCTTTGATTGTTTTGATTGAATGTATATGTATGTAGTTCCTTTGAATAGACCCTCTTACTCACACCATTTCATCATAATCCTCCATTTTCGAATTTGCATTGACCGATTGCCGATCGACTAGTTTCAATTTTCGATTTGCAATAATTCTGAGAGGACGGGTACTTTTTTCCATCATTCTTCTCACACAGAATGTTTTTATTTGGTTTCTTTTCACTCTTTTTTTAAATTTTCTAGTTGACTTTTGAACACAATAAATTCTGAGAAGTCGTTTGCAGGCAATTGAAAGAAATAAAAATATAGGAAAAGAAGAAGAAGAAGACGTTCTGCAGAAGAAGAAGAATTAAGAGAAAGCAACGGATGTCCAGCGGAAACGGCTTTCTCCATAATAGTTATTTATTCGTTTTTATTTTATTCACTTTCAATCAGGTACGGTTTTCTTTCTTGGGTTTGGGAATTGTCGGGGTACAATATCTTTTTTCTTTGGCTCCTGTAGAATATATTAAAATGTGTCAACGGATAAAATGTTTGAGACAATATGATAAACAAATTATTAGTCGGCAACTCTTTGATATCTTTCACAAAAACCGAGATAAACTGGCTCAAAAAAAATGGGGTTATGCTATTACAGGTTTTACGGCATTCTAAATTTTCCTTTAGCATTTTACAGGTCAAAAACTCTTAAATCTGTTTGAGTATTTTTCTTAAGATATTTTTCAATAGAAGTTTAAAAAACCATTTCAAATTTCAGTTAGTCTCCAGTTTCTCATTCGAGCAGTGCAATGTAACGAGGTCGTGTTGGTTTCACCCTCCAGAATGTAGTGCAGATAACACGGCAGCATGCCAATCAGGTGTAGAATGGCAAATGCTTCCAGAAGGACTATTTCTACAAGTATTAGTTTTTTCTAAATTTTTTTGATCTTAAGCTTGCTGGTTATGCAGCCTTATTGTTCCTATTTTTCAGCTAGAAGCAAAAGTCCACGATCTGGATCAAACACGTCCGTTCTATGCAGCGCTAGGATTCAGCTTCAATCAGAGAATGGTAACCCTCTCTTCTGCCAAATTCTCCCAAGATTCTTATCATTCCAGGATGATGATACAGTTTTCGAATGTGTTGTTCCGCACACGGGAGACGGAAAAGTGCAAATTTCGTTTAACGATGAAACGTTCAATCAGGTTTTGCCACAGGTTTGGGGTTTTATTATTTTGAATTGATATGTGTTCATTATTTTTACACAGGCGTCATCAGTACTTTTGACGGAGGGAACCACTTCGTATATTGATGGAGTGCTGACCTGCAGTGCCAAGTTATTGTTGGACAATCGACCATTGATAAGTAATGATAGCCAATTCATGGTTCATGATCTTGAAACTGGTTCTTATCATTTACTTTTTGCAAGAGGAAGTGCCAATAAGTACAGTGAGTTTTTATGGATTTTAATGGTGAGAAGGATTATTTAAAAAAAACACCGATTTGATTGAGTTCACCACATACATTAGAAATAAATGAAAAAATAAAAACTATTCAGCACTCGAAAAGGACATTCACTCAACGAACGATGGACAACAATTTCCATGGATGTCCGATGAACAGGTATCATTTTGTCGCACGAATTGCTCATCACCGAACCTTTATCATATCGGAGAAATGAGACAAACTTATAATGTAAGCAGATATTGGAGATACAGAATTGCAGTATGGCATGGTAGGTGATACTTTCAATTTCTCCGCTTTACAACGTATTTAGGAATCCTTCTGATGTTTGCCTGGTGGGTTTTGGTATCAAATGCCATTCTCATCAGCCGATATTTCAAACCTCTGTTCCCTCGCAACAAACTTCTGGGAACTGCTGTATGGTTTCAGGTATAAACCTTCCGAACTCCCGATAACAATTTTTAATTTTCAGCTCCATCGTGATATGATGATTCTCTCGGTCGTCATCCAAATAATATGTGTTCTTCTTATTTTTTATCAAGCCGGATGGGTCTGGTATCAGTGTTCTTACATGTGCACTTCTGATGATTTCTCCAAGAAAATGCATGCAATAACTGGATTCACTGCAACTGTGTTAGCTCTTCTTCAACCGATTTTTGGCTTCCTTCGTCCCTCTCCAACATCCAGTATTCGTCCAATTTTCAACTGGGGTCATTGGTTTATTGGAATGTTCTCTTGGTCTGTTGCATGTGAGTGATCAGTTACTGGAAACGAATTTATACGAAATTAATTTTAGCAGCCACCATTTTTCTCTCATTACCAATGGGCAAAACTGGTTTGAGAAGGGTTTATGGTCATGTACCGGATTGGATTGCAATAGGATACATGCTTTTCTTTGTTGCTTGTAATTTAATTCTAGAGCTGATTACTGTAACAAGCAGTAATAACAAAGTTGGTGAGTGTTTATTAGGGATTTAAAATTATAAACTTCGATTCTGCTCGACAAATTATTCAGAAGATTCAGATATAACAATCGAGAAAATGAACATCCTAAAAATTCCTCCAAAAAAGTTTCATCTAAAATATGTATTTTTTATTAGCTCCTATTTAAAAACACTTTCAGAAGGAATCCAGCCTCATCGATTTACAGTTGGTCCAATGGGAATGGCACTTGCAAATCTAAACACTCCAATCAAAGATGCGCCCATTGAAATTCCCAAAGTATGCTTTAGACTCCTAAACCTTAGTTAAATAGTTCATTTTCAGCGTACAAAAGCCCGTGTCACAATAGTTTTAGTCCATTTAGTGGTCAGTTTATCCGTGAATGTTGCCTTCGCTGTAATGCTGTTCCGTGTTCTTTGGTCGCATTCTCCTTAGAACCATTTCTCTCCATTTCTTCCTCATTTTCCTTTTTTTCTATTTTTTTTCCACCCCCACAGGTCTCTTTCTCTTTCTCTCTCTATCTTTTTTCCCGAATGTTTCATGACGTGTATATTCTATACGAATCGAAATCGAATCATCACCCAAATATAATAACTTGTCTCTATTTTCTCTCTCAATTTTTATACACTTTATTCTTTGTCAATTGTTTCGTCAAAAAAGAAATTACAAGAAAAAAACAACAACAACACTGCCATGAAAAGTGTGTGTGTCTGAATTAATAAAGCTGCAAATTAAGGATGCATTTTACATTTTTTGGAAGAATGGGTCAGGAGGGAAAGTCTGGACTAAGCGAGGGGAATGAATGAGAGAATGGGTTATAAATATAATTAAGAAATGATCTGATATTTTTATGAAGAAGGGGAAACAGGAAACATTTTGAACTCGTAGGGTATTGTCACGAATTGGGCATCACTTTTTCTTGTCCACATCGATTGGCTTCTCTTTGGTCGCGGTGCTTGATGATTCTGAAATTATTAAAAATGGGTAAAATCTCGGCTTGTGAAATCTAATCAGAAGTTGAGGGGCTTGGTTGTTGGAGAGATATTGTGCAGGTTCTAGTTGGAACTTGCCCAACAACGGCCGTATGGCGGATCGAAGAATTTTGAACCGCTTTTAGTCAGATTTTGGTCAGAATTCAAAATTTGAAATATTACTAGGTCAAACCTTGTCATGAGTTTGTCGGAGTTTAGTCGGCTTGGCTTAGTATCCAAGGGTACATCGAAAAAGAGAAAGTTTAGTTCTTAGGGTACATTGGTTTGTAAGGGTACATGGGATTTTGTGGTCATGTGGGAAGACGAAAAAAGCAAATTTTGCTTTGTGCTCAAAATTATAGGCTTAGGCTAAAACGCACTACATCCTGAGATCGCATGCACCCTCTGAATCAATGCTCCCTTAGAACTTGATGTACCCTTGATGTACCCTTTTTCGATGTACACTTGGATCCTGGCTTTAGTGGCTCATCCCGAATCTGACCAAACTCCGACTAGAAGTTTGCCGTTGGAACATAATAATTTCATAGCATGAAAGCTTCTCGTAAATGGGAATGTTTTTGTTGAATTCCCAACCGAACGGAAATTGTTATCTCACAGTAAAAATTAATTTCACATCTTCCCGGATCGTGAACACCTTCATTACACAAGTTCAGCCTCAGAAATGACCTCTCAAAAACCGTCTTCCAAATCTATGAAAATCCACTAATTGCCCAGAACTCAGAAAACCCAAAACTATTTTATTAATAACCACCCCTGTCCCATACCCCGCAACTCACGATGTTTGTTGGTTGGAACATCGACTGAAAGGCAGCTCGAGTTAGAGAGTGGATGCTCTGAAAATCAAATAAATTTTCAGCCGTGTTTTTTCCATGTTTTCCTCAAACCTCCATTGGTTTTTGGGGTCGTGGGCTGTCGGGAATCGAGTTTGGCGGCGCCAAATGTCCGTGACGGATAGCGAGTTCGGCCTGAAATTGGGTGTGTGTCGTTTTTTGTGTGTTTGATGTGAGAGAGTGATGTGTATTTTGAACTTTATGGGGAGGGCATCAAAGATGAGGGGAATACTCTCTTCTTTTAGTCACGCCTCGTCTACCCCATGTCTGGCTATTAATTTGGTGACCAGGATGAAGCTTCTGGACAATCCATAAAAAATCAAATTACCACCTCGAATAGGGATAGTTGAAGGCGTGGGCTGTTGAAAAAAACATGTTTTGAATGGGGAGAAAGAACGGGGGATAAGTTTGATGGATGTGTGGAAGGAATGGGACAAAAATGGCTTAGTGCCCTGGCGAGGGCCATCTGAGCTTTGAGGTTTGGAAGAAGAAATTCAAATATTGGAAGTTGATTTTAAATTATCAGGACAATGAGAATCCTCACGGTAGTGAGCATCAAAAATATTTTAAAATCTCAATAAACTTGATAGAATCTCAATTTGTGATTCAAGGACGAAGCGAGGATACCAATATACAACAGTAATGTATTATCCTATTTTTTGTAAAATGTTTAGCTCAATGTTTCACTAACTCATTTGGTCTAACAGAAGCTGAATATTCAAAACCTTACTGATTTGGCTTTTTTCTCCGACTCCTAAATTTAGCAACTCAAAGTTCAATCATTTTTGCCAAACTTCATCGAATGAGTCTTGTTTATTGACTTGGATTGTTCAAAGTCAACCCAAAAATTGCACTTGCTAAACCCAATTCTTTGAACCGAACAAATTTTCTTAACTTGTATTTTTAAAACTAAATAAAAGCATTCAAAAAGAACTCACATCGTTGGAATCCTGTCGGAACGCCATCTGTCGTACCAAACTAGCTCTGCGGACCTCTAGCATCGCATACTCGGAAAAATCTCTCGATGGGGGTCTTGTTCAAATAGTGCACAAGCAAAATGAAGAAGTTTGGTAGAGAAGTAGTTTCTGAAATGAAATGCTGCTGATGATGAGACGAGAAACAAAAAAGAGAACTCGAAAAAACGAAAATAGGTGAAATGGAAACGGGGAAACGAAGCGTCTAAACTAAACTTGCGAACAAACAAAGCAATGAGGAAAAAAAGAAGAAAAAAGGAAAAGAAGAAGAAGAAGAAGGGGTGGAGAGAGAAGAACCAAAAGGACGGGAAATGAGAAATAAAGAACGGCTCCGGAGGATTCCGGCTGCTACGGTCGGTTTCCTTTAACGGACCAATTTTCAGAGAGCAGGAAAAATGAAGCCGTATTTATTTGATGAGAATCAATCAAGTAAAACTGGAAGAGAAAAAAGAAAAGGAGGGGGGAATTAGAACCCAAAAAGAGCAGCCAATGAAGGGAAAACGAGGAAGAAGAAGGAGAGGTTGGGGTCCCGAGCATCCTAATCTTGTCGGGGGAAAGTAATCATGACGTGATGATGGAAGAGTCTCTCATTCTTCAAGAAAAAGACTTCTACAATCCAAAACAAAGCAAGTCTCCTCATTTTGTTTTTCGAATTGGTAGAAGGATCTTTGATTCTTGGCAAAAAAGGGGCGAGAGTATAAAATCAAATTGCAAAGGACAGCAAAATATGTTCCCGTTGTTCATATTCTTCTTCTTTTCAGAGTTTCTTGGTGGAGCACAACACAAAGTGCTGAAAAAGGAAGCAGAGGATATATTATTGAGTAGAAAGTATAGATTAGTTGAAAAAGATTCAGGGAGAAAGCATAATTATGAGGGAGCTGGGAAAAAAGTGACGTTCAGAAATTATATGTCTTGAGGGAGTTTGGGCTTGTGTTGAAAATGTTTGCTGCATGCAATCACGTGATTTCGGATGTTTATTAAAGAAATAGAATCAAGTTGGGAGTTTTGAAGAAAGGAACTATTTTTCTGCTAACAAGAGAAGCCCTATAGTAATATTCCATCATAAAGATCAAAAATCGAAGATATTCTCCCAGGCGGTAAGTTTTTTATGGATGACATAGTCATACTTGAACCAGAACGTTATCTAGAAGCCAACAAAATTTGATATATGGAGTTTACTTGGTTGTGAGAAAAGATGAACGGAATTTTTATCACAACTTATAAAGATCAGTTGATTAAAACTGATCATTGCTGAAAAATTCGATTTGTTTTTGGGATTAGTTTTCTCTCTCTGTTTCATTCACAATTCATTATGAGCGTTTTCGACTAATATGTCTCACAGAAATTTCCCAAGAAGTTACGAAAGATTTATGTTCAAAAATACTTGGAAACAGCAAAACACGCATAACAAGTCAATATGCAAAACTCAATACGAAACACAATTTTTCCTATTTCTGTCTTATCATTTTATGAAAAAAATAAGGTCATCATTTATCGAAGAAAGGGGAGGGCGTTCGGAAGGGAATGACATCAGTGGTAACCGACGAAAAAATGTTTGCATTTCGGTTTTTTGCTAATTCTACATCGGTTGAATAAATAAGCGTCTATAACAAATTTTTCTTGAAAAAAAAATCATCCGAATTGACTGAACAGCGCATTATGTCATCCTCTGTTCGGCGACCAAATCGTAAAAAAGTTGCAAAAACTGGTAAGTTGGCTAGTCAGATCTAGCTAAAGGATTGATAAATCAAAAACTTCGATTTCTTTTTACTCGCTTTGGAATTCAATTCTCCTAGCTCCAAATGTTCTATTTTCAAAAGGAAATCAAAGAAAATGGAATGCGGAAAAAAACAAAGGAAAAGTGAGGATTTCCGGTCTCCCATAGCAAAAAAAATGGTGTAAAATGTTGCTATGGTCTATAAATGGTCTTTAAAGAATTTGTGTCAACCGATGTTGAATGTTTTCAAATCGATTCAAGTTCGAATGTGTCTCTTACCCTTTTTAAAAACTCTTACATTTCACAAAAATTTCCAATGGAAGAAAAACGAGACAAGGAACACAATTCTCTTCTCGCTCAAGCTCACTTTTCGACTCAAAAAAGGTTCAAAAAATGGGGCTGTCCGCCTAGCAACGAATCGAATGGATACCAACAGAGAGTGCGAAGAGAGAAAAGAAGAAAATACACTTTTTTTCACTCTCTTCCGGAGTCACAAAAAACATTCAAAGTGAGTTTTTTGGAAAAAGGAAAGAGGAGAGAGAGAAAGGTGACAAACTGGATAATAATTGCTTCCGGAACACAGAAAGTTGCTTTCTGCACTTTTCTTTTTTTTCAAAAGAGACAAGTGGAAAGGGAACTGCGACTGGGAAACAATAGAAGGGGATGAACGTTTCGAAAGTGACGTTTCTCTGGTTTTTAGAGTAATGAGCCAATCTATATTCAGTTTGGAATGGGGTGAAGAAGGCGGGTAAAAAGGATAAGGATGCAAGAAAAAGGAAATTGGGTTGTAGAAAATTGAGTCACATTTCAATCGAGATCATTGGGTTTATAAAATAATAGGGGTTAGAAAATATAGAGGTTCCAAAAATATGATTTTTCTATAACTTTTTGTAGGTACAAGAGATTGGAACCAACTGAGAAGACGTTGGTTTTCAATAAGGAAAGGTGTTTTCTCAACTTCTGGCGTCTTCACGCCACCCCTAACTTTAATTTTGAGCCAGTTTATCTCGACTCCTGTGAAAGATATCAGAAAGTCAGCTAGCAAAATAATTTTCATGTTAAAATTAACATTTTATCAGTTGACCATTGTTTCGTATACTTTGCATTTTTTCGTATACTGCCAAGGTTGACGGTTTGCTGTGCGTTCTATTAGAATTTACGTTATGTTAACTCCGGATTTCCGAAAAACCGCCTAGAACTCCTCATTCTCAAAACTAGTCTTAAACTTGGACATTCTTTGAACAGCTTTTTTCCTGAAAATCTCCAGGTTTTCCCAACTTTAGGAATTACTCTGGCACCGCCCTCAGTTTAGGCTTGACCCGCTTCATTTAAATTCTGAACTCAACTGAATACGTTTTTTTGGTTGTTGATCATTACTTTGAATCTTTAGACGTTTCCAAAATTTGAATGAATTTTTGAATACGTTTTTACTGACTTTTTCTGGTAAATGATCTCACTTTTCTCAGATTTTCAGAACCAGTTGTGCTCAAAGCAAACTGGAAAACAAAACCCGGATACAATTCAAAGAACAGAATGAAACCATGAATTACGAATTCTTCTGACCAGAAGAGTACATATAATTTCAAGAGAGTGTAGTTCTCTCTCACATGACATTCATCTCGAAAAAAAGACAGACTACGATAAAAAATTGTTGAAAGAAATGACATTATATACGTCTGATGCTGAAAATCTAGAAGATTGGATTATGATAGATCGCATCGAACAGCTAACCCCCGAGGGAAAAATACAAAAGAAAAGAAAACAATTTGGGGTGGTGAGAAGAATGGGAGAAGAGAACAAAATGCTTGAGTTTTCTAAGCTAAAAAACAGGAAAGTGCCGTCTGGTATCCATGGAGATCGGGGCAAAACTATGGGAAAAATATACGGGGGGGGGGGGGGGTTTGTTGAGCTCTTATTTTTTGCTTTCAATATTTTTCAACTAATCACCATACGAATGGAAGTTGGATTGAAATGAGTAGGTAGGTGAGAAGAGTTAGTTTTGGGAAACAGAAATCGTCAGTGGAGCATATAAAAACTGTATGTTCTACTTCAAAATCTTTGTAGAAAATCATATACTATTTTTGACGGTATTTATGATTTTTCTGTAAGCGCTAAAGTTACTTTATCTAATGCTCCTGCTCCCCAGAATATACTGAAAAAAATAGGGTAATTATACTTTGTACAGAACAAGATTAGAACCCAAAAAGTTCGAAAGACGACCCACCACTACATAAAAATAGAGATAGTGAGCTCCCCATTCGAAGTGAAACCCGACGCCGCGCTTATTCTTTGGGAATAGCCATTTTCAAACAAACATGGTGAATGATCAACACCCGGCTACTTCTCCTACTCTCAACGGAAATATGTGCGCGACTTTCAAAAAATGTCGAGTATTTTCCTTTTTCTTCTTCTTTCACTCACTTCTGAATGCGAGCAGCGTAGAAAGATTAGAAAAAAAGTAGGTGTGATTGGATTAAAAGAGGCACCAATTGAAAAGAGAAAAGAACAAAAGAGAGAGAAAGATAGAATGGCAGTGGATAATCTTCTGGTCTTCTGAAAGCATGTGGAATAAGCTGAAAATGGAAAAAAAAAGTAGATGGAATGAGAGAAAGAAAACCGAGAGATAGGGACCACCAGGAGGTGTAAATAAGTGGAAGAGGGCGGCAGGAAAATGGGGGGGGGGTTCTTTCTTTGATGGCATCATCTACGGAAAAAATGCTGCTGTCGGGTTCGAATTTCAATCACAGACATTTTTAGCACATGAAACACGAACCGTTTTGGTTCGAAGCTACTGTCAACATTTTCGAACTCATCACGCCATTTTTTAGTCGTGGAGGATAAGCAAAAACAATATGGAGGTGATATACAAATGTATCAAGGGGCCAGTGAGCATTTTTTTTGAAATCAGTGACTTTTTGTGAGATCAAGCGTCAGTGACTTTTTGTGAGATCTTTTTGTGAGATCAAGCCCCAAAAAACGTAAAAAATCACATCGTACCTAAATCACATCGTACCCTCCGAATTATGTGCTTCTGAAAAATCCCTGTTGGATAAAAGAGATCTCACTCAATGTTTGTTTCTATTTGTTTCAGGTATACCTTAAAACTGAACAAAAATTTGAGTTTATTTTTCTGGCTTCTAGGCATGATGTCAAAAATTTTTCTACTATTTTTCTACGAGCGGAATTACATTTTCCGTCTTCTGTGAAGTCCAGATGAATCACAATTGACAGAAGACTAGATTTTTGCATAGGATTAATTGAGTTTTTATTCAAATTTTTCGGAACTCTTTCTGCTGATCACCTAACTTCAACACTGATCTGAAAATTCGAATCTACCGTATTGTCCCACTCGATGTTTGGTATTTTTTAAAAATATTTTTAATGGGAACCGATTTTGCTTTTATTACATGTTTTCCGATATTTGAAAAGTTTTCTAAAATGGTTACTGTATCTTATTTCATATTTGACAAAATTCCGGAACCAATGCGAATCGGGAAAAATATAGGACTATGCAAAAGGAAAATATTCCTAAGAACGCTTCTAGTGCAATTTTGTGAGGTAGCTGCGTTTTCCGGATAAAGACAGAAATCCTGATTTCAGAAATTGTACGCAATGTTTTTACTTATAATAACTGGAATCTTTACAGTGTCGGTTACCTAAACTTCTTTTTTCTTAGTTTTTGATACATCCGAACCATTTCTGAAGTTTACAGTCACCACGTTCCGTTCTCTCTTACTTTGGAATTTCCAAATCTATACGAAACGCTTGACTTTTGCCCTCCAATTTCCTGAATCAATCACCTCCGTTTTTCTTGTTATCACAACAGCTCCGTAATCGGAAATAGAGTTTTCATTTTCTTTTTCTCTCTGTTGCTCAATCTGAGTATTTCTCAAAACGTTCGTTCTCTCTCCCTCTTCCTCTCTCTCTCTCTCTCTCTCTCTCTCTCTCTCTCTCTCTCTCTCTCTCTCTCTCTCTCTCTCTCTCTCTTTTCTGATATTCCGCGCGGTATAACGTGAGGGGTGTTCGTTCCATGTGTTTGCACTAGGAGAGAGAGAGAGAGAGAGCACAAACAACAAGGCACGTATACCTGGAGAGAGAAGCCGTCAAGAGCCATCGACAAATATGACAATGTGACGTTCGGTGAGGGTATCGACCCGTCGATGACCGGAGAAACTCCATTCTCATTATACACTCTAATTTCACAGTTTTTTGTTCACCCATTTTTTTTATTCTTGTGAGATTTCTAAAAAATGCATGTGCTTCATGTTGTGAAAAAAAAACTAAATTGCTTTCTACTATCTCTTATTATTATTATTGACGACTTCTTCTTCATCCTCAATTTTGTCTTCATACTCTCCTTTTTTCTTTTTTTCCCTTTTACCGTACACGTTTATGCATTTTTGTCACTTTCCCTATTTTCGGCAGTCAATTGAGGAGAAAGAGACATCATCCTTTTCCCTTTTCTAAGCAGCCAAGAAACAAGTTATCCTTCCCCATCTGCATATTCTCTTTCGGTGGTTTTTTTGGCTTCGTTGCCATCATCTTTTTCCTTTTTTCTGATTCTTCTACCGGTGAGGAGAAGGACACCGACCTCCAACCGTCGTCCTTTGTGCGCGGATTCCTTCGGTTTTGATTTATAGCATATGAGACAGTTCGAATGAACACAACGCTCTTCTTTTTCTTGAGAAGGCATTTTCTAGTTTCTGAAAAAAAAACCGTATAAGAAATTCGTAATTTCAAAGGTTTTCTAGAATCCATATCCAAAAAATCCGGACAAAAACATACTGTAAAACCCGTATCAGAAGGGTCGTTCTATTTTTTCAAGACACCTCAGGGCCCTTCTATTACAGGGGCTCCGACCCTCCTATTTTTCCGGTCATTTTTCCCAAAACTTAAAAAAAATGTTCCTTTTCCAAACTCCTCTCGGATGGCCCTTCTATTCGAGGGGGGCTTCTAGTAAACGTTTTACAATACATAAAGCTCGTGACAAATTCAGAACAACAAATTTTGATTTTCTGAAATAATAGTATTTCACCATTGCCTGAAAATTATCAGATTGTCCTAGAATCACTAGAAGAATTTGAAATTTCTGGTTTTCATTGGTTTTAGGCAGAATGTCTTGGCTTTTAAATAAAGAATCAGTCGTTATTTGCAAAGCATTTTTGTTTTGTAAACTAAAAAATTTTCAGATCTAGCGGACAAGTTTTAGTTATTCTTTGTAGAAGTTCTAAATCGACTATTCTCAGTTTAGACATTTTCAAACGCACTTCACATTTCCTAAATTCTGAATTTCCTCCCGTCCGTCCGTCGTTTCCACCACTCATGTATCATCTTCACTTTTCTCTCTATCAGTTTACCTATCATTTCCATACAGATAGTATGCATAATGTGAACAAACATGCGTTCATTTATTCTCCCGTATTTCTGCCTTCTTTTACCTTCTTCTTCGCCCATCATCAATCAGTTCCATGGGCTGATGATACGACAACCCGATTCACACTTATTCCTCTCTTTGTCTCTCTATTTCTCTATCCATGTTTCGTTTTCGCGCATTCTTACCTTTTGTTGGTATTATTTATTGTTCATGTTTTCTCTCCAATTATTAATTAGTTATTGAAAGACGAAGAAGAAGGGACAAACCACCCAACACCGTTCAATGTCACTCTCTTCTAATTAAAAATTGCTCCCCTTTTCCTTCCTTTGGGTCATTCCGCTTCAAAAAATCCACTTTTTGAATTCTCATGTTTGTTGGGTAAAAAAGTTTTAGGTTTACTTTACTTTTTGATTCTCAGGTTTCAAAAAAAACATTGTTCAAAAAAAGTTTTGCTTTATTAGAAAATTCAACCACATACGGATTTACTTTATATCAATCACGGATCTCCACAGATATGTCTTATCAGCCTCGCCGTTGTGCATGATATTAACTTTTCAAGCATAAATTTGCGTTTCCTTCTAAAATTTCAAGCTTAATTATCTCGTTTCCTATGCGAGATATCAAAATTTTGTCAACTGATAAATTATTTATCATAATTTCACCAATATTGTATCAGTTGACAAATTTTTTATATCTTTCACAGAAATCGAGATACTTAAGCTTAAAGTTGACGGTTTAGAGGAGTTTCTATTAGAGAGCAAAGCGGGATGGAAAACGGTTTAAGTAATTTTCAATGAATTTTCCAAAGCTGAAAAAAGATAGTCTTCAGGCTGTTTCACTATGTGCATGTAGTTTTTTCTCAAGTCTTCAAATGGTTTAATATGAAACCGTTGCAAAAAATTATCAAAAGTCGCTGTTTGCCTAACAATCAGTTCAGCGTAATATTCAAATAGTAAAACCGAAAATATTATTTTGACAGTAATTGGCGAAATCTATGATACACTATCTGAAATTAGCGTGCTCCTGCTTCAAATACATACACAGTTACAATTGAACGTATTTTATTTTTTCCTTCATTTGAAACACAGAGTTCAAAAATAGGTTTCTACATTCATTGGCACTTCAATAATCATCATCATCACTATAATAATCATCACTATTGTCGTCAGAATCACTCTCCTCATTATTTCCACGAACACGTCTTGCCAGCTGCATATCTTTTTTCATGATAGTAACTCTTCCAGCATGAATTGCATAGTTTTGCGATTCTTGGAAAATTTCAACTAGATATGCTTCTATTGCTACTTGAAGTGCCTCGAGAGCTGCCGATTGGAAACGAACATCCCAACGGTTTTTCTGACATATTTCACGACACAAACGTTGAAACGGCGCTTTTTTGACAAGAAGTTCTGTCGATCTTTGGTATTTACGAATATCTCTGAGTGCAGGTTGGAAGATAAAGACCCCTTTTGCGAGGAGATGGTGGAGGTACAGCCATCATTCTTGGAGCACACATCCAACGCGGAGGCTTTAGGCTTCTTGCGATACTCATAGGAGGTTTGCGACAGTAGGGACAACCTGCAGAGGCGCACCAGTTATCCCATTTTGAATAATTCACGTATCGTCGGACCATTTCGAGTATCGGCGTTTCTGAAAATTGCTTATACTACGATTATTAAAATTTAGTTTTCTCACCAAAATTGATTCAGACGAGATTTCACATAACTTATTTTTCATCTCGATACTGTATGTGTTCTATAGTGTCAAACTATTAGTAGAAAATCACGCTAATATTTGAATACATCTTGTGTAGTTAATTTAGGTTGAAAGCGAATTTGAGGAAAATAAGTCTAACAAATCCTTTTAAAAACCGATATTTCGTTTATTGAAATATCAAAAGCTAATCTATGTTTTCTTACTGTACGCTCCCCATGGTTTCAAGTTGTTCTTCCTTCTAAACACCCCACGATTTTGTTTATTTTCGCCTCCCGACCAGTCCATTCATTTTGGTAATTATACCATTTTAGGGTTAGGAAACCACCCCAAAAAGGCTCGTTATCGCCCCCCATAATCCTTCCTCTGTATGCCCTTTCTCTCTATTCGTCTCTTCCTTTTTCGTGCACGCTCAGGTATTAAGAAGTACTGTCGGAATACGAGTAGGACCTGACCTTGATGACAGACCTTCCGTACTTCTTTTTCTTCTATCCTTCTACGCCTATTGATCCGTCTCCTTCACCCAGCATGAAGTCTTCCTTCTTCTTCCTATGCTTTGCATAATTTATCGCTCACACCTGATCTGATTTTTTGTGGCGGATAGAGCGTGTTTTGGGGTTCGCTGTTGATGATTCCTTTTGCATTCTCACACTCTATTGTTGTTTTTCCACATGTAAAATCATATAGTTTGCCAACTGCTTTTCTCTCTTTTGTTTCAGTTCGTGTTCTCTTTTTTTCAAACGCAATTTTGAACGGTAAAGACATAATTTGAACATGAAAACCTTTACTTTTAGTTTGAGAGATACCGTAAAATCTGTATTAATATTGCATGCAAGTCTATTGTTCAAGTCACCTCAAGGGGTGCAACTCTATTCGAGGGGCAATTCAAATAGAGGCTGCAATTCTATTTTTCAAACTACAATTTGAAGTTAAAATTTTGGAAAAAAAACAGTTTTATTATGAAAATCAACAAAAAAGTAACAAATTGAACAAAACAAAAAGAAAAGTATCGCATATTTTAAAAATCAAAAAATCGAGGCGTCACTGTCATAGTTATTGTCTTCTTCTTCGGCATTCAATATCTCCCAAAATCTCCTGAATTTCTTCCATTGCTCGTTTTGCTGGCTTCAATAAATGGAAAATATTGTTAAAAAACTAAGAAAAAAAAATAAACCAGAAATTAGGTAGGTATTAAAAAAATTCGAAAAACAACTGCAATAGTTCGTCACGGTGTCACAGACTAAAAATTGTACAGTACTCCCGGCGGAGCCGCAATACTGCTGCAGATGCAATTGTATTACGGGGGGCAATTCAGGCTGCAAGTCTATTTTTCAAGTGCCCTCAAGGAGTGCAAGTCTATTAGAGGGGCAATTCAAATAGAGGTGCAATATTAATACAGATTTTACGGTAGTTCTAATTTTTATATATCAGTACTACGACATCCGAAGCAATACTTGAAGCCCAAACAGTTTCAGTTTGAAAATTCAATGCTTCAGAATTAGGTAAATGAAAACCGGTTCCTCCAAAAACATATATTTCCAGCTGTCATCAAATGAAAAATAAGGTTTAGGTGATGAATCATTTCTTAGAATTAATTATGAATGTCTTAGCTAGACTTTTTATTTCATTTGAAAGCTTTTGCAGTCTCGGAATATTCAAGGAACTTCTTCTCGCTATGTTCGAGTCAATAGAATACCGAAAAATGTGGCAACACTTTTTATAATAGCATGTACAGAACGAATGCCTGCCAGTGGTATTCCGATATAATAGAAAACTTACCAGCCCAAAAATAATCTCAGGTTATGGTGGTTTGCTTTGTGGGGACCGTTGACCACGCTCACAAGCTTCTCTTCTCCACAGCTCCAATTTTTTGCATCAGAATAATAACTTTCATTCGAAAAACCATTCTCCGTCCCAACTACAATCTTTTTTCTACCATGCTCTTTTGATTCACTACCTACATTGCTCATTGATTCCTCCTTTTCACCCTATACCTCATAAAATGCACATGACACGATGATCAGGAAGTTTCCGGAAAGTGTTCGACCCTGCCGCCGCGCCCTTTACAATACAAAGAGCTTGTTTCTCTCTTTCTCTTTTCTTTTTCCGCCCCGAGACGAGCCTAATCCTCTCCCAAGCGTCTTCTATTGTGTTTCTGGGGTGCTCACCTCCTCTTCCCAACCCGAGAAAGGAAAAAGTATTTGGGTTCCGAATTAAAGAGTATTCGGCATTCAAGGAGTATGTGTGTTCTTCCCGACCCGCTTTACAACAACTTGTATTATACAATACACATTTCCTCTCATTCTCTATAAGTTGCCTCATCCAGATGTCCGTTACTTTCTTATCCACTCTTATTTCCCGCTAGAGTTTTTTGGACGTCCCCTCTACAACAAGGGCCAATGCCTTCGATTTATATTCATATTGATTTGAAGATGAACAAGAATATGAATAGAATCCTCTTCTTCTTATTCTTCTTCATCCGCGCCAACCATCCATTCGTCCCAGAAAAATACACATATAGAAAACAGGCGGTTTGAACAAGAAGATGAGGTATCTTGGGATTCGATCCACCTCGCTTTTTTTTGTTTCTATCCTTTTTCACACCCGTGTCCCGCATTTTCGGTCGTTTTTCAATCGGCACTGTGCCTGTCTCGAGGATGTTGTCATGGATGAAAATGAAAGAAAATGAAAGAAATACGTAGATATACTTAGAACAAATTTGATTTATGCATCGTCCTCCTCCCGTCAAAAGTGTAACCTTTTCAAGCACCATCCTTCTTGCCTTTCTCCATATTTCTTTCGTTTCATTTTCCGGTTTTCAAACAGAAACTTCATTCTGAAGAACTTCATATTCACACATATATTCAAGATTGTTGCATTTTCCTCTTTTTCTGCTTCATTTTTCTACAAGATTTTCTTTTTGAGTTGAACAGTAGTTCTTGAAATTCTATACGTAAAACTTTTTTTGTGAATGTTATTGGGATTTTTCGCTTTTTCAATGAGTTTCGAAACTTTGTTCCTATTTATTAGTGCAGGTGATTTCAGTATAGCTTCTGAAACCAGCTGCGTCTTTTAGAACATTTGCGGTGTTGCCAAAACTCGAAGTAATGTTCAAAAATTGTTTTCTTGATGATCTCAATCATATGAAATCGAAAATTTATAAATCCATTTAAAGTTTAAGTTTGTACCGAATCGGAATTTCATGTCTTCTGAACTTCTCTCAGAAAAATTTTACTATTTTGCTCCAAAGTTTAGCTTACCATGAAACCTGTAATAGAAGGGTCACAAACTTTCTACTTTGAGCCAATTTTTATTGATTCCTGTGAAAGATACAAGAACGTTGTCAACTGATAAATGATTTATCAGCATATCAGAAGTATTTTGTCAGTTGACACTTTTTTGATCTTCCATCGGAATTGAGATAATTGAGGTAAAATTTGACAGTACTGGGGTCATTCTATTACAAATTTTGCGGTAAGCAAACGTTTTCGCTTAAGTTCAACTTTTGTACCGAAGCTGGATGTCAAGTCTTCCTCAAAAACACCTGTTCTCGAAAAATTTACTATTTTGTTTAAAAATTTAGCTTATCTACCTGCCAAAATCTTGCAGAAAATTCCTAGACAAACCATAAGATCATGTTATTTTTCGTCTCAAAAACAACGTCCTTTTTCGCTAAACAAACACTTTTAAACTCTTTTTTCCTTCTAAAAACAAAAACTGACCTCTAAATTTGGTACGATCCTATTTTTCTTCCCTCGATTCCCGCTTTCAGATAACCATCTCTTCCCGTTTTTCTATTCTTCGTTTCTTCTTCAAAACCTACAGATATTATTTTTTCTTTCCTCCCTCTTTCCAAATATTTTTCAATTAGTTTAATGTAATTTCTTATCCCAGCTTATCATGGTTACATCTTCATCCAACTCTTTTTCTTCTTATTTCTAATCCCAAAAAGTCAATTCACTCAGAAATGTCCCCCACTCGACCCACATTAATCTGATTCAATTTGGTCGATTCTCTTCCCTCATTCCATGATTTTCCAGTCATCACCATGCCCTAACTAGCTACATTTGTTACTTCTTGTGTCCTCATTATTGCCCCTCCTTCTCCTTACTTTTTCCCACTTCTTCTCGCCTCCTCATCTCTTCCCAAAACTGGGTTTTGAGTTGACGCCGCCCGCCAACCCATCACCAAATTGGTTATTGTTTCTGTTGCCGTCGTCGTTGTCGGATGGAGAGAAGATGTAGACGTCCACATCGTAATCGCCTTTTCGCAACTTCTATTAGGTTCTGATCCCCCGTTCCATTCAAATCAGTGTTCGGCTGTTGTGTTCTTGTTCCTGTTTTTGTCAATTTCCATTTTGGAAAAGGGATTGAAGAAGATAAAAGAAACCAAGTTTCGAATTGTTTCAACTCGTCTCAGATGGTCTCGCTTTTTAGATTGAAAAGTTTTTGTTTCCTTCCTCAAGATTTCGTTTTCAACAAATTTTCAATTTTGGGTTTTCCGAAAACCGCGATTCCCACTTTTAGGTTGATGTAGTCTTTAGAGAATTTCCAAAATTTTTTAGTTACCAAAAATTTTATACGGAATTTTCCAAAAACAGATCAAAATTATCTAGTTCTCATAAATTTCTATATTCCAAATTTCTGAACTTTCAAATTACCGTATTTCTTCTTATAGAAGCCCTCCCATACTCTTTGAGCTTGATAATCTTGGTTGCTATGAGAGATATCAAAAAACTGTCAACTGATAAAATAAAAGTAATATTATGATGGAGAATTATCAGTGAAAAAAATTTTGATATCCTTCAGAGGAATAGAGAAAGTGTAGCTCAAAGCGAACGGTTAGGGAGATGAGAAAAATAATACGGTAACTGCAACTAACTGCAAAAGTTTTTGTTTTCATGGTTTAGAAGCTATTTGATTCTAGTTTTAAAGTAAATTTCCCAGACATAACCTTTTGAGTACTGAGAAAAAATGACGCTTGGGAAAAACGACATTTTAAGCTTCACTCGAAACTTTTCCTCTTGTCTCTGTGACGGTTTCACATTATCGGTTACAGCTTACCATCCCTTTAATCTTATTATTGTTTCCCCCATCCGTTTAAAAACTCAATGTTTTCCCATTCGTCATAAATTCTTGCCCGATTTTATGGCAAACCAATGCAATATGCGCTACCCAGACTGTAAATATTCGATTTCTTCAAGTCTCTGTATTCCAAAACTTTTTTTTCATACTGATCAGAGTTCTTTTCTCCGGAAAACACAGTCATTTCTTCCTGATTAACCAGTGGTTAGTTGTCTTCCCGAAGATTAACTGCTACTAATCTTCCGATGTTTGACAATCGATTATACCTGAAGACAGGGGGCAGAAAAAAATGCCTTAAAACACGTCATTTCGGGTATTCTTCTTCTCCTTCTTGTTCCCTTCCAATTTCTTGCGCACCTTGACAACATTCCGGCCGAAAGACGACGAAACAGTCGAAATCCGATCTGGCATGACAAGCTCGAGCACATTTTTCTTGCGTTTTTCTTTTCCCTCCTCGCGCTTGCTTTCTTTGTTTTATCCCGTGTTTTTTCGCCCTCCGATCTGAACTGTTTTTTTTTTGCCTCGGGTTCTAAACTGGCTGAAGAGCTCATATGAGCAAATTAGTGTGGCAATAAAGCGAAAAAGAAAGAAGAAAAAGAAAAGACTCTGGGGAGATAATTTGATGAGGATCGTATAGTAGTTGATATTGTTTTCAGAAGTCGTGGAAGCTTCTAGAATTGGTTGACGTAAATTGTTGTCTAGAGTTTTTTTCTGAATTCGCATAGTATTTGGAATAAGCTAGTTTCCTGAAACTTCTAAGAATTTCTCGGAGAACCTCTAAGACTAATTTTTTGTTCATCTAAACATCCCGAGTTCTACAACCGCTGAGTTAAAAGAAATACTTGAGTCTTTCTGAAGTTTGTCTTATTTTTATGTACCTTTTCTTCTCGTGATACTGTATGTTTAATGATGTCACAATAATATTTTTGATGCTTCTCAGAACATCTTGTGCTCCAACATGTTTTGCAGCTTCTTCGGTACATAAATGATGGCGTTTAAGAAGAAACTTTGTTGTTTCCATATCCATTTTATATTCCCAAATAGTATATTTCTTTCAATTCGTAACTTTACAATTTTTGACCTCAAAGAGTAACTGGTCATCTTGACCACACTCAAAAAGTGTATGTCAATTCCATTTTCTCTTCCTCAGAGAGACACGGGGCGGCCGTTTCAAAAATCCTTCTTGAAAACGCCGGCCATCACCGGCACAAATGAAATGAATTTTGAAAACATTCTCTTGACCTGTGTGCCAAAAATAATTCCGGTTATTCCATTCCTTCGTCTCTCTGTTTCTCTCTGTACTCACCCATCGTATGTCGGGAGTGTCTATTCGGGAGCCTTCGTCTCTGCGTCTCTCTCATTTATCATAATCTCTCTGCTTCTCTTTTCATCGGGTTCCAACCTGAGCCGGACTGACGGACGCGCACCGAGCAAGCGGACAGTCGGGAGGAGGAGGAGGCACCCCCCCCCCCCCCCCACACCTTAATTGATGCTACACCCGCATCCAGCTCCAGGCACCCGGGGGGCCGCTTCTGGTGCTCCTGTTTGTTTTTGTTGCCTCGTTGTCTCTCTAAACTCTCACCGTTTCGCTTGTGCTCAACTCTTCCGCCGACGGTCCATCGCACGGTATCTTTGTGTCAAGCAAAATATCCTCCCCCTTTTCCTCTCTTCTTCGGGAAGGAAAAAGAAGAAGAAAATCCTTTTGAATTTACCGATTACGTATATTATTACCGTTTGGGTCATTTGTAAGCCTAATGAGTTTTGATTTTTGTTTACTGTATAACCGATTTGTCTTGTTTTTAGGACTAGACATGTACACCGGAAATGAGCTCCATTTCCTCTTTAATTTCCGGATTGTGCATCAGACTATCAGATTTTCAGCCAAAATATATTCGTGCTTTAGACTAGTATAGTTCGGCTGAAAATCTTTTTTTCAGATCGGTTGATATCTAAAGAATACATAGTTTTAATGTAGGATCTATAATCTAGATTTGACGAATCTCTAAAATTCAGACTCTAAATTTGTTATAAGTCTGAAAATTACACTGCAGTAAGTTGGTATCGGTATTCTGAACCAACTTGTATTTGAATTGACTCCGCTGTTTAAAACCATCCCTGATCTCTTAGGATTGTCTTTATCAAATGTTTTATCTTCTTATATTCAAATTCGCTTCCCACCTGCAATGTTTTTCCAACCCCTCCCCTTCCATTTTCTTCATTTTCCCATATATTTCCATAAACCATCTGCCATCTCTCTCTTTCTTTCTCAAAATTCGACCTTCATAAGATGTTCCGTTTCATTGCCTCAAAAGGTTCATTGCCTCCTATTTCCATTCTTCTTCGTCTTCTTATCAGGTGTCAGATGTCTTACCAAAAATGAAAAATAGTGTCAATATTTGAGTTGGCGACATAAAATGACTAATATATTCCTCCTTGCCTATCCTCGCTTTCCGCACAACTCCTTAGTTTTTTTTTCCTTAGCTTTCCATCTTGTTCTCTTTGGAACTTTTGTGTGTCGAAGGTCGTAAACTCCGTGTCGGAAACACGTCTGACTCAATGCCTATACAGCCAGTCATCTTCCTTATTTCCTTCCCGATAATTCCCAACTCATATGTTGTAAGCCGTGTACGGATCATCAGCTTTGACTACCGTAATCGCTGATATCCTTATGCCTTATGTCACCGTTAAGCCGTATGATAAGAGATAGATATTTTGAAAAACAAAACTGATTGGATAGTTTTTTTTTTCTTATTCGTGATTTACTGATGTAGCTTTCATTCTAATTAGGCACTTTCTATTTCTACCCCAAGTCATTTAATTAGCTGATGATCAGACAGAAAATGAACACATTTCAGCTAATTTTTTGCAAAACCTTGATTGTAATACTCCTAAATGAGAAATAGTATTGGCTCCCAAAGAATTGAAATCCTTCTGTTGTATAGTTACTGATCACTGAAACCTTTCTTGAACTTCTAGACCGTTTAGTTCATTCTGGAAACAATGAACACAAACTGTAATTACCCCATTCATACTCATTGTCAAATTGTCACCGCTACTTCATCATCTTCTCCTTTTTCTTCTATTCATTCATTCTTCTTCTTTCTTTATACCAATACTGTTCGTTTTCTTACTTTTTGTCCCTCTCGGAAGCTTCTTCTTCTTCTTCTTCCTCCGAAGCCAGTTTCCGCCTCTCTCATTGACTACCTGCATCTCTTCCTCTTCCATACTATTTCCGATCTCTTCGATTCCGACAGTACGGAGGAACTCACTCTCCGTTCTCTCCGTTCGTTTTTCTTCCCCAATTCCATTATGAGACCATCTCTCAGTGTTCTTATTACCAATGGCAAAACCTGGAAATCATCCCAAATCCAGAAGATAATCTCATGTACCTCCTTTTCGGTCTATTTTTGGATTTTTGATCAACCCGATCAACGACACCATGCTTAGTTTTATTACCCTCTTTCTCTCGATTAATGTCTCCATTTCCTTTTTCTTGGCGACGAGAGAATGATCCATGTACCACTGTAAATACATCAAAGTTATCGCCTTTCTTTCTTCATCTTTCTTTGTTCATTTTCTGCTGAACTGGCAATTCATGTATTAACTAACTTCGCAGCGTACAAGTCCGGAGGCCTATTGATGCGATAGTGTCATCATCATCGGAAGTCAGGCGTCCGAGCGGAAGCGACACGATGAATCAAGAGGAGGATCCCGTCAATTTACAGATTTTCGTGCCAGAGCTCAACGTTCGGGTGAGTACTTAAAACAAAATTAGACAACCTAGACATCCATATAATAATATACCACACCAAATGATCAGAAACTTTTCATAAATGGTATTCTTGTAATCCTCGAACCCCAAAAGATTTTGGAAAGTTCCATTAACGTATTTATCTTATTCCAGAAGTTCCTTGCGGTGACCCAGAATGATTTCATCTGGGATGTCAAACGAAAATTGCTTGCCACTCTACCTCAAGCTCTTCCGCAAGCCTTCAATTATGGCTTATTTCTACCTCCATGTGATGGACGAGCCGGAAAGTTTCTACTCGAGGATCGAACAATTCGTGATTATCCATTTACGGATTGTGTTCCGTATCTAGAGTTAAAATACAAGAAACGTGTGTACAAAATGCTCAATCTTGATGAGAAACAACTGAAGGCAATGCATACGAAGGTGGGTGAAGAAGTTTCTGTCCTTAAAAAAGTTTCATATATAATCATGTTCCCATTGAATCCGCATCTCTCACCGATCCAACATGTTGATAGAAGAAGAACTGACAAAAAGTTGGCCGTATATAATTACAAGGTGTTTTATATGTTCGGACTGAGATTCTTGCCTTCTGATGCATATCTTTTCTCTCTTACAACAACTAATAATATTTGTTTGCGCTACCGGGATGATGATTCTTATCTTTTCATCGTTTTTACAGGGCCAACTCAAAAAGTTTATGGACTACGTTCAGCAGAAGAATAACGAGAAAGTGGAGAAGATGTGTACACAAGGTCTTGATGCGAACTTCCATGATTCTCAGGTAGGGCGCGTCTGAAAAAAAAATCATTAGAATTGTTTCAGGGAGAGACTCCATTAACACTTGCTGCTGGGATACCAAGCAACCGAGCTGTAATTGTGTCCTTGATCGGAGGAGGTGCCCATATCGATTTCCGGAATTCCGAAGGTCAGACAGCAATGCACAAAGCCGCATTTCTCTCTTCTTTTGAGAATGTGAAAACTCTTATCGAGTTAGGAGCAAGTCCGAATTATCGAGATCCCATTGGGCTGACTCCTCTTTATTATAACATGTTGACTGCCGATTCAAACGATCAAGTAGCAGAACTTTTGCTACGAGAAGCAGCTGATATCGGAGTTACCGATATGCATGGAAACCATGAGATTCATCAGGCATGCAAGAACGGATTGACGAAACATGTGGAGCATCTTCTCTATTTTGGAGCTCAGATTGATGCCGAAAATGTTAATGGAAACACCCCTCTTCATGTCTGTGCTGTCAACAATCGACCTGAATGTGCTAGAGTTTTGTTATTCCGAGGAGCTGATCATCTGACTGTGAATAAGCAGGGACAAACAGCGTTACATGTGGCACATATCGTGGGGAATCCAGCTGTGGCTGATGTTGTGCAAGCTCATAACCCAAGCTCTTCAGGTAAGATGATTTAACTTTTCAAAACGTAGTCCAATCTATTCATTTTCAGTCCCCTATCGTGGTACTCCTCAATACTCTACCCGAAGACGATTGAGTTCCACAATCACCAGAAGACGGTCAATGTCACAATCGTCTATATGCAGTCAAGATGTCTACCGTACTCCTCAGAGTATCCGAAAAACTCCGATGTCTGCTGCACCATCACCCAGTCCATCACGCTCTTCTAGAACCACAGTCACTCCATCCGAATATGGAACTATGAGGAGGTCAGGAATGGATTCAATGAGATCAATGATTGCTGCTGGGCACGAGACTAATATAGCACGGATTCTGGTGATTCCTAGAGGTGTCAAAGGATTCGGTTTCATTTTAAGAGGAGCTAAACGTAAGTGTATTGAACGAATAATATCCTATAGTTCATTTTTTAGACGTCGCAATGCCCCTGAACTTCGAACCAACTGCCCAAGTACCAGCTCTTCAATTCTTTGAAGGTGTTGACATGTCTGGAATGGCAGTTCGAGCAGGGCTCAGGCCTGGAGATTACTTACTGGAAATCGATGGAATCGATGTGAGGAGATGCTCCCACGATGAAGTGGTTGAACTTATCCAGCAAGCCGGAGACACAATCACTTTGAAAGTGATTACTGTAGAAGTGGCAGAAATGAGTCGAGGAGGAACTATCGTGCATCGACCACCAACAGGTAAGAAGCACGTACTGAATGAATTCTATTATGTAGTCGTCATTTTGTGTTCGTTCATTTCTAATCCGTGCACCATGTCACTGTATTTTTTCTCACTTTCACTTCCAGCATCATCTCATCGTCACTCTTTGGTTTTTACACCCACTCCATCGACAATCTACTCATCCACAAAGGCTTCCAGTGTCTATCGAATGAGAATTGGTTTGGATTTTTCTTTCATTTTTTCTGTTTAGAGTGTATGCTAGATTCATAACTTCACTTTGTACATTTCACTGATTTAGTTAGACGAGAAACTCTAACATTTATGTTATCTGTACTATTGATTGGTTCTTTAGACGATGGTAGTAGTGTTGCTTCTTATTTTCAGACACGCATGATGCGCATGGAGTTGATTACTATGCGCCAAATGACATCAGGAACGCCTATTCGGAATCGAGACATGCGTCGGTTAGGCAGAGGCCGGGCAGTGGAAGAAGGATCTCTGCTGCGGAGCTTGAGAATCTGATGGTCCGACAAAGAGTACCATCTGTGACAGGGACACCTACATATCAAATGCAATACGATCAGGAATCATTGAATGGAGGATATTCGTCGAAGAAATATAATTCAGTGTCAGATATGAAAAGGAGGAAAGGACAGAGAAACGTCGTAGCATCTTCAGCTGGGTTGAATAGATCCACCTTTGAACCATCGGTCAGTTTTGAGTTAATTTAGAATCCTTCATCATCTTAGTAGTTTCAGCCCGCCACTTCATCATTCGAATACAACTGTAGCAGTCGAAGTACCCCACAACTGTCTCACATGGATTCATTCGATTCATTCGATGACGAAGACGATCTTCCAGCTCCACCACCTGCTTCCTATCAAGCATCGGATCTTTCAAGAGACTCTTCAATAACTAGAAGTGAATACTCTCGGCCGTTCCGACCAACATCTCGACCTAAAACTCCTCCACCACCTCCTCCGATGCAACATCAACATCAGCAACAATACCAACAACAAAGTCATCCAACTCTAGCAAGATCCGCATCTCAACCTCAACAAGTTCATATCCAACCGCAACAATCTTCCATTCCACCCCCGCCTCCACCACCTCCGCCACCACAATGTGAACCAACTATGGTACAAGTAGAGTTCACACCACCATCAACATCTTCTGTACCTCCTCCACCACCCCCACCACTTCCTCCGATCTCTAGTGGTGCACCACCTCCGCCTCCTCCACCTCCACCTGGTGGATTGATGCATGTGGCTGCTAGTGCTCCAGTATTAACGAGCAACTCGAAGGGAATATCAGCGGATGCTCTGAAATCGGTACAGTTGAAGAAGGCAGAACCACGAGAATCATCATCAGCGGCTTCCATGAATAATAACAACAACAACAAGGATTCAACGACAGACTTCCAAATGGATTTGAAAAATGCCTTGGCAAAGAGACGGAGTAAAGTAGCACATGATGTGGATGAGGATGAGGAGAGAGAAAGTCGATTTGAAGGGTTATCTCTTCGAGAGACGGTTCGAGAAAATGTAGTGGAACGTGGAAAAGGGATTCAGAATATTGGAATAGTAAATAAGAAGGACAGCGGGTGAGTGGGTCATTTTAATTGTGCATCTGAAAATAACTTGATCCTCACAGGTATACTTCTTCCCGGACGTCATTGGAGCCGTCCGAGTCGGAAGAGAAGGATCATCGTCCCCATTTTTCACTGGATCATTCTCCGAATGTACAAAGAGTTACATTGATCTCTCAACATCTCGAGGATAATTACGGACAGAAAGATAACGTAAGTAGTCTCCCCCGTTTCTCATCCCGAATTGCACTTTTCTCTTCATACATTCTTCAAAACAATTAACCAAAAATCTCAAAGTGTGAATCTAGAATGCGTATTTTTCCCAATTTGTTATGTGTGTTTGTGCGTCGATTTCTAACCGAAACTCGCGATTCAGATGTCTGTCGCATCGGCATCAACAGCGTCGACGTCTTCAACCGTCGACTTGACAAAGCCAGGATGTTTCGTAGTCCCGTCTCACGTCATTCCACCTGTCGATTACGACGATGATCCGGATTCTGGAACTGGGGACAGCGACGGAGAGATTCGCTGTAAGCGCTTCCTTTTACATCACAAGAATATCTTTCTCTGCACAATTAAAAAGATGCACCAAACATTTTTCTGATTTTTATGTTCTCACATCTAGAACAGGGTGTCATTTATTAATTGGTAGTGCGTCATGGTAGGGAATGAATTTGGGATCACGGTTAACAAATTGGGTCGTTATTGAATGCAGTTTTTTGATTGGGTGTAAGGGTATTACCGAAATACCTGTAATAGATGGGCCCTCTAACTTCTAACTTTGAGCCAATTTATCTTGGTTCCTGTGAAGGATATCGAGAAGTTGTCAACTTATAAACTGATGTTCATCATAATACCACAAACATTTTTTCAGTAGACACATTCTTGATATTTTAAACAGAAATAGAGATAATTGAGCTCAAACTTGACAGTGTGAGAGTCCTTCTATTTGAGGCATTAAGGTATTTCAAGATTTTGATTCATCTAGTTTTTGAGATTTCTTTGGGTTTCTTCTTCAAAGTCTTACAATTAGTTTCTTACTGTTAGTATTTTCTTACTGTTAGTAAAATTTATATTAATTTCGTTTCCATTTTTTTATGACTTAGTTGTAAATTCAATTGTATGCTGTTTTTTTAAAGCTTTATGCGAATTCCTGTTTATTTTTGAGTTTCCGATAGTTTTTTATCCATCAGTTCTGAAGCTTCATTTTTAAACTTAAGTTTAAAATCTTGGTTTTGTTGGCAACTACTTCTAGTTTTAGTTAGTTTCAGTTTGTTTATGGATATCAATTTTTAGGGAATCAATTTTTTTTTTGAAACCATTTTTATTTCTGTTATTTCCAGGTAGTGAAATATCATCATTCGAACATAAGAAGGTAGACGTCTGGACGGTTGAAGACGTCATTGGTTGGCTTTCCTCTCTTCATTTATCCGAATATTCTCCAGCATTCCGAAATCAACGAATCGACGGTCGTTGTCTTCGACAATGCGATCGCTCTCGATTCACTCAACTCGGCGTCACTCGAATTGCTCATCGTCAAATCATTGAAGCTGCTCTTCGTGGTATTCTTCAATGATTCCTCTTTTTTCATGAATTCCCACTGTTTCTCTCCCGCGTAGCTGGCTTTATATCGTGTATATAGTGAATTGACTCGTGCCTATTTCCTGCTCATCATCATCAAAATCATCATCATTTCTCCCTTTCTTTTTCTTATTCTTCCATGTTTCGGTGTTTTAGGGCAAAACAAAATTTATGTCTTTAAAATAAGTTTTAATATATTTTCACATTTGCCCAATCCCTCCTCCTTATTCTGAATTCTATGTGGTTTTGTAGAATTCCGTTCGCTTATTAAAAAACCACAAAACCCCCCACAAATTCTCTTTCTCTCCCTCTCTCTTGAAGATTCATAAATAAATTCGGTGATTCGTTTCCAGACAACAAAAATTTTATATGTGATCAGACATTGTGAAGAACAAAAAAATAAATTAATTGATAACAAGATTTGTGTACAACGGAGAATTAGAATACAAAACTCTCATTTATGCCTTCTGCTTTTTCTTGAAAACAATCACCACGTCTTCTTTCTTTCGATGAAATCGAGACGGCAGAATCAGTGCCGGCTCGGCCGAGTACGGTGCCAATGTAGTCGTCGTTGTTTTCGCCCAAGATTTTGGAGTCACTGGAGGAAGTGATGGTTTTGTAGGTGTGGTTGTCTCCTCATGTGATTCTTCTAATGTTTGTTCGTTTCGTCGTCTCCAATCCACAACGCGGTTATACGGATAGTGAGCCTTTGAGCCACCACCGAAGCGGAGCTGGAAAAAATATGATAAAGAGGAAAGGGAGTAGCACAACCGTCCAAAAGCCTTGTTCGAAATAGCGCTACAGTGAATGGGAGATTTCGCTACAAAAATTATCAAACTTCGTTGGCTGAGTATCCAACGTACGACGCTAACCACAAAATAGCGTCAGACCTAAAAGTTACCTGGAGCACGATTTCTGACAATAGGGTTTGGACACTTGTTAAGTAGTTCATGAATTATTACTGCAACGGAGAAGATTGATAACTCTGAACGTTTTGTCAAATACATCAAATCTCTCGTACATCTTATTATAAATTCTGGCTCATTCCCACTTTATGAAAGTTCTTTATGAAAAATCAATTTCAGAAATCCCAAACCCCTCCTTACCTGAATAACTTCAGAATCCACTTTGACATTTTCAATTTTCGCTTTCTGCTGATGCTTTACATTTGTCAAAATTCTCACTTTTCCATCCTTTGTTACAGTTGCTCTGAAATATTTGACTAAACTTCCAACTTAATCTCTCAAAACTCACTTTCTTCTTTTCACATGCTGAAAATCGATGAATTGAACACTCAACTTTGGCTTATAATTATCGATAGCTTCTGTGATAACGTGGATTTCATTTTCAGGAATATTCAAAAACTCATTCCTCCGGTCATAAGCAACCAGGTTATCAGCAACTTCTACCATAATCAATAATAGAAAAATAGAAAAAGAAAATGACATCGAGAAAGTGGACATTTTGAAACGAGGAGAAAACTGAAAAAGACACTTTGGGATTCGGAATAAAGACAAGTGACTGTGGGGGAGAGAAATGGTCATTTTCAGACAACTAGTATCATTTTATTACACAATAGGTGTAGTATGACAAGTGAAAGAGAGAGGATATCAGTTCAGATAAAGGAGATGTCTAAACTTGTTGCATAAAGAGAAAAAAAGGAAGAGGTTTTTTGTTTGATTTGTTGACGGAAGATGGTTTGAGACATTGAGAGAAAGTGAGTTGATTGGATGAACAGATAAACTTTGGGATTACATTTTGAACATTTCACAAAGTTATGATGGATAGAACTATAAAAACTAATTTTTTAATACGTAAAATTTTTTAATACATAGTTTTTTTAATACAGTAATAATAGTGGCTACCGAGTTTTTAATACGTTTTTAAGAATTTTTAATAGTGGTTACTGAGTCGATATATCTTGGTTCTTGTAAAAAATATCAAAAAACCTTTAAGAGCAGAAATGATTGTCTTAAAACCAGAAACATTTCATTAATTCGCCACGTTTTGATAACTAAAATAAAAAACAAGATAATTAGGGTCAAAGGGAGGATCTTTTTAATGAGTTTCACAGATTTTAAAAGTGAAAAGTCAATAGTTATTTAAACATGATGAACAACCTTTTGAATGAAAAAAATTGTTCAAACAAATTAATTTCTCCACCGGCAAATCTACGTGAATTGGTATATTGACCTCAGGAGGATTATTATAAACGAAGAGAGAAGTGGAAAAACAAATCAGTTCTCCCTTCTCTAGACTCCAGAGAAGGAGACCCGGGGGAGGGTCCCAGATCCTTGGATCCTTGAGCCCTTGGGTCCTTGCCCTGGTACTAGAAAACCCAGAACCCAGAAACTGTAATATTGGTCACGACAAAGAAATGAAATCTAGGTCATGACCCAGAAATTGAAATCTAGGTCATGACCCAGAAATTTAAACTTGGTCATGACACAGAAATGAAATCTAGGTTTTGACCCAGAGACTGAAATCTAGGTCACGACCCAGAAATTGAAATCTAGGTCATGACCCAGAAATTCAAATCTAGGTCATGACCCAGAAATTCAAATCTAGGTCATGACCTAGAAATTGAAACTTGGTCATGACACAGAACTGAAATCTAGGTTTTGACCCAGAAATTGAAATCTAGGTCATGACCCAGAAATTGAAATCTAGGTCATGACCCAGAAAGAGCCAAGGATTCAAGGATCCAAAGATCCAAAGACTCAAGGATCCAAGGATCTGGTGCCCTCCCCCGGGTCACCTCCTCTGGAGTCAGTCTAGAGAAGAGAGAACTGATTTGTTTTTCCACTTCCCTCTTCGTTTATAGTAATCCTCCTGAGGTCAATATACCAATTCACGTAGATTTGTCGGTGGAGAATTCAAGTTGTTTGAACAATTTTTTTTCATCCACAAAAAAGGTTTTTCATCACGTTTAAATAACTATTGACTTTTCACTTTTGGAATCTGCTTAAAAAGATCCTCCCTTTGACCCTAATTATCTCTTTTTTTTATTTGAGTTATCAAAAAGTGGTCAACTAATTAAAAGTTGCTGATTCTTAAGACAAGTTCAGCTCTCAAAAGTTTTTCGATATCTTTTACAAGAACCAAGATATATTGATTCAAAGGTAGCCACTATCATTAGGTAAATGCCCATACTCGATTCTATAAATAAGCCAATTTAGAGACAATTCGGAAGATCTTTTTGAACGAAATTAATTAATTTTGCCTTCAAAATTTGTCGTTTTTCTCAAGCATTTTGACAAAAAATTATGCAAACAGAATTTTTGTTCCAACCCTTCTCCAATCATATTTCATCCCATTTGCTGTTGAAATCCACTGCCTAACTAGTGGTTAGTTATGAACCACCACTCTCACTTTCAGATTCATCCCAATTGCTGACAAAACAGAATGATAAACGAGACAGGCCAACATCCAGATGAATATTTCATTTTTCAATATTTCACAATTTTTCATCTAACACTGGATTTTGGATCATCCAGTATAAAGAACGTCTGGAATTCTCTATCAAAGATCACATCGCTTTCTCTCATCAACTTGATCCATGGATGACTGATAACTTGGCACGGTGCCAGAGGAACTATTGTTATCTTTTGAACACATCTTCTGAAGAACCCTGTACCAGTTTTTGAATGTTATCCCACATTTGATCTACATATTTGATTTTTAAATGGTCACCACACAGGTGACCATTTTCACTCTCAGAAAGACTCGTTTCGATTATTCATATTGACCGATTCGTCAGATGGAAATCAGTTGAAAAGGGAAGAAAAAGTGAGATGACCTGACAACGAACCAGTTGATGGACACAAGATGTAATCTTCCATTGCTTCTTCCTTTCGATTAACAGTAAATTCTTTGTGTTGTTGTATTCGCCATAAAAATTGTTTTGGTAAAAGGGAATAACATAAACATAAATGGAAGAAGCAGTTTATTTTTTGAAAAGGGATTCTTTTGGATTCATTTTGAACCGGAAGCTGATACATACACCTGTTGCCTCAAAACAACCTATTGAAAAAAAAAGCCGGAAGTAAGGAAGTAACGTTTTGAATATTCAGGTTATTTTTTTAATCATATTGAATTCAAAAGCAGTTCGTTCCCAAATCAGTGAAATGAATCGGTGAATGTGGAAGTTGAATTTTTGCGGACCACTAATATTTTTGCAAAACATCACAAAAAACTCCTGCACACATCCAGACATCGTGATGACAATTACTGACACGTTTTTATTTCGGAAACTCAATTGTACTCCAAAATGTGACAGAGTTGTATTCAATTTGTGACGTAATGAATTGGTCTTGACCGAATAAATTGTAGCAAACATTTAGTAACTCTGGATTTTAGGCCCAGAAACTATGCTCTCTATTCTGAATATTGCATGGCAAACTGCAAATATTTGAAGTTTTATTCTGGTACAAAAAATTGGAGCTCTGGAAGAGTGTCGAACGAAAATCGAGGAAAGATGTGAAAGTAAAAAATATTTACTTACTACGGTAGTTCAGTCGTGGCCGGAAATCGTCTTCCACAGCTCCAGTTTTTGCATAGCAGCCTTTGACTTCAGATTGCTCATTCCCTTGAATACCAGACTCAACAACTTCCGTGAGAACCTGTATCGCTATTTTAATTTCCAAAACTTTCTCCGTTCTATGACTAAAAATTCCCATGGGCTACCTACGAACACGCAATGTTATTACAGACATCTTTATACTGTATGAGAACAATCCCCCAGCCAACGTTATCATTTTCTCACAATTTCCATTATCAAATTTTTTCTGACTCTTATCCCTTAATACCAACATCGGCTGTCATTTATAATAATAAAAAAGCTCTGATGGATTATCGGATAACTTTTGATTTTCTATGCACAATCTCAAAAATTTGAAGGTGGTTCATCCGGATACAAGGATTTGTCACATTCAACAAGCTGGAACATTTTATGAGAGAATAAAAACATTTATGAAATCATTTCAGCAAGATTGAAAAAATGTTTGATCTTTGCATTTAGAATGTTAATTCCTTGTTCCAAAGTTACACGTCTTCTACCGGAACTTGCACAACTGTCGGGGATAAGATCTTCGACTGAAACTGATTTGAGATATTTTGATGTTTGGAATATATGCAATAGATTTGAGTGGGCTAAATGTATATTTACGGATATTGGTTGGCAAAGATTATATCCCTAATTCAATTGAATAAGCTATTATGGGAAAGGTTTTTTTTTGCCAGAATCGTTGAGACAGAGTTACTCCGACCAACAATTTTTTCCCATTACTCTCTATTTTTCAATTCGAACGCACTTTTCCGAAGAGGCCTATAATTTACATTTTCCGAATTTTTTTGAATTATCGCGGGAACGGAAAACTCAAGGCCTCTAGAAAAGTCCGAGAAATTTAAAACGGGCAACTTTCAGTTTTGGCGGTAATTCGAATAATAATTCCAGAACCTTCTAGAAATTGACGAAAACGGAGATTTTCTCGCTTTTTGGAGCGAATTTCCGAGGTTTCTCGAACTTTTTTGACTTTTTATTCCTGTGAATTTACATATTTTTCTACACTTTTCAATACAATGAAATTTTAGTCACCTTTCAATAATCCCTTTTCAACCACCCACGACATTCAAAGAATATTTCTCAACTTCCAAAAATCCACTCATATCTTTCTTCTCAGACATCCATTGTGCTCATTTTCTGTTCATTTATTTACCACCCTTAATCCTTCTCAGAAATCCCTCCCAGATCATTTCTCAATTGAATCTCTTTCCCATATCAAACAGATCAAGATAATCCGAACGATGATTTAGAACTAATTTTTAAATCCCTAACCTTTTTTCATAATCACTTTTGAATCTGGTGAATAGTCATCTAGAATTATGAGTAATATAGGAGACTCGTTTGTAGTTGCCGGTCTGTGTTTTACCTAATCAAACATCATAAACGAAAACACATTGTGCTCTTATTGCACATATTTCACCTGACTCACACGGCTCCTCTGTTTTTTTGCAGGGTGTGCTCTGATCGGCACCAGAGGAAAAGATAGGGGCTCTCTTGGCTAAGAGGACCTTTTGATCACGCGAACATTAGATATGGGACATCCGAAGAAGATTATGCTACGTAGTGTATTTTATAATCAATTATTCATCTGGAGATATCAAGATGAACACGAGTGGGATCTCTCACGTACCATGTTCACAAGAATCAGTAGGACTCCATTCATAAGATTTCTAGGTATAAATTCAAATTTTTCGCTGATGACCAGGTTATCGAATTCAAAAAAAAATCTAAACCTAGAACTCATTTTCAAATTGGAGAGTATCACTAGAAGACTTGAATAACAAATTTCTCATCGTTTTCGTTTGAATGGTACAGCTTAACTGTGAATCTAAGCAGTAAACGAGATGTTATAACAGATTTATCAGCTTTCCACCCTCAGAGTATTTTGACTAACAAAGCTTTCAATGAAATAAGAAATTTGTCATCAATGTACATTGAAAGGTTTATACATCGAAGAATTGAGACTCAGCCAAGTTCAAATGCCGCGAACCAGATAATTACTGTAAATATGGTTGATATTTCATAGAAATTCAAACTTCGCTCTATAATTGCAGATCTAGAAAAAAATTAGTGGATAATAACCGCATTAAAGACTAGAGTACACATCAGAAGGTATAGTGATTTTAGTGTCCAATCATTCGAAATACCGTGAAATCTGTATTAGAAAATACCCTTTGAAAGAAGTGCCCCTGTTATAGAAGAGCCCTCTACCTTCGAACAGTAGGAGAACTGACCCTTCTGATACAGTTATTACGGTATACGCAGTTTTCGAAGACACTCAATGGACTCCGCTTCACTTCGAAACAAGTCATTCCGAAACCGTTCATTTTGAAACGTGGTAATACAGGCGAATGGATGAATATTAGACTACAAAAACCATTTTAGGGTTATCGAATATGCCTTTTCTGATAAAGCACATTTGGAAAATCAAAAAATTCAAGAATTTTTCTTCTTTTCAGCACATTAAATTTTGGATTTTTTAGTATTTCAGAATGTGTTCTATCAGAAAAAGCATATTTGAAAACCCTATATTGGTTTTTGTTGTCTGAAATTTATCCATTCGCCTGTATTACCATGGTTTCGAGATGGCCGGTTTCGAAATGACTGGTTTTGAAGTGTCGCGATTTCATAGACACGCGGAGCAAATGCGCCCATGTCTAATCATGATTTTTGATCTCCTGACACCTAATCCTTAACTACACTTTCTTTAGTTTTTTTCCCCTTTTTTTGACACCTGGTGACCTAGCAACCTTCTGAAACGCCTCTTTGACATTCCATTTAAAGTTTTCGTATTCAGCACATAAATCAAAATAATAGTAAAAACTTGACAGCTGAAAAGTTCCCGGAGAGAATTGGTTTCCAAGGTAATCAACAACGCATTCTATTCTCAAAAGCAATTTCATTTCACTCCTCGTTTTCGTATTTTAGAGGACCTCTCTTTCTCTAGACGGTGACTATTCAGGAAAAAAATGGGCACGTGAGTTATACATAATCTTTTCGAAAATATTATTTATTTATAAAAACAGAGATTGATCGTCTCCTGGAGATCACTGGAGTTGAAAATGCCTTTGGGAAGTTCAGAGATGAGAGATTTCTTTTGAATGGTTTAGTTTTGTTCGGAGATTTTGGAAGTTTTTGGTAAGCAATCAACCAGAAGGATCCTAAAAAAAGCTGCCTCTTCCAAAATCCCTTTACACACTCGAAGATCTATTATATGTTTATGATTGCTGTGAACACATTTAGGGCATCCTTTAGTAATTTTATCGTATTCTAGAGCACAAATATATTAGTAAAAAATGTCTAGACATAATTTCCAAAAAATAAAAATCTTTCGAAACCAATTTCCTCTCGTCCTGATCTTTTTGACCCCCACCAAACATCCTAAATGCCCTCTGATTCTTTTCACTAATCCCTTAAATTTCAATTGTTCTATTTTTTTTTTGCACTTGTTCTTAGCTTGATGTCATATCTTATTCTTCCTCATTTGATTCATTGTTTTTGTTCTTCTCCTCTTCTTCTTCTTCTTTTTCATCTCTATTAATCTCCAACTTTTCTAGCCGCTCTCAGGCTCCGCCTCTAAAGAGGATATATCCCCGACTCCGCCCCCATTTCTCTCTGGCCCTTCTTCTAAAGAGGCCGAGCAGAAGGCAAATTGTTATTCATCGGGAGAGGTGAGCACTTTTTTCCATGTGCTCAATTCATCTTCTTCTTCTTCTTTGGGTGTTCTCTTTTTTTTCCATTGCCATTTCATTTCACTTCTATTGTAAAAGACCTTCCAGTTTTTCATTTCCTTCCTCACTTCCGCCGCTTTCTTCAACAAATTCAGACGTTTTTTTTTTCCATTTCCTATTCAGTGGGAGTCCATTGTGTGACTTTTTCTTCCAACCTTTGCCCTCTTTTGTCCCCAGTGCGCCCACCTAAAATCTATTAACGAAACATCTCCTTCTAGAGCTCATGGGATCAAATTTCCGGTCACGAGCAATATCAATTAGCCTACAAGCCAACCGGAAATTCAATATAAGTTTCTTGTTTTTCGGAGATGTTGACTTCTAGATTTAGCATGGATACACACCTTATCCCTACGTGGATTTCGACACTTTTAGTCAACTGGACCTCATGAATAATTTTGGTTCTTCTCGTTCATTCTCTTTAACCACCTCTCACTTCACTTGTACATCTGCTCAAAACCACAATTCTTTCTGTTTTCAGAACTCTACAAAACTACGAAAATGAGCTCAAATCTCGTGCCACCACAAGTCTTTGTTGATACTCCACGACCACATAACGGCGGTTCAAGTGCAGGTGAGAATTCGAATACTTAGAAACCTTTGCCTCTCAGCAAATCCTATAATTTTCAGAAGACTTCCAAGGTCTCATTTCGGTCTCCTTGACCAATTTCGTCGGACAACGACCAAAGAGTCCAAAGCCAAGAAAGAGTCCATCTCCACGCGTGAGCCCAATGGCCAGCCCACGAATGAAGAAGAAGTAAGAGGGTCTTCTGAAGCTACTACTCAATGTACATTCTTCCAAATCCACGTGTCATCTTCTCATCTTTTTCTTCATCTGCTTGTTTTTTCCTCTTTTCCCATCCCTAACGTCTACAACCCAGTGAATTTGTAATCGATGTATATATGTATGTGTGTTTTTGCAAACTTTGGACTCTTCCAGGATTTTTCTATTTTTTGCAAGCATCTTGCACATATGCTTCTCGATCTGTCCTTATCTTTTACCCTTCCCCTCATATATATATATTTTTTTTTTCTGAAATTTGATATTTTTTAATACCGATGTATTGAGTTATGGATATGAATTTTGGTTTCACACATATTTATGGGTGTCTGAAAAAAAGAGATCAAAAATTGAAAGGTGGAGTAATTACCAAAAACAATTCATGTGACCGGGCGCACTTGGGTTCAAGCGAGGGGGTCAGAAAGCGCGCCCCAGCAAACTCGTAGGCCAGAAGAAATTTAATAATTTTAAAGTGGACGCGGGTTTGATCTAGATCATGAACTATTTCTTCAAAATCAACTGGTTGCAAGGCGCGCTTTTTCGCTCTTCATTTAAAACTGTGAAACTCAGCCAACGAAATTCGGCAGCGAATTTAGAACTTTTCCTAAATTTACTGGGGCGCGCTTTCTGATTCCCTCGCTTGAATCCAAGTGCGGGCGGCAAGATTAGAATCAGAATGGAAACTGGGGTGTTCGGAATGGCCGTTTCGGAATTTTTCAGGATGTCGAAAATTCCGAGTTCCAAAGTTCGGAATTTCGTAATCCCCTTTTTCCATCACAAAAAAAACGGGAAATTTAACGAACAGGTTTCGAAAACGCAAAAAACTTAAAGTAGTTCCGCTCGAGACCCACTAGGAAATTTTTGTATACATCTTTGAGATATAGCTTATTTCCAAAACTGCTTGAACTTTTTAGAATTCCGAATTCCGTTCCAAACATCCACGTATGGAAAACTTTGCCAATGAAAGAAATCTGAACTAAAAAAGTAGTCAATATTTTTCAGAAGTTTGATTAGAATATTGCAATTTGCAAACCATTTAGAACTGACATAATTCTCAAATTTAAAATTTTCGAGAGAAGTTTCTACTGGCAATCTATTCATTCTTCGATTTATTAAGTGAATCAAACTATACTCATTTTTGGTCTGACTATAGTTCATAATCTGACCCCATTCATCCATATTTCTGGAAGCTTCTGCGATTTCTTACACTTGTTTGAAACATATTTTATATTATTTTTTCTTCAAGTTACTCAATCACTCATGCACATGTACATGTTTTTCAAATCTCTTTAAACTCGTGACGCATTATCGGTAATCCACTTCTTCACAGGAAACAGACACAGGATTACCTTTAGTCTCCGGAGGAAATCACGTATTCTTGTTGAGTAATCACTTGAATCTACCTCGTGTCAGAACCAGAACAAATGGAAACTTTTAAAATGGGGTTAATCCATGTATTCTTCCATTTCAAGATTTTCAGTTAACCAAGTCTTGTTATTGTTTTATTTTCCGTTTACCATTATTGACATGTTTTCGTGTTCCTAATTCCTTGAACGTATCCTCTGGAGACGTTTTTATCAACTCCTCCAAATACTCAAATCTTCTTATCTTGATTTCGTTTTTTCCAAAGAAACCGGAAAGAGATGACCGGAATGATGTCAGCGCCCCCAAACACCTTTTTGAAGCAGACTCATGAATATTTTAGAGCCTGAAAGTGCGGTATTCTGATGTGCAATGAACCGGGAACAGAATTGAGATCCACAGAATCATCAATTTTACCAAATGAAGTGGAAGAGTTGTAAGGAATCAGATGATCAGCTGGATGTTGGAAATATAATGTTGAGGTCATATGGACAGACACATTGTTTTATGGTTTTAGAAAGAAGAAATGCCAAACAAACTAGATCAGCACTCCAGACGATACATGGTGATGGCCCCGGCCCGCTCTGCCTGCCTAAAATAACTTTTCGAAAATGTTACTTCTCAAATGTGCCAAAATATTTGTAATAGCACAAATATTACTCCAATGCATACTACCATCCGAAAAAGTCAATTTAATTGAATTTTTAGCAAAAAAATCAAATTTTATTAAATCAAGGATGAAACTTTTTTTCTAATTACGACCTCAAAACAGTTTTTTTTGACAGAATCAGCCTCTAGTGTTGATTTTCAATTATTTAGAAGAAAAACAATCTTGAAAAATGATGATTTGCTCTAAAATTTCGAAATTTTCAAAAAGCGGCCCGGCCCGGCCAGGCCCGCGGGCCGGCCATCTTTTCCACAAGTATGCTCCAGACGTAATATGTTTTTTTTGGGAATTCATTTGAGCTATACCTGAATACAAACTAGGGAAGAGATTATAAAAAACTGACACAGATTTAATAAATGGATTTGGAGGTATGACGGATGCAATTGGGTTCAGGCGAGGTGGTCAGAAAGCGCGCCCCAGTAATTGTTTCGAAAATTCTCAATTGGCTGCTGAGAGTTCGTTGACTGACAATCATACTTTAATGCATTAGGCCGAGAAGACGAATATTTTTTTCAATATTTTTCGATGTTTTCTTTCGTTTTCGCTCGTTTTTTCTCGTTTTTTCTCGTTTTTTCCACTTTTTTTCAGTGAAAATTAGTTGAAAAAAGTTTCAAGTTAATTTTTAAGATGAGCAGTCCAAGCAACGGCCTCGTGCAATGATGAGTCAAGTGAGCGAATGGAAGAAAGCTCGATTTTCGACGTTTTTTTGAGGTGAGTAACTGAAATATGTAATGTTCCAATATTTATTGATTTTCTAGGCTCGAGACATCGCTCCGTCAGCTTGAAGCGAAGGAAGGATATCAATTCGATGATGGATTATAAAACATGTGAGTGAGCTGTGTGTAAGCTGTGAGTTTATTAAAATTTATTGAAAAAACATTAGGAATTCATAAAAACATGATTGAAAAACAATAGGACTCGGAAACAGTGGGTGTACCTAGTCACGTCGTTTCGCACTGTCTTGAATCGATCTTGAAGACGATTGAAGAGGGCATGAAACGATTCAATTGATTGTTCACTCATTCGACCCAGTGTTCCGAACCTACGAGCATAGGGCATGAAGTCCAATAAGATATGACATTTTGGAGTCATATTCATATCTCCTGCGAATACTTGCAAATGCTCCCAACACAGATTCTGCAAAAAATTTAGTATTTCAATATTTTGAAAATTAATAATTACGATGGATACATCCAATTCGATCATCTCATCAGTAGTTAAGTCTCTTGCTACACAGAGTTTCTGAACACTGCCCAAGTGTTTCAAGAAACTTTTCATGCTATCTAATTTTGGAGATGGAGCAAAAATAGAGGTGTAGTCGTCGATGGCTTCTGTTTTGAGGAGCTTGGCAATGTGGTTTCCAGTGAAATCTTGCTTGAACGCACTAATATCAGCTCCATTTCTTCTCCATCTGTGCTCCGATTCTTTTCGGAGACTTCCGTTTCCTTTCCAAAAATCGCACTAATATCAGCTCCATTTCTTCTCCATCTGTGCTCCGATTCTTTTCGGAGACTTCCGTTTCCTTTCCAAAAATTTGCACGATAATCAGCAGTTTCAATGACATCTCTGAAATCAATGCAAGCAATTACATACAAATATTGTGTCACGAACTTTAATGATTCTGTCAACTGATTGTGCACATTTTTCAGATCGGTCGTTTGTTGCTCACAAAAAAGAAGGATTTCACTGACGCCGAGCCCCTCACAGCTCCAGCACTGGGCAACTACACTTTGGTCGAGTGTTATCAGGTACTCGTCTTCAGTCCATATACCACAACATACTGCGTGAGCTCTCCCCGCACAACCATTGCAATCAACCGTAGTTTTGTTCACTAATTGGCATGCTTCTTTGTCACGAAATAGGCAAATATCCGTTACGCATAGGTTATCTCTAGAGGACCGCGACTCTACAGTCTTTCCATCAACGAACTTCGTGTAAACCTTTTTCATCACATCCAAATCCTTTAAGGCGTTAGAAATTTCCACTACTTTCTTTTCAATTTCTGCCGTTTGCTTCTTAGTGTCCTTCTCCAGTTTGCTAGTTTTCTTAGGCAGCGATCCCATAGTTTCCTGGTCATCTGCCCATTGTTTGAGAACATTGAAGCCAAAAGTTTGTGCGCATCCATTCACCACATGCAAACTAGCTGGAACTACTTGTGAAAGCGGAATCAATTTGAACAAAAATTTTGAATTGAATTTGACGTTAAATCTCTTCTCTTTCACTGTCAGTTTGCTTAAATCTTTGTAGTTCTGTTCGGATCTACGCTAACATGGTGCAGTACTTCCAGTACAGTAGAAGCCGTAATAACCCTGACATAACATTTGGATAAAATTTGTAGGAATACTATTTCATATATATTTCGGATGTCATGTCCTTAGGTGATATTAAATGCATTGAGGTTCTTCCATAATTATCAATTCTTTATTAGAAGTTATTCAATAATTCGTTCTATTTTCAGATGAACCAGAAACCGGCATCCGACTGCGAAGACAACAACGACACGAGCTGTCCCCATGAGAAGTCGGACGGATCATCGTTTTATGAGAAGTCGGATGGATCATCGGTTTAATAATAATTGTTGTTTCTCTTGTTACATATCCTGAATCTGAATAAATCTTCATGTATTGCCATGCCCTTCCTCGGGCAATTTAAGGGGAACAGCAACATAAAAGGATCAGTATTCACCGAAAGAAAAAACGAATTCATAGTCTTCTGTATCGTTAAAAAAACATTAGAGAAACCACGTGAAATCCACGTGTCATTTTGAATTAATTAATTTTGGCTGGCCTACGAGTTAGCTGGGGCGCGCTTTCTGACCACCCCGCCTGAACCCACGTGCGGATGTACGAGAATAGAGGGTCAATAGCTGTTTTTGGAGATAAATGAAAAATCTGAAAATTTCATATACAGTAAGAACTAACTACAGTGAGGCGATTGGAGGTAGCAAAACAAATTTTTTTTTGCTTTATTCACGGAGTAGCAAACGAATCTAAAAAACTCACACTATTTTCTGATTCCGCTACCCTGTTAATTGAATTAAACCCCAATTTTCGATCCCTGTATCACCCCAAAGAGCCTCTTGGAAAATTAGAACACCAGTAGTATATAAATGGTTGACGCTGGACGGTCATTTTGCCCAAATGACGTTTTTTGCACCATTTCATGCTTCTTACACTCATTTTTTAATCAAAAAAGTGTCTAAGCTCATCGAAAATCAGTCATTTTTGAAAAAAACGTCACTTTTTAGGCTGGACGTAGAAGTGACCATTTTGCCCACTTTTGAATTTTGACACTTTTCGACTATTTTAATGCACAAAATCCACCACCAATTTTATTCAACAACTCGGAGATCACTCAACTTTTTCCTTTCAGAAGTATAAAAATACAATACATTAAACATACGCAGAGAAATCACATTTGTATCTAACACCACCAAGCTTGACAATGTGTTTTTCCTTTTTGATCTGAACCTCTGGATCGGTTCCGGCCAGAAACGACTTACTAAATTCAGACCAAAGTTTCTTGCGATCGATTTTCGAAAATTCGTTTACAAAGGTCTGTACATCGGAGATTACGCTTGAATATTCGCTCGGGCTGAAGTTTCCACGACCGTAGGTGTCTCCGTGCATTCTAAAAAATTAATATAAAAAGAAAAAGAAGAATAAAATTTTTAACCAAAAACAAATAAAAAGGAAAATAATAATAATAAATCAATTATGTATTAAATTAAACAACTCACCTCTCCGCTTTTACCCAACAATCGGATAAATAATCAAAGCGCTTCCACGGTAGACCAGAATGATGAAGTGCAAATCCGCAAAAAAAGACAGCGACTTGTGTGACTTCAAATCTATTGCTGAAACATTCGGATTAATATTTCAAAAATTATGCGACTTCAGATTCATACCTCCGCTAGAAAGAAAAGCTTCCTTGACGGCGAAAACTGCTGCCAGCCAGATCTTCTCTGAACACTGAGTTAGATCCGGAGGAGCCAGACTTAAGTAATGGCGGGCGTTATCAATAAATGTAGATGCACAATACTTTTCCATTTCTTCCTGAAAAAAATTTCATAAAAAGTGTTTGTTAACTCGTAGTTTTATTTTAAGAAAGCTTATTAGCATTCATTAAAAAGATTAAAATAAAGCATACCTCCAACCTTCCTCACTGTCGATAATGATGTTTTCTTTAAACATCGCACAGACTTCGTCGACATCTTGCTCCTCAACCAAAATCGTACGTCCATTAACCACTAACTGCTTCGACATCGTTCTGAAATCAAAAATTTTAATAAAACCATTTAAGAAAAAACCGAAAAATTAATAACTAGACAAAATTATTAAGGAAGAACGCGATGTTGGCTGTCTCTCGCTTTCCTCTGCGTCTCTGCCTTTCACTCTAGCCCAACGCGTTTGCGTGTTGCGTCGCGTGTGTCTAGTTCAACTGGGGCAAATGTGTGACTATACTCGGTCAGAGTGGGGAAGAGAAAAGAAGATCACACAAAGAGAAAGAGGACGCTGATGACCTTTGTACGTCACACCAAAAGATCTGAAAGACATTCAGCGAAAGCAAGCTTCCTTGAAGTGCCTAGTGAAGGAAAGAACTAAAGGAAAAAGAAAGAGTGGTCACACTCTAAACCTTCTCGAAGGTGCCACCTGTTCTTGGTTATAAGAGAAGAGAATATCTTCACTCTTTCAACGTGAAAATTTTTCGTTCTGCGACTCAACTTTTCTTTGCATATTTCTATGTGTTAATTTCAGTGACTTGTTCCTATGAGTGGATCTGTTCCTATGGATGTGGATACTACAGTTGTTGAGACTAAGAAGGATTCTTCAACGGCTTCTTCACAGTTGACTAATACTACACCTCTTCATGCTCCGAAAAATGTAGAAGAAATGACTGTTCAAGAGGAGAAAGAACATCATCGTAGAAAAGGAGAGGAAGAATATATCAAAAGTCTTCAATCAAAGGTTTGCTTTTGAAATTTTTAAGTTTTTTAAATTATTCTTTATTCCAGATTGATATTCTAATTACAAAGCTTCAAAGAGCTCAAGAATATAAGAATAATGAAGTGGAGCGTCTCAATAAACGTCGAAAAGTTTACGATAACAAAATAAAGGTACTTTAGTAATTAACTATTTCATAAGTGATTGATCTTTTTTCAGGTAAAAGATGATCGTAAAAATACTGGTAGTAATATTCGTAAGCGTCAACGTGATGAGACAGATGAAAAAGAACAGGTTCTCGAAGCTCTAAGAGCAAGAAAGAAGACACAAAAGGAATTAAAGGATATACAAATTCCTACTAATAAAGACTAACAAAGTTGTTGCATTGTGTTAGTAATTTATAAAATATAATCATACTGGTATTTATAAAATATAGCCATACTGGTATTTATAAAATATAGCTTTACCGGTATTTATAAAATATAATCATACTGGTATCATACTATCAATGTGCTTGTAATAATGATTTGCATTGTTATGATTATTGTTATTATTATTTTATCTTCATAATTTTCTCATTATAATAAATGTCTGATCATGTATATTGTTGTAAGTGCAAGATAAAGACGAATACACTTGGCATTGAATCGATGATAACAAGGAACAACAGATCAATGATGAAGGGAAAGTGTGAAGTTTGTAATACAACCAAGTGTAAGTTAATTTCAATGAAATCAACAATTAAAGGAGGTTCAGGAATCAAGGATTCCAAGGATTCAAAAGATCTCTTAGAAAAAGCTTATTACTCTCCAAAAACAGGATTTTGTGGTATCAATGAATTGCAAAGAAAAACAAAATTGCCAATCAAGGAAGTTCAAGAATTCTTGAATCAGCAAGATGTTTACACTTTACACAAGCCAGCACGTAAGAATTTCAAGAGTCAAAGAGTTTGCGTTTGTGGAATAGATGATCAATGGCAATCTGACTTAGTAGAAATGATTCCTTATGCCTCGGAGAATAATGATTTCAAGTATCTCTTGACCATCATTGATTGTTTTAGTAAGTATGCATGGGTTGTTCCTCTTAAAAGTAAAACAGGCAAAGAAACTGCAGATGCTTTGGAATCTATCTTCACAAAAAGTAAAAGGAGGCCACAAAAGATGCAGACTGATCCAACAATGTATGAAATCAAAGATCAGATGAAGAAATTAAAGGAAAGTTTTATGAGGAAGAATTAACCTTGTATGATAATGTCAAGGAGGAATATAAAGTTGAAAAAGTTCTGAGGAAAAGAAAAAGAAAGGAAAACGGTAAGATGGTAAAAGAAATATTTGTCAAGTGGTATGGATATCCAGATAAATTTAATTCTTGGATTCCCGAATCAGATTTAAAATCCTAAATACTAACAACCTTAACTCTATTATCCTTGATTTCTACAATATTTTCTGACAGAATCAGACAGTAACATTTAGTACTTTGAGCAATGTTTTTAGCGAAGCTGGCTTTTATTGTAACATCAGGTCGAGATGCAATGATTCTATCATTCTGTTTTGATACATCAAATACTAAAAGTGGATAATAATAATAATACACATCTTCTTCCATAAATATGTAATCTTTGACACTTTCATAATAACTATTCCTAAATTATTTAGCAAAATTGTATTGTTGAACTGCATTGAATTTATCAAAGTCGAATTTTAAGCATTCATATGGATATCTTTCTGAGTGAGTTCAACATAGATTTCTTCCAGTCCACAATTATCAAATTTAGCAGCATTGAGATAATTGTTATCTCTTGCAGTCTGAAAAGAGAGAACAATATATTTTATTTTATCATATTTAGTTCCAAGTTTCCAAGTAAATTCACGATTACCATTAGGAATATTATAACTTTCAAATTGACGAGATATAAAAGGCATTTGCACTAATTTATTACTTTCAAAGAAATTCAAAAGTTTATTTTGCATTTCTAAGGAAGGTATTATTTTAGGAATTATCCATTGCATCTTGTTTATCACTATCTTAGCTGTAAATTTAGTAGGATCACTGGAAGTAATAGAATTCTTGTTTTCTGGAGATCTGTATAATGAAAGTTGGTGCTTTCTCCCATAAATAATGCGAGTGTAACACTCCGAGAATCCAAAAATGTGTGACAGAGGAATACAGAAAGTAAGTAAGCCTTTTCTATTTTTAGTATATTTATTAATTTTATATGTCATAATATCCTTAGTCTCAAGGATCCAACCAAAAGTATTCTGCTTATTCATTGTTAAACTGTAGGTCAAAAGTCCTTTCATAAGTGAAGCTCTTCCAGGATCAATGACATTTTCAACTTGCATACCATCTAAAGAGTAAGTAGCTCTATCAAATAAAAACATAGGAGCATTATTTGTTAATGATACTTCATCAGCTTCGGATAATGCACTAGAGTCTAATTTAGTAAGTTGTGCTTCTAAGTAGATCTAAGATTTATGAAGAAGGAGGTATTGATCACAAGTTTCTATTATAAAATTAATTTCTCCATGTTGATTTAAAGAAGATCCACTAGAAGGAAATATACTAATCAAATTTTCTTTTTGAATTGAAGTATCCTGAACAATTGGACTATCAAAAATCAAAATTCTATCAACAGCTTCTAATATTTTTGATTCCGGCATTTTTAATTTATTTAAAATAAATTTTCTGAAGTAAATGAATCTCTCTCGAGTATTACAATTCTATTTCTTTTTAACATTTACTCATTATGATATTTTGGCAAGTGCTAAAAGTATTATATGTTCTTCTGATGCTCCAGTTCAATACTTTAAATTACCAAAATTACACAAATGTAATTACCATAGACAATTGAATGAAAAATCAAAAGTAGTAAGTTATGAAGTCTTCAAACCGAACATTATCGAATACTCAAGTGAAGCTAAGTTGTGTAAGAAATTAGTTAGTGAAGTATCAATGTATACAGATTTTTCTGGATATGAGCATCTAGTAGAAAAAGAGTTAAATCATCGAAGTATAAGTCTTGCAGAATGTAGAGAATGGATTGTAAATAAGAAGTGTGAATATGGAAGTTTAGTGAAAGGTAAAGAAGGAATGTCAGATTCGAAGAATCCTAGAACCTCTGGTTTTTGGAGTACAAATAATAAAGTTGAAGTAGATTATCCAAATCGATTTACTAGTTTTTTCTCTCCAAAAAGATATTACAAAGAGAATTGTATCATCATTGAAACTAAAGTATATTCACACTTCAATCAAAGTAGACCATCTAATATTCTCTCCGACTTAAGTAATTGTAAATATCAGGATGGTTCTTGTCCAATAAAGAAGAATGAAATTATGATTTGGGATGTCAATACTTCCCAGAATCGTCAATGTATTTCAATTGGAAAATTAGATGGAATCATGAATAATGGACTGTGGATAAATAGTAAAAATCAAATTGCTCTGAGTTTGAATAAAACCAAAATTGTGAGAGATTGTAATCTTGATCTCTTAATTAGTGAAGAAGGTTTTGCAGTCAAGGAAATTCAAAAACTTCCTTCAGAATTGAAGACCTTTGGAAATCCTAGATCCATAGGATTGACACAACAAGCACTAACATCAACTCCTAGTCTTCAAGAAATGAGTTCAAAATCAGAGATTTCTAGATCCCAAGGATTGTCAAATCCTCAGAAATATGCAGAGTCTTCGACTCCTAGATCCGAAGGATTGTATCAAAAAGAAAGAGAAGAATATTATAAAAGACAAAGAGAAATCCAAACGGTAAAAGACAAAGAAGTAAGAGATAAATACGAAGCTGATCGCAAAGAACTTGAGAAGAGAAGAGAAGAAAAAATGAAGCAATATCTAGAGTTTGAAAAGAGAAAGAAGGAAAAAATGGAAAGACAAGGATTATTGAATACTACTAAAAGGGACAAAAGATCATCGAATCAAAGTTTAGAAGATACTTCTAAACCTTTTCCATTACCTACTTATGAAGAATACTCAAAGATTAAAAATGATTGTTTACTGCTTCCAAGTTATGCTGATTACCTAAGGTCTAAAGATAAAGAAATCTCCGATTTCGTTCAACCAAAAGATCTAGAAGTCAAGGACTTTGAAAAACAAAGAGAAGCTTGTGATACTTTTCCAAGTTATGATGAATACATTACTAAATTTGCTATGCACTAAAAGAATTTGAAAATAGAAAATCTAAAAGAACAAGAAGACAAGTTTACTCAGATTTTCAAGCAGCTGGAGAATTTCAATACCTTGAGAACAAATCAAATAATCTTTTGAGACATACAACTGAAGTAATGTGTGATATATTTAATGAACACTCCAGTCTCCTTGAAACACTAATAAGAGATAATCCTAGGAGATACATTCAAAAACAACTAAATCATTCAGCAATAAGAGTTAGACTTATTTCTCAAGAAAACTTTGCTAGCGCTAACGCAGATGTTGTAGAAGTGACATTTTGTAAATCTTTAGAAGATGAAGAAATTGAATTCATAGATTTATCGCATTTTGATGGATTCAAGACAAGTATAGCTCTTACTCAAGGACAAATACCCATTAGAATACGATCCCTTGGAGATAAGATTTGGTATTACAAGAACGAACCGAGTGGGGGAATAATTTCTAGTTCTTTAAACAGTAAACTTCCTAGAAGCGAAGAAATTGTGAATCTCAAGAAATTTGATGATTTTGATCTCAACTTTTTAGATGATAAAGTAATCTTTCATGAACATATCCTCCTTGATACTAAGACCAATATTGAGGAAGAATTAATTAAAAAGTATTACAATTATTAACACTTCGATGATATATAAGGTTTATTGGTTCATATTTTACTTCTCCATTAGAACCTAAAGGAAACTTGCAAATTATGTTACTCTGTCTTTCATCAATGATGGTATCACAAATAAGATTACAGGATAGATGAATGAAATTGTTTACTTTGAAATTAGAAGTATCTAAAATTCCATCAATACGAACAATACTAATACTACTAATTTTCAAATCTTGTGGAAATTGAAATGTCTTTTCATTTGTTCGATATAAATTTAAGAAGAGACTTGTCATTCTCTTTATTTAAATAATTTATTTTATCTTAAAATTTTCAAATACTTTAAATACTGTGAAATCTTGAGAAAATGACTTCTGAAAAAGAAGAATTTGCAGATTATTCAGTTAAAAATTATTATCCACTTCGTAACAATAATCCTTTACTCCCCCAAAGTATGAGAGGTTGTATTATTGGAAAGAGTGGATGTGGTAAAACTAATTTGCTAATGAATTTGCTTTTGGATTCACCTAATAGTAAAGGATCCGCAAGGCATTCACCTAGTGAAGGAGAAGAATACCTTGATTATAATAATCTTTATATTTTCTCTAGTACTTTATTTCAACCTTGTTATCAAGCACTTATTAATGGACTTAGTGAAGGTTTAAGTAAAATGGAAATTAGGAGGTGTTTTGAAAAGCAAGACTTTATAATTGAGGAAAAGGATAATCCAAAGAAAATCATTGATATTCATTTCTCAGAAAAAATAGAAGATATTCCAGATCCTAACTCAATTGATCTCAATAAAAAGACTTTAATAATTTTTGATGATCTTTTATTAGAAAACAAAATAAAATAGAGCAATATTATACTAGAGGAAGACACTCCGGAGTGGATTGTTTTTACATTTCTCAAAATTATATAAAGCTTCCAAAGAATACAATTAGAGAAAATGCTAACTTCTTCATAATATTCCCACAAGATAAGTTGAATTTAGATTACATCTACAGGGATCACGCAAGTGAAATCAAGAAAGATGAATTTCTTGAATTTACAAAGGACGTATGGTCTAAGAAGTATAACTTTATGAGTATTGATAAAACTTCAGATATTGATAATGGTAAATTCAGGAAGTGTTTGAAATATTTTTATGTCTTCTAACACTTTTAGGAAATCTTCGATTTTTACTTCTTTAGAAATCTTCGATTTTCATTTATTTTTGATTTATACTTTTCTGAATGAAAGCAATTTGCTCTTCTGGTGTTCGTTTTGTAATCATTTTAGAAATATCTATTAATTTTGAAGATCCTTCATTTGTTGTTCTTTCACTTCTTTGATGATCTTCTCTTTGTATAGTATTTGAGGATTCAATATTTTGAAATCTACCTCTACTATCCTTATTATTTACAATCCTCTGGATTTCGGAATCCACGATTTTATAACTTTCTAGATTTCCTAAAGAATTGTTAGAATTGTTAGAAGTGTTTGTGAATTTTCGAATATTCTTATTTAAATAATCTACACTACAACCGATTTCTCTACAGAATTTAGTTTTCTTGACGTAAACATTTTTATTTTTGTAATCAATCCAGGCATCATATATTTTTCTATTACTCATTTTTGTATTTATATTATAATTTTTTTCTTTAATAGATTATAATGAATACTAATGGATACTTTTAGATACTTTTGGATACTAATGGATACTAATGGATACTAATGGATTATAATTGATTGTGATGAAGAAGTTTTAGTTCATAAAAAATTGTATATATAAATCAAAGATTTACTTTTTCTTACAAATATAAATCAAAGATTTACTTTTCTTACAAATATAAATGAGTCAGTTAAAATTACAAACCTTTGTGAATGATATTCAAAAGATTGATGGTAATAAGAACCTTGATTTCTCAGAAATATTGGAATATACTAAAAATGAATACACTAAAGAAACAGCTCAAAATTACTTGGATGCTTTAGAAAAAATGATTGCAACCATTGATGAATCCAAGCTATCTCAAAGTGATAAATACAGTTATAAATATGCTTTTACCAAACATTTAACATCAGAATGTAAAAGTGAATGTAAGAGTATTATAATCAATTGTCTAGGAATTTCTAATAAAAAGAAATCATTGATACTCAAAGAAACACAAAAAGAATATCAAAAAGAAAGAGATGAACACAATGAGCTTAGGAAGAAGTATAATGAAAAACAAAAGGAACAAATAGTAGAAGTACCTTCAATTGATCTTTCTCTTACTCTAAAGAATAAGAAAACTTTAACAAATAGAGAATGTCTAGATTTTCTCAATGATCTGGATATAGATGATACACTTCTTAGTGATAAATTTAAAAGAGTTAGTGTTTCTGAAGACTTTCCAAATGTTTCTAGAGCATATGTAAAGAAAGGAACAACTAAAGAGAATAATATCATTCAGCGTCAGCAAGCTTCCTTCAGAAGTGAGAAATCTAAATAATTAAAAACCAATACCCAAATAAATACTTGGAAGATCTTTCTTTTTTATTTTTCCTCTTCGAAGCAATTCATCTAATATGGAATGAATCTTATTATATTCTCCATTATTACCAGCTTGATAAGAACCAATACTCAAACGAAGTGAATTCATAAGAGCATTAATGCTGGATGGCAAAATGATTGTTTGATTAAGGGAACTTCCTGTAGCTGTTGTTGTTGAACTACTTTGACTCTTGGGAACACTACTTTCAGTAGCTTGAGCTTTCGCGACAAAATAATTATCTTTAATGAATTTCCATTTATCACTTGCATCAGCATTATATCTTTTACTACTTTTATCAAATTTCTGATACAATGCGTCTGAGCAAAGTAAGATTTCTCGATAATTTTGAGTATCGTCATTCTTAATTTTATTGAGATCTGGAGATTTTTTAGTTAGTAATTCCATTAAACCATTCGTTGCAATGTAAACTGAGTTATTGATTTCCATTGTATTGTCATCAAATATTATGTCTTTATTTCCAATTGTGTATTTGTGTCCTCCTTCTGGAGAGTATCTTATTGAATATCCTGCAGTGCTTTTGTCTCTAGTATCTTGTAAATAAGTAGCAATTAGACTACTAACTTTGATTTCCGAAGTTTTACTTGGTGTGGATTGGATTTGTTTAGTAGGAGTTTGCGCTACGCAAGGAAGCTTTGCTGACGCATGAGGAGGTGGTAGAATTTGTTGTTGCTGTGTTACTCCTTTAAATTTCACAAGTGAATCCGAAGGAGATCCTTTAAATGAATTAAGAGTTTGAACTATCTTATTCTTTTCATCAATAATTTCCTCCTGTAGTTTCTTATTTGATTCTAGTATGGGTTTGAATACTTCTATACGGTGATCTTCTACGTTTTCTAAATGCTGCGCTCTTCTAAGTTTTTGAGACGATGTTCTTTTCTATTCTTCAAAAATGAATTTATTATCTCATTCCTTTTCTTGGGATCATAGATTTCTACTGAAGTTGGAGGCATTTTTTGAAAAAGTAATTTATTTAAATTCGAAGAATCCGGAGATTTACAATCTTTATAAAAATTATTGTATTTATAAATGGAAGAAATTACTCAAGAAATAAGTTTCCAAAATATTTCTTTAAATTCAACACCTGTTGAAGAAGAAGATCTAAAGAAAATGAAAAGAGATGAAGTTCGTAGAAAAGTTGCAATGATTGGAAGTGAATTGAGAAAATACATTCTCAAATCCAAAGAAATCCAAACTATGAGAAAACAAGAGATGATTGATTTTATTATGAAGTTCAAAGACATTACTTCACTGAGTTAGAAATTTAGACTTTTCTTGAAAATTTTTTTTTCTATATAAAAGGAAGTCCTACATCCTTCTAAGATTTTGAAAAAGTAATTATTTTTGAGAAAAAATGGATCATTTCAATTCATTGTCAAGAGATGATCTTCGTAAAGAAGTCATTAAACTTCTTGATATAATGTCCGGAGGTGTAAAAAGTAAAAGAATCCTTAAATCTCAACAATTAAGATCTATGAGTACCTCAGAACTTCTGACATTTATTAGAGAACATTTACAAATAAACCAAGCTGAAATTAGAGATATTCCACTTACGCTTAAGGAAGTATTTCCCTTCGAAGATCTTATTTTTAGTGATTACAAAGAAACTAGAAAAGGAATTGTAAGAACAACAACCTATAGAGACAAAAGCAAAGATATACATTTTCATAAATACTTTGATCTTTTTGAGAAAAGAGGAATCGAATATTATATAAGAATCATTACAAAAATAATGAATTCTTTCTTCGAAAAGAACAAAAATTTTGTAATTAATGACATCAGAAGTGATACTTCAGTCAAAATATATTTGAAACTAGAGTTCAGACAAATGAAGGACTCTCAAAAAGAAGAAAACTTTGCTGTAAGATCTGAAACTAAGGAATTGTGTGTTGGTGAAGATCGAGAAGAATGGTATCAACATGCATGTCAAGAACTGATGATGAACATGGAGAATTTGCAATCAAGAGGTTCTGGTTGGACTATTTCAGGAATAAATTACCTTGAGATGAACCAGACTATGTGTCATTCGCCTAGTGGTTCTTCCTACATGGATCTTCCAAAATGTATTAATGTTAAACATTGCGTCATTAATCCTAAAAATAATGATGACAAGTGTTTTATGTGGTCTATATTAGCTCATCTTCATCCAGCAAAAGATCATGTTTCAGAAATTTATAATTACACTCCTTATCAAAATGAACTGAACTTTGGAGATCTAACTTTTCCAATGAAAATTAAAGATATAAATAAGTTTGAGAAAATGAATGATCTTGTTGTAAATGTGGTAGAATGTACTGAAAAAGGACAAATAAATCCATTACGTCCTTCAAGAGGAATCACTGCTGATGATAGCAAAGTTATCAACTTATTATATTATGAAAATGAAGAAGGAAATTCACATTACTCCCTAATCAAAAATCTTGATACCCTTATGAATAAACGAGGAGAGCATCAAAAAAAGTTCTGTGTTAGATGTCATTGCTCTTATAATGTAAATATGAATGATAAGAGTAGATCAAATTATCACAGACACCTCGAGGACTGTGGTAAAAACAAACCGGTTTCACACAAACTATCCAAGAAAACATCTGTAAAGTTCAAAAATATCAGTAATACGCAAAAGCATAGATACGTCATTTATGCAGACTTTGAAAGTATCATTGAGAAATATCAAAGAGCACTAGATAATCCAAAAGAATCATGGACTACAGATGTTGGAAAACACATTCCAGCTGGATTTTGTGTTGTTGTAGTTGATTCTTATGAGAAAAAATGTATAGTATCAAATCTTATATTGGGCATAATGCTGCTCTAGAGTTCAACAAATACATTATTAAAATATCTCAGGAAATTGTGCAATTAGGTAATGTGGTAATTAGAAAATTAACTCAAAAAGAATGGACTGAATACAATGGAAACAATGAGTGTCCTAATTGTAAGATTGAATACAACTCTAAAGATATGAAAACTACCAAAGTTAGAGATCATGATCATTGGACTGGAGAATATCGTGGACCTCTTTGTGGAGCATGCAACATATTGAAAAGAAAGAATACATTCATTCCAGTTTTCTTTCACAATCTTAAAGGATATGATTCTCATCTCATTATTAGTTGTCCAGAAAGTACTGAATTCTTGAAAGATTATGGAATTGATATCAAAAACATTTCTAGCAACACTGAAAAGTTTATTAGCTTCAGTTATCATCTTCCCTCTGAAAGTAGAAATTTTTACGACAGATGCGAAATTAGATTTCTTGATTCTTTCTCTTTCATGTCTTCATCGCTAGATAAACTTGTTCAAAACATGTGTAGTGATGACATGTATATTACTAAAGATTATTATTCTTATCATAATGAAAGACCTGGTGATAGTGAAGAACTAGAAAAATTTGAAATAATGCAAAGAAAAGGTGTATATCCCTATGAATACATGGATTCTTTTAAGAGATTCCAAGAAACGAAACTACCCAATATTTCTTCATTTTTTGATATGTTAAACGGAAAATCTTGCAGTACAAAGGATTATCTATATGCTAAGTTAGTTTGGAATAAAATGAACTGTAAGAATTTAAAAGATTATGCTGAAATTTATATGATCAATGATGTCCTTCTCTTGGCAGATGTTTTTGAGAATTTTAGAAACTTGAGTCTCCGGGTTTATGAGCTTGATCCTTGTTGGTATTTCACAAGTCCGGGATTAGCTTGGGATGCTATGTTAAGAAAAACTAAAGTAGAATTAGAAGTACTTCAAGATGTTGAGAAATACCTGATGATTGAGAAGGGAATAAGGGGTGGTATTGTTAATGCTGTCAAAAGATACTCTAAGGTTAATAATAAATACACTAATACTTTTGATCCATCAATTCCTTCAAATTATCTATTGTACTTAAATGCCAATAATTTATATGGTTGGGCAATGTGTCAAAATTTACCTACTGGAGATTTTCAATTCGAAACTCAATCTTCAATTGATATTCTCAATGATGAGAGTTTAAAAATAAAGGACTATATTGATTATTTTAAAAATTTAGGTAAAGGATGTATTTTCGAAGTAGATTTGGAATATCCTAAGGAATTACACTCAAAGCACAATGATTTTCCTCTGTGTCCAGAAAATGTGAAAATTGATAAACAAACCGTAAAAAAGTTGTGTAATACATTATTTGATAAAGAGAAATATGTTATTCATTATGAAAACTTGTTGCAATGTCTGCAATTAGGACTAAAAATTAAAAAGATACATCGAATTCTTAATTTTAAAGAGAGTAATTGGTTAGCTCCTTACATTGAAATGAATACTAATCTTCGAAAACAAGCAAAAAATGAGTTTGAAAAACACTTCTTCAAATTAATGAATAACTCAGTTTTTGGAAAAACTATGGAAAATGTTAGAGAACGAGTTGATGTTCGTTTAGTTACTGACGAGGATAAAATAATTAAACTAGCCTCAAAACCTAACTACAAAAGAACCATAATGTATAACAAAGAGTTATCTGCTGTAGAAATGGAGAAAACAAATATAACACTTGATAAACCTATTTATGTCGGTTTTGCTATTCTAGATCTGAGTAAGTGGTTAATGTATGATTTTCATTATAATGTAATGCAGAAAAAGTATGGATATCAAAACGTAGAGTTATGTTATCAAGATACTGACAGTCTCATATATGACATCAATACTGAAGATTTCTACAAAGATGCGGAAAAAGATATAGATTTTCAAAAATATTTCGATTTTAGTGATTATCCGAAAGATCATGTATTATACTCAGAAGAAAATAAAAAAATTGTTGGAAAATTCAAAGATGAATTGAATGGTAAAATTATGACTGAATTACTTGCTTTAAAACCTAAACAATATGGTTTTAAGACTCTAGATGGTGAAGAAACTAAGAAAAGTAAAGGAATAAAGAAAAATATTGTCAAGAATGAACTGTCACTCGATGATTATAAGCATAGCCTTTTTAACAAGACTATTATTAGGAAAACTCAATATACTATCAGAAGTGTTAAACATACTATTTTCACACAATGTCAGAATAAAGTAGCTCTCAATAACTCTGAAAATTCTACAGAACATAAACGTTACATAATAAAAGATAATCACTCGACAATGGCATTTGGAAATGTGAATATCAAACCGGAGGTTCTGGGAATCTGAGATTCTTGTATTAAACCAGAGGTTCTATGAATCTTTGATTCTAGTATTAAACAGAATCTTTTATAGAAATGATAAAACAATATCTTGAAAGTCTTTAGTTTCTAGTAGTTTTAGAAGAAGTAAGCAATAATAACCACAGTGATGAGTTGCGAAGTCTTGAATTTGAAATGTTGAACTCGATATTTTTATTTTATCTTCTCCATTTTTTAAATATTCTTGAAGTTCTAAAGGTGGATCTAATCCGAACGAATCAAAGTAATATATTTTATCCTTATTTTTGGAATAACAAACCCAATGAGTACCATTATTATTTGAAGAGTCAAGATTTACAATTCCCACTTCTTTATCTTTCGACTTCGCTGGTAAAGTATCTCGCATAAACACACCACGGAAATTCTTAATTCCTAATGAGTCAACTAATTCAATGAGATCTAGATTTGTTAAAGGCTTTAGATCTTTTTCTAGCTTCGCCATTTATTAATCATCATTTTTATAAGAAACTCCAAACTACAAACTACACCTTTCCCCATTTTTGAAAATTGTTGAAAATAAGCCTTAAAATGGCTCAAAATGTGAAAAATTGAAAGTGGGCAAAATGGTCACTTATACGTCCAGCCTAAAAAGTGACGTTTTTTCAAAAATGACTGATTTTCGATGAGCTTAGACACTTTTTTGATTAAAAATGAGTGTAAGAAGCATGAAATGGTGCAAAAAACGTCATTTGGGCAAAATGACCGTCCAGCGTCAACCATTTATATACTACTAACACCATGACGCTTTATTACAATTTTTACTGTTTTCGCTTTCAGCAACTCTCTGGAATTTATCGTTGATTTCAGCTACGGTCTCAGGAATTTTTTCAACAGTTTCTTGCTTCAAATGGGGCGTCAATAGCTTGAATTCGGAAAACAAGTGTTTTTGAAAGAGATTTATAAGTTCTCTCCTCAAACTTGGAACGTTATCTTTTTTGTTTTGACAGAGTCATGTGTAACTGTTGGGGACACAATAGAGTTTCGAAATCGTTAGTTTGGTTAATCTTTTTGCACTTTTGTTGAAACGTTTCCCCAGACAGGATTCCAAGCTAATTGAAATTACATATGTTCCTTTCTGTTGCTTTTCAATCCTAAATGACACAAATCATTTGTACAAGCTTAACATATCTAATTAAAGTACAACGGTTTTAGGTGATATACGGCATTAAATCCTTTTTGGAAATCGTTGTACTTTCTGTCACATTTAGGTATTTTTGGAATATATTTTTTAAATGAATTCTTTGAAGTCCCGGAAGTTTGTCTGAGGGGAATGTGCCAAGAACTATCAAGAACTTGAAATATCATATGCCGAGCCGTAAATCACAAATGCCGAGCAGTATATCATAAAAACAATTGAAGTGATTATATATTAATTAACACTTTCACTTCAAACAAAATTCCACCTGCCACCTTCTCATTTTGCACGATTTCAGAAAATTTGAATGTATATTAGAAGAAAAGCATCTGAAAATTGAAGAAGTTGCAGATTTAATCGGAAATTCAATCTGAAATCATTTAAAATACATGCATTTTTAAAAATGCTAGAATTGGAAAAAAAAGAAGGGAGAAGAAGAGGAGGATATAAGATACCAGAACATGAACATGAATAATCAAAGTGTAGCAGACGTCCTGCTTCAGGGAAGACTTTTTGCAGAGGTGGAATTCAGAAGAGCATTTGAAAAAGAAAATGACTTGATCAACTCGTAGCGGCTTTCTGAAACATCGCCAGAAAAACTAGTAGTAGATAATTGAAAACAAGGCAATGTAAGCTGAAATTTTTTCAGATTTAGTTCTAGTTCTGTGCGCATTTCCCATCCAATCATTCGTAAACTTTTGTTATCTTTCAAACCGACATCGTCAGAATTCTCTTCTATCGCCACATTGTGATCTCTTCCTTCAGTAGAAGGGTGATCTTCGGTGTTACTTGAAGCTGGCCAAAATATGGAGAAGGAATAGATATTTGAAGTCGAATACATGAAATTCGTATGTAGAAGTCATTGAAACAAGACAGGAAGACATTGTTTGCACCCGAAAGAATTTTTCGAATTGATAACGTGTCTGGAGAAAGTCTGACATTCGAAAATAATTTTCAAATAATCTAAAAACTTGGATATACGATATTCTAGAACTTCCATTGGATTCTTCAAGTTAAAATAATTTTTAAAGCTCATCTGTTTTTACAAATTGAATCTGCTTGTAAGCCAGACATAAAACTTGTTCACGAATTGGTTTCTTCGCATTCAGCGTAAACACGCTAATAGAGCGCTCCCAAATCGTCAAATTTGAACTCAATTATTTCGGTTCCTGTAAAAGATACAAAAAGCTGTCAACTGACTAAATGTGTATCATAATATCAATGATATTTTGTCAGATGATCAATTTTTGATGTCTTTCACAGGAGCCGAGATAAATTGGTTCAAAGTTAAAAGTGAGAAGACGTTCTATTTTTATGAATTATCGAATGATTTCTGGAAGAAAAGGGTAAGAAAACGCCAATTTTGAATCATATTTTTCATGGACTGCATCAATAGTCACAAATCAGAAACTGTATTTTTCATAATTGATGTTTCGCAGATCTTCGAAATACATCTCGCTAACATTAGTTTTCCTTCTCCGCCGTTTTTAACGAATTACTCGAAGCTTTTGAAAAATAGCGCGAATTCAAAAAAAGCGACAGAAATAGAAGTTTGACCTAGTTTCCTTTTATCACTATTCTATTTTCTGATCATCATACAAAGTCAAAAGATCAAAGTTGAAGCATCGCCGTCTATTCTGAGATTCCGAAACCAAAATTTTGCAATTATCTCTCGCCTTGCTTCTTCCGATTATTTTCAATATGCAGTCAGTCTGGTCCGTCTAGATCTCGCCAGCTAATCTTTGAAAGTTCAAAGTCGTCATCAGCTAATTTTAACAAGACAGACGAGATCTCGTATTGCCGATCGAAGCGAGTCTTGTCTCTATTCTATCACCTGGATATATCCCGAGAAACAGTGTCTTGTAATCACCTATTGTCTCTCTCTCTCTCTTATCCAACGTCCTCTCAATTTTCTTTTCCTTCTTTTCCGCCGAATGACAGCAGGAAGAAACAAGAAGAAGAATGAAAGGGGATGAGGTATCGAAGCGAGAAGAACGAGATTCAAATGCTTTTTCAAACTGCCGTCAGAGGAGCCTCGTCGCTTCTGATGCAACCATGTCTCGACAGTTTTTTCTCTTCTTGATATTCCTAGCTTTTATCAAAAATGTCAAAGCGAGAGGTAATTAAAACGGAATCTCCATGAAACAGTAACTCTAAGATTTTAGCTCCATTCGTGCGCGACCGTCCCAGAGGGTTGGGTCTTCTCCAACTTCCTACCGGAATGACTGACGAACGTTCTGGACCATTTTTCCCTGGATTGTACATTGCTGGAGACAAAGCTGGACAGAAACCACAGACAGTCCCCGATGTGCATCTTCCTGGACAAGCAGCGTCTTTCACTGGAAGGTTTTCTGTTCTGCAAATGTGTTCTATCCTCTTCTATAACTTAATTCAGATCCGCTTTCAACCCGTTCACTCACATGCTTTCCGCCGTCTACACTGAAGATCTTGTCGACGCCTGGGGTGCTGGATTCGCTGTCAACGTAGGCTGTCTTGTCTATTGTTCACTCTAATCAGGTATTCAGGGAGTAAACAATCATGGATTGAATGTACGAAAGAATTTCGACGCGTTTGCGGATGCTCCGTTGAGCGCCAGTGACGGAATGTATCAGCCGTTTTTGACGGCGGCTTCTGTCGGTGCTGAATATGATTTCTCAAAGATTCGGGAAGTGTCTGGAAACTTCAATTTGCCAGTTCCTGGTTTAAATGAATTGTTTGACTTTGACGGCAGATTCATGGTCAAGGGTGAGTCATAAACTTTAGAATTTTTATCAGATCCCAAAATGGGCGATTACCTTTTTTATAACTTTTCTTATCCCTCATTATTAAAAGAAAGAAATTGTAAATCAAGTTATATATTTCCAGGAGGAGGTAACGGTATCTTGAACAGTGCTATGGAATTCCCATTGACTTTAACTGATCCCAACGAACGTGCTCCATACACATTCAAATATCTCAATTTCATGGCGGATCGTCACATGCATTACGGCCATGTGGTACCCAATGTCAATCTGTTTGTGGTTGGAAAAGATAAGATTATGGAGAGACTCATGCAGAATAGAGTCAATCCTACAATGATTGGTTAGAAGAATCACTTGATTTTTAATAATTAATAAGTGCAATCAATTAATAGTTAAATTAATAAATCAGTATTTTTATTAATTACAAATTTCGAAAGTTTCACAGAAAAAAGGATGCAGAAAAAGAGTCTATAATTCTCAAAAAAGAAACACCGAGAACTACAAAAAAAATAGAGTACTGGGTCGAAGAACATGATAACCTGTAGATGAGAATTGTGTCTACCCTAGTTGTTTCGGTTTGAATGACTAGAAATTGCATTTGAAAAGAGATCAAAATTCAGAAATGATAAAAATTGAGAAGCATGAAAAAATATTGAACATTTTGAAAGAACCCGAATCATAGAGCCATTGGAGGAACTGTCAACGAATTTCCGAACTTTGGAGATTCTATATTTATAGAATGTCCATTTGCTGGAGGTGTCGATGGAGGGTTCATTAGTTTGTCACGGTGGACTTGAGACATATCCAGATAGGTTCCAGATGTTAATTTTCGATCTGGTTTCACTGGTGCCACTGCTCCTCTAACATAGATATTCGCCATTGCGTCACGAAGCTGAAAAGGGGATATGTTGTCTGTCTGTGTTTCTGAATGTTCATACCTCTTTCAATCCAACGACTCCTACCAGTTTTCCACAATCCGTAACATAGGCATGTGACAAGCCAAGAAGAGAAAATAGTGTGTGAACTTTATACAAAGATGATCCTAGAACAAGTTGGAATGGGGCAGCATCGATGGCAATTTCATCAAGATCTATGTTACGATTCAGAAGGATGTCCGCATTGGTTTCCTGAAACTTTTATTTCAGATCATCGATGAGCTAAAACGGAATACCGCTTTGGAAAGATCCGCTGAGGATGGTCTGGTGAAAACAGCTTGGAGTGGAATGTTATTTGGGCAATGAAGAGGGGAAATGGAAAGAAGAGTATTTCCAGAAATCGTTCTCTCCGACACAAATTCAACTTGATCGTTAGATACAGCATCGCTACGAGCAGTCTCTGGAATTGAGTTTTCTCGGGTCTGAGAGCTATTCGAGCGACGAGATGGAGAACGTCGGGACAATCTGAAATTACATGTGTACTCGAGAAATCCATCTAACCGATCACCTCATGCTAGTTCTACGGATAGTGTTGAAAATCTCTGCTGGAGTGATTCTTCCGATGTTACGACTATCTTGTTGATTCACTAGGACATGACGCCGGAGCAGCATTGTTAGGTATCTCTTGGCAACTGATCCGAGAAGAATTTTATTTTCTGGAAAGTTTCCGAATTTTTCTAGATACGTCATTTATTCTTATACCATGATCGGTGACGATTGGGAAACTTCTCAAATGTGGAGCCAATTGAAGAATGTCTTTCATTTCCCGATAAGTCATATCTTTGGTGATATAAATCACATCAGTGACCATCAATTGTTCCACTTTAACAGTATGAACCGAAACTCTTGATGGGGGTAAATCCGGAAGGTACGGGTACTTCTTGACGCGAATAATTGATTCATAAATTGAAGGTTGGAGGAACTTGCAAACAGCGTTTCCCATAAGCATAGCAATCTTGAAAAAAAAACAAAAAGGTTTGATGTTTGAGCACAAATAACACTTACCAAAACAGGAAGAATTGGTGAAAGTTGTCCGGTGAGTTCACAAATGATGACGGAAACTGAAAGGGTATGAGTGACAGCTCCCGTGTACGCAGCTGCACCAACAACTGCATAGAGACCAGGATGGATTGGAGGGCCTCCAGGACCCCGCATTCCTTCCGGGAAGAGAACAACCATAGTTTCTCCCACTGAAAATAAAACTCATTATTTTTAACTTCAGAGACAGCAGAGCTTACTCAATCTTCCACCTGCCGCCCCAATGATGAAGGATGGAACAAAAACTCCAGCAGGGACATTGATAGAAATGCAAATCGCAACCAGGACAAACTGAAATGTTCTATTCTCTCCCCGTTGTAATTGTTGAACTCACATAAAGAATATAATAGAGAACAAGACTGGTGAAAATCGAAACATCTCCTTCAGTTCCACCGGTCCAATGAGTTAGAATTGAATCTGGACATCGTCTAGAATCGTTTGAAACCCAAGTGCAGTTATTGAAAAAATCGGCCATAGTCTCTCGGAACGTCAATCGACCAGCAAAATATCGTCCAAGACCATTCGGGAAAGTGAGCACTCCGACAACAAACGCCATAAATACGGTGAAAGCAAGGAAACTGGAAAGAAGACGATGGAAAAGGAATTTTTATGTGTTATTGTGTTCACTAGCTAAAGGATTACAACATCTGAATTGAAAGGGTGTTATATGTATCATTTCTTTTGTTAATCTATTGGGTCTAGATAATAAGATAACTATTTAAACGTACTCATGTCCTTTCTCCTTGGATGTATTTTCGCCTCTATAATTTTTTCTATTGTCTATTCAAAATAATCGCACAAATGAACGAGTAAAAAACCTGCGTCTCTACAGCGCTTCTACAGGTTTGGAAACTCTCTACACGTTTTTTTACTCGTTCACTCGTGCGATTACTTTGAATAGACAATAAGTGAATATTATCTTTTCACTCTTCTCAATTTATATCAATCAGTCCCCCTATTTTTCACACTCACTTGTTTCTAAAAATCAATTTGTACACTTTGTTCTTGGATCGGAAAATCGAGATTTGTCGATGAATGAAAATGAACAGAGATCCCATCAATCCACTGATAAATCCCAAGAGCAAGAAAATAGGAAGTTCCTCCACCAAAAAGCAATCAGTCGGAAATCTTGTTTGATAAAAAGCGGTAATGGTCCCAGATTGCTCAGCCGTTACAAAGAAATTCGCACATCTGAAGACTATGGCAGAACACGTGGCAGCTAGAAAACCCCTCCAGTAGTTTTTAACCGCAAAGTACTTGGATGTTGACTCAATAGCATACAACACGGCTGAAATTCTAATATGATCTATAAATCTTCCCTCGGGGAATTGTCTACCTCCGATTGGCGCTGAAAAGGTGCATGCAATTCCCACAGCGCATCCGCTCGATAACATCTCCATTTCGCGTCCTGGAAAGAAATACAAAAGTTATTTCCCTGTTTTCAAACCCTATTCCACGAACCTTCATTGCTGAAGAATGCCGAGTATTGGCAGGCTGATGTGATCTTTGAGAGCAACGTAGCAACGATGGCACCCATATGTACGAAAGGTCCCTGAAAGCGCGGAAACTGACATTACCATAAAAGGAAGTTCTTTTTCGTTTCCACTATTTTCTAAATTCGTTTTTTTTTCTGTTTTGTGTTCCCTAGGGCCCCAGAGAAAAATCTTTTTTGCTCTCCAAGACAGATTTCTTTTCTTCATTTTTTTTTCGAGATAATTTAAAACTACACATAAAAATTCATTCATACTTCTTTTCCAATCGGCAATCCTCCTCCCATCGCCAATGTCAATCCAACCATTTTTGCTACCAATGTTCGTGTTGTCAAATAATTCTCCATCTTGAATCCATGCATTATTACCTTCACTTCAGGAATTCCGGATCCTGAATTTTTGTGTTATTAAACACTATTACTTCATATTTATCAGACACTAACCAACTGCTTGTTTTGATACAATTTGACAAAAAATCGCCGAGAACATAGTCAGAATAACAATATGGGCGACCCATTGAGAGAACGCCAGATAAGTGGATATTTCCAACATCTTGTCATAAAAGGTGACGTGAGCTGAAATCGGAATATTTAATGCTGAAATTTCGAAAAAAAAAAGATTACCATGCTGTAAGACCTCAATTGCCACATCCATTCCCACAGAGAGGACGGCGGTGATGATGCCAAGGAGAGCAGAGAGAAACCAGTCTTCCACAAGAAAATGAACCACATTTTGGGCTTGTCCTAAAATAATTTGAGGATGAAATAGAGACAAGTTTTTCATCTTTTCATAATTCTGAAGGAAGGTTGTCCACTAATAAAAATAAAACGAAATATAAATGCCTCAAGCGCTATTAAAATTGAATTTTTCGTTAACCAACCACAGCTTCAAATTTGCCAAAACAATGAAAACTCACTTGTACAAAACTCGCCAAATGTCTCATTACTCTCGATATGATCATCTGGTTCTTCGTCCGCATCATCCGTCTTTCCACCTGGACTCATATCCAAGAGAGAGCGTTTCACGTCACTCATCACACTGAAAGAAGCCGAAAACGTTTTTGGATGCTTCTGAAAGCGAAAAGGCAAAAAAAAGACACTAATTTTGATGGGTTTTTTTCTTCTTTTTGTTTCTTTCGAACCTATTTTTTCCTGACCCTTTTAATTTATTTTTGCTTTTGTAGGTTTGAAAGAGCACGGAAAAATATAAAAATAGAGAAAATTGGACTCAACTCTCTATTTTATGAACCTTGAATAATTAAAAGTGGGGGGTGAGCCAAAAGAGAAAAAATGATGGGATTCAAAGATGTCAGGATTACCTTTTCTGGCTCATGAATAATCAATTTTTTAGTTTGGATTCTAAAAAAGTGCTAGATGTTTGAATGCTAACTTCAAAGCAGGTTCTATCATTCTAGGAGTCATAAATTTCAAAGTGTGCAGCACGTGAAGGAATGAGAAGGATGTTATGTGTTTGCTTAGGATCATCTGTGGAGAAAAAAACAGGAAGCAAGAATGTGAAGAGCAAAAACGAACGCTTCTTTCATGCATCAGTAAATGAGAAGAGAACCGAAATGAATCTGATGGGAGGAGGATAAGGATTTGGAGGGTCTATGATAGAGTTTCCTTGAATTATCCGTTACACATTTGAAACAATTCATGTTGAGAAGCTCATTATTTAGACGCTCAAAGTTTGAAGCCAGTTTCGTTTTCTTGACCTAAACAAAATCTCAGAAAGCGATGTACCGGAAGATCATTTTACCATGAAAGACTGTTAATTTTGAGGCCTAATGAATCGTCAACGGATTAAAAGACAGGAAAAAAATAATTGTAAACCGGGCCGAGCCAACCCGAGACATGCCTTAAAAATTCTGTGAAAGCCCGGGCCGTTGCGAATATGTCAGAAAGTATCAGACCCAAATAGAGATTCGTATTTTTAGTTGACACACCTTTCTACCTAAAATTCGCATTCGAAAACTCCCAATAGTATTTGACGAATCTTACGAAAACAAATGATTATGTGATTCACTTTTTTATTTCATAAAATCACTAAATTGTAGTTTCTAGTCACTATTCGTAGGTTTGCAGTAAATATAATTTTTTAAGTTATCAAAACAATAAACTTAAACTTCAAAAATTATGAAAACCTTCGAATAATCACTATTTTCCCAAAATAGCACTCATAGAGTTCGTCAATCTTTGTGACATTTTCTGGCAGGTTTAATAACAACGATTCTCCAGGCAAAAAAGTTCAATTAACATATCTAATAGCGAAATCTGAGAGAGACAACTCCAACGGAATGGTCACTGCTCGTCACCCTTCCATCCTCTCAAAGCAAACAATGGTTCAGGAAATGGGCAATTTCTTGTGGTTTTTCTTGTAAAAGAGTCCATACGAAGGAATATGAAAATAACTGGAAAGTCAACGTTCTCTACTCCTCTACTCACACCGACGATTCATTGCGTATCAATCAAAAATAAGCCCCTACTCTTTTTCCAAAATGTTTGAGAGACAGATTTGGAATGATTGAAGAAGTTTTAAGAACCTTTTCAATAAATATTTGTTGTGATTCCTGAACTTTTCAAAGACGGAAAACTACTCTGACAGCCATTTTTGGCAGAGAAAAACCCCAGATTTCAAAATGAGGGTATCTGAAGCAGTGAGCGGAAAATTGACGGACTGATGACAGAGTTGAAAATGGGGAGGAAGAGAAAAAAAGAGGAGAAGAATAAGAAAAAGGTAGGAGACGAAAGGAGATACAATTTTCGGAAAAGCGAATGAAAACGGAGTCTAACTAATTAAGCAGAAAACGAAGAGGCAAAAACACTCATTCCATTTTGTACTTTACAGTTAAAAATAAAATGGGAGGTAGTTCTCAAGAACTGGAATTGTTGAAACCTTTGAAGCATCTAGAAAATAATTGCGAATTGTTGTAACGAACAAAGAAAGTGTATTATTCTGATAAAGAGAAATCGGAGCTGGTGAAGATAAATTCTTGTGGCCGAAGCTCTCACAACGACAACTACCGTAACCTATTTTTTCCGGATTTATTTTCTCGTTTGTCACTAATTTTCGTCTAGTTTTTTGATCATTTTTTCATTTAAAAAACGTCCGAAAATAAACATTTTTATAGTGAAAAAACTGACTGAAAAGGCGCAAAAATCGAGAAAATATATCGGGAAAATGAAACTATTTATAGGTTACTATAGTTGTCGCTGTAAGATCTTCGGCCACGGCCAGCGGTGTTTGTCTTCCACAGCGCCAATTATTGTACCAGAATAATTCAAAAAACGCAAGTTTAAGGATGGAACGGATCATTGGTAACATTTGAACTCCATCGGAATGAAATATCATAAAGTTCCATCTCTTTATCATCCAGACAACGGAAATTAGCCTGCCCTGAATTGTTTCCGTTTTCCACAACAAATAAATCCTCTTTTTCCTGAATTCATCTGGATGAATAAAACAAGAAAAATGTCTTCTGACTTTGGAATACGACGACAAACATGTGAGCTAAACTAGGGAATGGAGCACTGCGGATCTTTGTACTTGTGTACTAGGAAAATACATTTGTATTCTTCTGAATTTGACTTGCAAGATATTATTTTAGAAATCAGAATTTTTAGTTCCGGGGTTGCCAGAGTATAAAACTTTTTGTTTTTGAGTTTTTGACAAGAATTATTTTGAATTTCTAATCCTTAGCTCCTTGGTTACCTTGTCCCCATGGACCTAATTTTTTCCTTTTCTCTCAATTTCTACATTTTTAATATTTTCAAAAGGGTAGACAGTCAAGGGAAATTAGTTCGTGGGAAGGAACTTTTGCTGAATATCACGTAGCCAAGAGCCAACTGTTGAGCGGTTTTCTTCAAAAAACCAAAAAAAAAGAAAATTCCATTATCCCGAAAATGAGAGCGATGGTCCTAAACAAGCGAAAACAGGAAATGTTGTGTCTATGCAAAAAAAAATCTATTTTCTTCTCTTTTTCTTCTCCTTTGTCAAGTCCCAGTTCCATTCATTTTCTTGTGAAAATGAGAAAAAAATGTCAGAAACTTTTCTCATTTTTCCCTGAAAATGTTGTCACCTTTCCCACCTTTTTTCTTTTGAAGGGAATCACTAAACATCTCAATCCTTTTTTGTAGAGGAATTGAATTTGAAAGGTCCTTCTCTCTTTCAAAAAAGAGATATATTCAGATGAGAATAGAAGAATCGTTCTGCTTCATCTGATGTCACATTTGATTAGATTCCCCTTCTTTTCTACTCAAAAGAAACTTTTCTCTACTCTTATTCAGGAAGTAAACGGAAACACTTCTCAAAGATGTCTCTGCACTTTGGAAAAGAGCTCGAATAGAATTTTAGAGCCAGTTCAGAAATCAAAATGTGCTCGAAAACCAAAAAAAATCTCGAAAACTGAATATCTCAATCCAATGAGAAAGGGTGAAACTGGTCACAGGTGAGTTAAAATTAGGCAACGCCTCTTGAAAAAAGAGCAGTAAAACAAAAGGAGCTGTCGGGTGGAAAATGTGGAACAAAAAGTGAGAAATGGAGATACGAAACAATGGGAATGGTTCCCAAAGTAGAAGAAAAAACAAGAAAAGAAAAAAAAAACTCCCATTAGATTGACACTCTTGGGTGCTTCCTTTTTCTAGAGCATCATTTTTTATAAATGAGCTAAGAGAAGAAAGGATGTGTTGAACTTGTGAAGAAGAAAGTTTTCGAAAGGTATATAATATTGATAGGTCAAGAAAAAGAGAAGATGTTACGTTGTTTCGCTGGATAGACAGAGTTCTTGGTTGGAGGGAAAGGGAACGGTCTAAATGGATTTGAAAACTAAACACAGCCAATTTCATAGTTTTACGGTAAACTCGTGTCTATCAACTGCTATAAATTTCGAACAGCATGAAGGATTTCACAAAGAGAAATTTTAAGGAATTTTTACACCGCATCTGTCTGTTTCTGAAATGAAAAGCTTTTTTGTAAAGCCTTTGAGATGTCCAATTTTTTGAAAAAATTTAAGGATCACGATTTGAGAATGATTAGTAACTCAGATATGGAACTGTGTTCACACACTTAAACAGAGCAAAAAATATGAAAAGGTACCGTAAATTCTAAGATATCAAAAAGTGGTCCACTAACAAAACACTTTTGATATTATGATAAACAATTTGTTAGTTGACAACTTTTTCATATCTCTGACAGGAATCGAGATAAATTGGCTGAAAATTGAAATTTAGTCACCTTTCTATGACAGGTTTTACGGTATTCTTATTGCTCAGCAATCCGGAATTATATCACCAATTATTTAAAAACTCTGTGACCCTTCTCGAAATTTAAAAACTCTGTGACCCTTCTTCCCAAACTCTCGTAGCTTTCTGAAATTGTTCCTAACTTCGAAATGATAACTCAAAGTTTAGATGCACTTATACACTCTTGTCCATCAACTTTTCCCTGTCTCTTGCCTATTTTCAGTACATTTTCTTTTCTTTTTTTGCTGTTTTCCTAGATGTTTCTCAAAAAAGTTTTCTCCCCTAAATGTTCTCTATTCTCTTTATTATTCTCATAATAAATTTTTTCTTTTCGAGCTGCAAAATGGGTTCCTCGTGTTCATCTTTTTTTTGAATCATCGTTTTTTATGTGTTAAGCGAAAACTGAATTCGATTTCCTTTTCAGACGTTTTTCTACTTCTTCGTCTCCCGACACGAAGAAGATTCAAAAAAAAAATACATATTTTATGATTCGATTCTATTTGAAATTGTCGAGTAACAATCGTTTGTGTGTGGGTAAAAAAGGAAGGAAGTAACAACGTTTTTTTCATTCCCGGAATTTGAAATTCCAAATTGATAAACGAATGTTCCTATTCTTCGTATACAAAGTTTGTTGTTTCGGTCAAAAAGTATACACTCGTTTTGACAAAAAAGAAGAAGAGATTTCTGAAAACGGACAAACCAGTGTTCTCTGGTGGCCAAGATGTCTGGAAAAAGTTTTGAGAAAGAGGAAAGCCATCAAAAACAAAAAAGGCTAGGAAGTTTTCGTTTAGTTTTCGAGAGGATTTCTTGAAATCTCGGTATAAGAATATAGATACTAGAAACTAAATGGGTCGGAAAAAAGGAATTCGAAATTCCAATTTTTGAGATTTGAGATGGATAGAAAAGATTAAACATCCTAGAGAAATTGAGAACTAAAATTTAGAGAATAAAGAACAAAAAAGATTTTTAAATTAATTAAAATTTTGAGATTCCATAACACTCTAATAGAACAACCAACTTTGAGCCCATTTATCTCGGTTACCGTAAAAGATATGAAAAAGTAGTGAACTGACAAAATGTTTTTCATACGGTTTGTGAGGTTTTCTCATAGAGAGTATACGGTAATAGAAAAAAAGCAAGCGAAAGGTGAACATTTTGAAAATCTGGGTCATAATAGGAAACATTATGACGATGAAGCAAAAACAAGAGCTAGTGTATTTTTAGATCACTAAAACTTTTCGACAGAAATATCGTGTTTCTTTGTTTTCGAAATTTAAAAATTGAATTTTTTAGGTATCCTAACGAGCTCGTGAGAAAAAGAACCAAACAAGTTCTCAGTTTCACAAAATTTCAGACTTTAATAGAAAATAACTTTCTGAAATAAATAATAAATATAAATTGGAAACAAAAAGATTCTCAACACACCTTCCCGAAGAAAATAATGATCTTAGAAACCCGAAACCTAGAGCTAAAGGAAAAGGTGAAGACCACAAACAAAAATAAAAATCAATTGGTTAAATATGTGAAAGTGGAGACGAAAAAGAGAAGGTGATTAGTCGAGAGGGTTCATTATTCCCACAAATACGCTGCTCTTTTTCTGGAGATACCCCACTCCAGATGAGACAATCGGAGACGTCGTCGTTGGGCTTCGTAACACGAGATTCTTGTGAATTTTGAACAAAAAAAAACGAAACTACGCTCCATGATTGTCTGTGTAATCTCCTTTTTTTAGTTTTTTTTTATCTTCTGAATACTTCTTGACATGATTCGTTAGGTGATTTTAGAATCGCAGAATTTTCCGATGACTAAAGAAAAATCTCACGAAAAATTGACAGAGATACTGATTTTCTAGTTTCAGCCTCTTCTACATTTCAGATCAGCAGACACTTGTTTTGCAGGAAACCCCTGCATGATTCAGCGAATCCGGAGTGCTGTCTTCTATTCAAAAGAAGTTTACAAAAGAAAAAGAGGAATGCAAAAACGTACCTTCTGATCCAAGACTTTTTGGGTTTATGATGATGCATTTGAAGCATCGCCAATGGCGATAATATAGAAACTTTTGCCAACGGATCCATCTTATCATGAATAGAATAATTTTTTAAAAATGACGAAGGATGTGTGAAAGCCGACGCCTTCTTGGACCTTCAAATAATGGGTGGAGCCTCCCTCCTCACAGAAAAAATAGAAGTCTTTTGGGAGGAAAGAAGAGAAAGAAGGACTCTCGGGCGGTTCTTCTGGAGAGATACTCCTTTTTCTCTCACACCCGTTTTTTTCGCCAGAGAGCAACACTAATTTTTTGACAAGACCTTCCTTTCCGAAACTGAGAAGAAACTTGTCTTTCATTTTTTGGCTTTTTGTCACACCCTGTGCTTTACGCCATCTAAATTGGCTCGACTGATACGAAGTTTGGACAGGACGTCCGGCGTATGCACACAACTTCACACTGGGCACGTTTCTGGGATTTTCCTAGTTCGGAATAAGGATCTTTTCTGGGATGGACGAAGAAGAGTACAGTAGAGGGAGGATTTCGGAACAAGAGATGACGTAAATGGTGACGATTGTTGGAAACTTTTGGGAAGAAAGAAATCAGTTCATTTTCGGGTTGTTCTGGGTTGGAATTAACTTAGATTTTTTAGAAAACATGCAAATGATCCGGAAAAATGCAAAAGAAAGGGACTGGATTTTTAGATTGAAAGTTATCTCAAAAATTGAAAAGCTGTGGATGTGGTTATTTTTATAGTGAAAATTTCATCAAATCCTTTTCTTAAAATTCGAAATTCTTGCACTTTTCAATCATCTTCAATGATTGGTTATAAAAAATCAGCATCTCTTTTGGGATTTTTTTCCCAAAAATTTGTGAAATTATTCCTCGAAAACTGAGCTTCCCACGATTACCAAGTCCTTCTACATTTTGATACACACACTATTTTCGTTGATTTTTTCATCTGAGTTCAAACCAACTTTCTCTACTTTTCATGCTAATCAATAGAGACTCCAGCGATTCATGATCACTTCTTCTGAAGACGTCATTTTGGTTTTTTTTGAAAGATCAGAAGACATGGAAAATGAACCAGCAAAAGTTGAGATTTCTTCCTCTATTGAAATACGATATCGGATGGAGCAGCAAGTTTTTTTGGTGGAGTTTGTTGTTTGAATTATTCAAAGTACGATTGAAAAGGAATAAAATACGAGGAAAAATGACGAAGACAAAAATATGGTGAAAAGGAAGAAGAAAAGTGAGAGAAGTTGGAGTTAAGGTGTGACAAAAGACATCCGGGATGACTTTTCAGTAAAATAAATTTGATCAACATGGACTTGTGTGATAGAAATCTAGAGGAACCGAAAAGAAGGCTTTGTAGAAATGGAAAAATGTAGAAACTGATTTTAAAAAATGTCTGGAATAGAAACGCTTGTGCCACTGAAATACAGAATAGTATTTGTCATCTTTTATTGAGGAACGCTAGGATTATCATATTTTTGCACCCAGATGCTCTTTCAGTTCCGTTTAACCCATACCAGTAAAGTTGGAGTTTCCATAATCCCGACTGCTAAATTTCTTAAAATGGAAGATGACAGGAATGTCAGGGTTTCTGAACTCAAAAAATTTTGAAAAAAAAAATCTGAAATTTGTCAATCCTAAAAAAATAATATCGCTTTTTTTTATCCAGCACAGTTAGTATGTCACAAAACCTGTATTATTCCATGATACCTCTGAAGTGCTCTTCTATTACAGGGGCCTTTTAATTACTAAGTGCTCTTCTATTTTACCGGACATTTTTATCAATAATTTTCATCAGCAAATTCGGTAAATTATCTTTCAAAATGCATAAAAGTCTATCAATCTCACTAAAAGTGAGCAAGTTTTTGAGAAGGAAAGAGTTCTTCAAAAATTTCTGGAATATTTTTCGCTGGAAAACGTACCGAAATTTTTAACTACAAATAACATATTTTGATGAGGGCTCTTCTATTACAGGGGTACTTCTATTGATAGGGCCCTTCTAATACAGGGTTTACGGTATTTATTACAAGAAGCTTTTTTATAAAATAGAAATACTGTCATATGATATAAATGTTGTTCCGTAGCTTTCAACAAATATCAAGAGCTACATTTTGCAAATAATGAACAGTTCTATGAAGTTAGAAATCCCTTATCAAAGAACACCGCCTAAATAAGGGTGGTCTATATTTCAGTGAACACAACCTAAAGTTCGAGATTCTTAGAACCGAAAATCAAAATACCAGTCATAAATAAAAAACAACGGTAATTGTAGTTTGAGAAAGGAAAGAAAGCTCTTTTAAAGGCTTTTCCAAATGCGATCCAGAGAACTTCAGAAAAAAAAACCAAAAGAGGAATCGCTTGATGTATTCCGGATCTCTCGACTAGAGTTACGTTTTCCTGATCTGCTCACCGGAACTTTGGAACGCTGGTCAAAAATCAATTGCAAAAAAAAGAAGAAAGGTATCAGGATACTAATAAAAAATGAGAAATGTGTGGGCTGTTCAGCCAGTTACAAGCATTGATACGTGATAACACATAAATTGTTGAAGAGTCTTCCACTGGAATCCAATGGACTCTTTTTTCTTTTTTCTCTCACAAAACTCAACCGATCGGGGGCACCTGTTCTCATCTTATCGTTACATCTTCCCTTCAGGCGGGATTTATGACAAATCACTGATAAATCACCGACTCAAAATCCTGAACTTTCACGAATGACATGGAAAGAATGTTTTGACAAATGAGCGTGTTCTCTCAGTAATTTCTCAAAGAATTCGTTTTGGTTTCTGGGTTTTCAAACCAAACCCATCACTCTGTTTTTGGAGAAAAGATGACATTTTAAGTTTAGAAAAAAACAAAGCAAAAAGAGAAAAGTGACATTCGGAATTTTGCAAAAAGATTTGCAGGAACTGAAAAAATCAAGAAAAATCTTTTTTGAAAAATACTGAGTCACTAAAATTGGCAATTAGAACTGGAGAATTCTATATTATTATTATCTGCTTTTTGTCAGTCATTGACTATCGTCAAAATTCTGGAAACTGACTTTATAGATAGAGAACTTAAAATATTAATTATGTTTTTCCTAGAAAATGTGCAAAATTATTCATGAACAAGGAGAAATCGTGATCACAAAAATAAAAAAAATTAGAAGAAGACTTTCTTCGGAATTCTAAAAACAGAGAAAAAAGAATAAAGATCCTGCAATAAAGCTAATCAATGCAATCTAAAATACTGATTAGCTCGTCTGGATTCAAACTAAAAACTCTTCGATCTTCAAACATCAAGTCGTATCGTTGGTTTGAATAATACCGTAAAACCTGTAATAGTAGGGTCCACGAACTTTTAACTTTGAGCTAATTTTTCTTGGTTTCTGTTAAAGATATTAAAAAACGGCCAACGGATAAATTGTTTATCAACATGTCAGAAGTGAGTTGACTTTGATATCTCGCATAGGAGGAAAGAGCTTCTATTAGAGGTTTACGATAAATGATTCTGAGAAAACCATTTCTAATATTGAATTTGTTTTTCAAAAACAAAATGAATCCGTTCCCGGGAGGATTATGATTATTTTCCAGGTGGTGTAAAAGGATCTCTAGAGAAGTATGGATACATTTTGAAAATTGAAAATAAATAGTTATGTACATGAAAACAAGGTTCTCGAAACATCAGGCTCTATTAATGTCCAAAATACGAAGACAGGCGAAAAATGATATCTATGGTCAAAAATTCGATTCCAACCAGAAAACTAAAAATTTTGGCTCTTTTGTTGAAATTTAAAGAAATTTGACTCAGATGCATACATGAAGGATTTTTGTAAATGTGGGGTTTTATAGTCAAATTTGAGCTAATTTTTCTTATGAAAGATACCAAAAATGTATCAAGTTATCAGTATTTGTAATATTATAAGAATGATTATTTATCAGTTGACAATTTTGTTTGTATCTTTGACAGGAACCGAGATAAACTGGCTGAAAATTAAAAATTAGGCGGTCCTCCTATTACAGGGTTAACGGTGTTCCATTTCTGAGCTATGGTGCACTTCTGATGACTTATACTTTTATGAATATTTGTTTTCTTCAGATCATATGTAAAATTATAAACTGGTTAGTCACACTCCTGGAATACCAATAAATTTAATTTTCCCTATTACCAACTTTGTTATAGTTTGATTTATTACCCAGTATATATTTTCCATCGAATTCATATATTCGACAAAACAATAAAAGAACGTGCAGCACGAAAATATTTTCGATTTACCTGCTCCGATGATTGTAGTAACACTTCCTTGGGAATTCAAATGGCATTTCTGTAGATAATAGAAATAGAGATGGCAATTGAATATGTCAGAAGATTGGTAAGAAAAAGAAGTAGAAAGAATGAGAACGAAGTGTTCATTCACACCTGATTATTTTCATTCCCTGAATTGTGAAAAAAACAACAACAAGTTTGAAATTCTCTCGTCACTAAAACAAACTAAGAAAAGAAAAGTTTCAAAGCGACAAAAAAGGAAAAAGAAATTGAATCTGTTTTTTTCGGGGCAAAGGAAAGAGCTTGAAATAATCCAATAAATCGGTCAGAAGGCTTCGGCAAAAAACAATTTTCTCTCAATTTGAGACTCATTCCTTTGGTATTTTTTATTTCATCTGGTTCCAAGTTGTTCCAAGATTTTTATTCCACATCCTCATCTTCTTATACCTTTCCAGACAAAAAATTGGGTGAATGGGCCACTGCCAATAAAGTTTTACAAATGGAATTAGATGTGTTTTTCTTCTTCGTTTGTTGGTGAAAAAGCATGTGGGAAAACAAGAAGAAGAACTGATGGGGAGGACGTTTGAACGAGAAAAATAAAACAACGGAACGCTAATTACCCAAATTGACATATTATTATGCAGGAAAAAAGTTTTTTTTTGCTTTGTCCATGGGCTCTAACTTTTGAATATCGCAAGTCGTGTGGTTTGTGAAAAAGGACGGGTTATTTTAGTTTTGCAGAAATCAAATTTGATTTTTATTGTAACTTTTGGAGACGAATATGAGTATAAGCTGCACCAAGAAAGTTGATAGAGCTCTTTGGTATTGAAAAAATTTGTAGTGTCAGGATGCGATCGAATTATTCCATTTTTTGAATTTCCCAGGGTCCCTACTGATAAGTCCACATCTTTCATGTAACATTATTCAACTTATTACATTTGATAAGATCAACTTTTTTTTTGGTATACCGTCTAGACTTTTCAATTTCGTCCAATAGAGGTAGTACAGATCATATGGAGGATGTTCATTACTGTCTATTCTAGTCGTTATGAGTTAGCTAACGAGCGACGACGTCATCTCAGACAATAGAGAAGATCCATGAAGGAATAGAACACAACGTGTGAGAAGGAACAAACAAGAAAGAGTCGGAGATCTCCAGCTGATTCAGATTGATATGGAGAGATGAAAAAATGGGGAAAGTTCCTTATGAAATTGAATTTGACTAGTTCATAAATTAGGTTCTTACAATCTGATTGCTGAGAACGGTTTAATTTCATTGCCTAAACAGGCAGTAAATTTTCAAAACAACGCATATTTTTTAGAAAACTTTAAAAGTACTCACTTGTTATTATCGATGTCGGTATTTGTCGTTGTTGCCACGATGGCGACTGATGATGGTGGTGCCGGAAATATGGTAACATGTTCGGAAAACCCCACTTGTTTCATGAGTAGGAGTATAAGGAAGACAGGAAGGAAGCGACGGGAATTAACTAGACGATGGACCGATGGACGACGGCGACGGGAGAAAAGGAAGACATGTGTGAGCGGGAGCAGCAACCTTCGAAACTCCACCCTCTGAGCCGCGGACGAGCCGGAAGAAAACGTGCTGTGCAGGACGACGAAAGCACAGGGAAAAAGACGAATCATGATTGAGGTACTCACTCGTCTCCTCCCCCCAAAAGCATGACACACAAAAACTTGTTTTGACTATTTATGTACGTCTTCGTCTATTTTCTTGTCAAGTTTTCAATTAAAGCCCCGCCTCCAAACGACAGTAGTTTTTCTTCCTATTTCGTTGCAGCTCGATGGAGCGTTTGAGACCCAATAAAAATGAAATCGAGAAAAATCTAAAGTAACTTTGACATCAGACGAGTGCGCACGATGCGGTAATCCCTTCATGAAGAATGCCCTTCTAGGGTTACTTTTTTTTGTTTCCCAGAGTCAAAAGTTGGACTTTGCGTCGTGCAAGAATGGAAACTAGATACGGAGAAGGATTAGGATCAGAAAGAAAAACGAGGAGTTCCCTATGTGGGAACATAGTAGATTGCTGGGTCTAATTACTTCTTCCTTTTCTTTTTTTTTCTTCCGTGAGAAAAAAAACGAGTAGAAACTTTTGAAGATGAATTTTTGTTAGAAAAAGAAACAAGCATGGAAAACAAATTAACAACAGAACAAGAACAATTCCAAAAATTAACAAAAAATTTAGGAGGAGGCTCTGAATGTTTCCAGCATGTCCACTTCCAAAGGATGCGTCTCTCCAGGAATAATCAACGAATGTAATGGTTCTCCCATCTCCATCTCGCTCATTTCCGTCAGACTGCAATACACGATCTTCTGATTGTCCCATCCGACTCTCGCCAATCCAACCACCATCGTATTCTCGTCGTAGGCACACTCTTCTCCCTTTGCTTTTCGTCGCTCACAGATGGTTAACAGCTGGCTCGCTGCCTCTGAACACTTTTGATACCTGGCAGGCTCGAAGATCTTTCGTCCGCGCATCATGTTCTCCACAGTTTGTTCTTTGGTTTTAATGTCCAACAAGCACAAGGTATGCATTCCACGCTGACGATTCAAAGCGATTTTGTCATAATAGCTTTCTGGTTGCCACTCGTCAGTCCACATTACAATTGAAACAGTCTCTCCGAAATTGTAGAGTTGCAGTCCACAGCATCCGACGGCGTTCATAATTGAAGCATTGTGAATGATACGAATCTGCAAATTCTTCGTGAGGACTTTCGAAAAAATTTTAAGACTATTTCCAAAAGGAATCAAGTGTCATCTCGAATTACCGGAATATTTTGTTGCTTAGCACGAAGAACAAGATCAGCATGAGTAGTAGCTCCAAATGGATCTCCGACAACGAGAAGAGCGACGTCTTCTTTATCGGCTCCTTTTAAGATTGCATCAGATTCTTGCTCTACGATCGTTCGATCCGCTTCAATCACTTCTCTTCCGTAAAACTTCTCGAGATTCGTTTTATCGAGTCCGTAACACAGAATACTTGTGTAGGCTTCAAGATGAACGCGTGCGCAGTTTCTGGAAGGATATTAGTTTTAAAAGAGATCGGAATACTAGGATTTACTTGACGATGTTCAGTCCCTTGACAGTGATGTCTTCCACGTCACCGAGACCCAATCCAATCAAGTAGAAAACCATCTTAACAATTCGTTTGCAATTGGGATTACGATCCAGTTCGGAGGTAATTCGAAGGATTTTACCAAAGACAATTTCAAAATAGACGCTTTAAAAATTTGATTTATTTCAAGTGAAGTAAAAAGAATAGGTACCCATTAATAAATAAACACTAAAGCTGACATGAAGCACAAGGGAATTTTACAGAGATCGTTTCCTAAGAAAAAAAATAAGTTTTAATTACAAAAGGTATAAAAAATCATTCCGTTTTCTGTTTCCCAATCCAAACATAATGGTTCATAATTTGCTTGAGAATTATCGAATTGGTGATAAGGAAGAGACACGAAGCGAGGAACATCAGGAAAAATGTGTCATGTCCTTCAAATTCGAAGAGGTAAGCGGTGAGAAGCCAAATTCCTTGAGTGCCAAACCACGCGCCTATCAGAGTGAGGGCTCGTTTTCGAGACATCTGAAGATACTTGATTCTTTTAAAGCAATCAGATAAAATTTCTCACCATGATTTTGTGAGCCAACAACGGAAGCAGTACAATGTACCAAACAAAGTATTGGCTTGTGCAAACTTTGTTGTAAGTGACGAAGGCAAATGTGGTTATGAACCAGCAGAACGGTAGATCATGATAATGCTTGAATGCGAAGACGACCGTCAGCATAAGTTGAGGGATGAAGGCTCCAAGTCCAATAATTTGAGAAATTACTGGTTCCGCTTCATAGATGTACAGCGGGTAAAAATAGGGAGAGAAGTTATGAGCCAAATCCCTTCGTTTAATGTGGTAAATAAGGTACTCGTCGAGAAAGAGTTGTCCATAAATTAAATAGAAAAATAACACGACTAATCCGTACGAAATCAGAGTTACCTGGAAACAAGATCGTCTCAAATATAGAAATTCTTACAAAGAACGTACCAGAACGTAAGCAAAACCTCTCCAATTTGTCAACAAGCTTTTCAATTTTGCTACGAAGCCTTTTTGAGCACCGAATGATGAAAGACTCAAGAACACGCATGGCAGATAGATCAACGGATAAATCTTCAACTGGATTGCCAAGGCTCCATGAACAAGTGCTGCCGACATCCAATGTCCTTTTTGAAGAAGTAGAATGTTCAGTAGAACAACAGCAGAAACGATAGACTCTGCATTTCCTCTTGCCGAAATTACAGCTGTTAAGGGATTGGCAAGCCAGTACATAACTACATTCATCGTCTGGTCGCCTTCCATCTCATCCCGAGCTTCCTCATCTTTCGTCTCATTCAAATCTTTCTCCATGATTTTGAAATATAGAAACGCAACGAGAATGTCGAAAACGCAAAAGAGGATTTTTCCAAAGTCTGGAAAAATGACAACCGGAAGAAGGATCCATGCTAACGCAGGTGTATAGCGGTAAGTGGCTCTATCGAACGGGCTTCCACCATTTGAAACGTGCTTTGCGGCATCAGAAAACACATGATAATCGATATCAGTGAAGTTGACCTGAAATTCAATAAGTTTTTAGCAGTTCTAGTTCGTCGAAGAATCGCCTTGAACAGATAATCATGAATGTGTGCGTAGAGAACAAGCGTTATTCTTGCGACGAAGGCGACTAATAATATCTGAAATACCGTTAGTGAACATTGTGGCTTGTATAAATATGTCTTACCCTATTTCTTGAAAAAGTTTCATTTTTCACAAATCCCTGAACACATTGCATTTGCTGGTGGAGCTTGACACCAAAAAAAATTGAAAATTGGAAAAAATGTGGAGAAAAGAGAGTAATGCAAAGACGCTCAATTGACAAAAAAATTTTGGAGGGATGTTTAAATTTAGTAACGAGGACAGGTTCTTGTGTTTCTTGAAGTCGAACATTCGAACATTCGAAGAATGCGTTCTTTGATTCAATTCATCAAGCACAAAAACCCGAAGTTTTTATAACATGTTCTCAGTTTTCTCTTTCTCAGTTTCGTGGTTATCCATCTCATTTTTCCAGCAATTAGTTTGCGAGCTTGAGAAAACAATAACTTCCTAATGTTAGTCATGAGGATTTTCCAGGGGACACAAGTTATGCAATTCTGTTGTTTTCCTCGAATACTACATCGAGACGCAGACAAATTTCAAAATCATCAAAAAGTCCAAATAAAAGAGTAGTCAAGACGCAGAGAATTTTCTGACACTCGCTTTCTACCCCCGGTTTCTCTGCCACTCCCGGTCTTTCATACTATTCGCAAAACTTTAATCTGCGACTCTGGACATTTAGGCACTATCTCATCGGTTTGTTTCGTCGGTTTTCTGCATCACAACTTCATTCCTTTCCATAAATTGAAAAATATTTCATTTTTCTTCGTTCCCCATACACAGTTCCGTTTTTATCACCCGAATTGTCCAGTTGAACCGTATGCCCTTTCACGAAGAGAGTCAATAAGGGAAGAAGACATAGAGAGATAGGCAGTCAGTGAAACCGATAATCGCTGTGAGACCCTACTTGTGTAATTTGAAAATCACCTCTTCTTTTCGATACTGTCCATACACTTATTGATTACTGTAGTTCACCTGATACCTTTTCCAGAATCTGAATCCAGATATGAACTCCTTTGATGGTTTTGAAGCAACCGAATCAGGTATAGAGCAACCTCAACCTTTTGTAATATTTGTAATTTTTCAGGATCATCAAGCCTTTTGGATATTCTCATCCAGGCAGAAGATCACAGTGACGAAATAGATCCATTGGATGCAATTGGAAATATAGGAGATGTTGTTCTTGGTCAACTATCTGGAGCTATTGCTTCTGGAGAAGATGTTATGCAGAATGCTCTGAAGATGTTTCAAGAAGCAATGTCATACACGAAGTCAAAGCCACCAATATCAAAACGTAAGAGGGCTTCACAAAACAATGATTATGAAATTTGGGTAGAATTAAAACCCGGAATGATTTGAAAAACAGAAGTATTGAATTAGACGCCTCATATTCTGAAACAGCACAGCAATCCTCTCACAAATAAAAATATCTACAGTAATCTATGATTACGTTTTTTTTTCAGAAATTCGTAAGAATGACTTCGGAGCATCTTTTCCGTCGCTTCCCACACTTACGCCAATCCAAGCCGAGTTGACCGCTAAAGAATTTCATCAAAGTGACCGAAGAGCTGGATTCTCACCACGAACAAAAGTCGACGTCGATTGTCCTGAATTCTTCCTAAACGGTCAAAAAACAAGTACACAATTTAAACTGCTTCACGAAAAACTTGAAAAAGAAAGAAGTCAACAATTTGATGATCTAGTCAGCAAGGATGTCGAACGCCTTCTGAGCGCCGCCAGTAAAATTTATGGGCCCAGAGAATGGACGAAAGAAGAGAAAATGGAGTTTTCTTCCTACTGTAGAAACTTAAGAAGTGGGACTTTGAGTGATGACGATAAGAAGAATCTTGAGAATTTCTATTGTAAAGCTTACCACGAGAGTTTGACTGGATCAAGTATTAATCAAGAATCTGTAAAAAAGACCAAAATAGAATCCAAGAAAGACGAAGATGGAATTGAGCAAGCCTTTGACTTACAGACCACACTGGATGCTGTTCAAATGAATAACCATGATCCCAGAATGAAATACGAAAAAGAGAAAGAGTTCCGGTATGCAGCTAACACCATTTTCACCGAAGTTTTCGAAGCCCGAATGAATAACGAATTTTCTAAAGTAGGAGAAAATGGAGTTGTGGGAGATCTGCGATTTTTGACTAAAAAGTTGAACGAGTTGATGGGTGATGAAAACAAACAATGGATGCCTACAGAAGTATCGCAATTGAGACGGTACCTGGACAAGTTCCGAGAGAAGATGCATTTCACAATTGTGCAAACCAAGGAACTCGGGAATTTTCTCCGAAAAGTTTTCGGCAGACTGGAGCAGTACGAAATTGAACGAGGTTCTTGTTGTTATTGTTGTATTAGGCAAACAAATTTTAGTTTCCAGAAAACGACACGGTTTTGCAAGAGAAGAGAAAGTACTGGCAAGAATACAGAAAGACACATGTTCCTGTCAGAAAAGGTTTCAGATAAAAACTATTTTCCACTAAATTCGAACCGAAATTTCAGAGCGAGAACCCAGGGCACACCCAGTGAGACCATATAACAGAAGTAATGTTAATACGAAAGAAGAAACTCTCGAAGCAAGAAAAAATCGGAAAGCTGCCTATCTTCGCCAATGGAGACTTGGTATTCAAGGGATCTGCAATTAGTTTTAAAACATGACACATTCCTTTCAGATCAAAAAGAAAAGAAGCTCTACGGGACCACGTTGGAAACATTGACGAATTTCCAATAATAGAAAAGATCTACCCACGAAGTTGATAAATGTATTATACTAATACTATTTCGCAAGCATCTCAAAACTTAAAAAAATTACCTTCCTACTAATTATGAAAAATTTGCATTTTAATTGTTTATAAATCATTTATTTTACCTTGAGTTCATGGTTTAGTGTTTTGAGAATATCCATATTTGTCAATTCTGTTTCCACATACTACCCTGCAATTGCGTTGAGTTAAGAAAACTGTAATTTGAAAAACCGCTTCTTTTACACTAGCATCGCGCAAAGCTGCCAAAAGGCGCATCTCTCGTGCGCTTGCGCGCTTTTTTTCGGCCGAGCGTACGTTTCTTGTTGCCTGAAAGCTTATTTTCCACCTGGTTTTTAAATGGTTTGTTTGGAAAGCTTGTCCAACCTAATATCTCAAAGATGAATTCAATATCAGTTTCTTGATTTTTTATATTTCAGGTAAAATGGGCCACGGAGAAGAGCCGTTAACCGCGACGTATAAAACTCAAAGACCTCCATGGATCGGTCTCTGGAGCGACCGTGAATAGTAAGTTTCAGACTTAAATTCAAGACAACGCATTGAAGGATATTTTTTCAATCGTCCTGTATTTTTCAGCAAGGGACGCCCAGATTGGTGGAAGGAGCCAGGACTCGAAGATTCAGTTACCCGCTCCGGAAAACTTCGTCTCTATAGAGCTCGTTTCCGCGAGGAAGATCCAGATTGGTATGATCCAAAGGTATTTGTTTATCGTTTAGAAAAAAAACGAAAAATATATCACTAACAGGTGAAAGATGGAGAATCGCTCGCTGGACCATTTGGACTTGACTCCAAGAAGAACAAGAACCTCACCAAGAAGGGAGATCAGCCAGGAGATCTTGCTGACTTCCAAAACAAAGTTTACGAAGGATCGCATCAATTCAAATCCATTGCTGAAAAGTTCGGACTCAGCAAGGAACATCCAGGACTGGATGTCAGCCCAACTATGAATGATTTGATCAAAAGTATGATACATACCTAACTATAAATATCACAATAAGATTTATTTTTCAGCTCCAAAGGGTCAATTGGGAAGAAATGCAGTTCTCACCAACTCTTGGTATCACTTCGGCCCACGATTCTTCGATACTCCACTCAACGAGGGAGCATTCTGGAAGGGACTTGCTGCCGCTAAATATGCCGGAATTTTGTGTAAGTTTTTCAAATCAAATATTTTCAAAAAATCTTATATTTCAAGTGGCTCCATACACCATTCTCGAGATCCGTGCTCTTAACACTGTCTCTGTTGCCGAATTCTCGCCAAGGACATATTTGAAGGTTTTTTTTTTCACAAACTTAGGATTGTCCATCTAACAAGCTCGTATTTTTCTACATTCGATAAATTCGATCTTTTCAGAGATATCTTCAACTTGCTCCATTCCCATTGGCCGTCGCTTTCGCATGGGGTTTCACTCTGTCAGCTGCCGCCACTATCCGTAATAAGGATGATGTCAACAATCATTGGTTCGCCAGTGCCGCTGTTGGATCGACCGTTGCCACAATGAGTAAGTTTTTAGCTTTTTTGATTCTTCAGCACGCATAACTTTTTCAAAGTTAATGCAATTCTTACCATCCCCTGCAAAGTTTCTTATAATCTGATTGTTTTCAGAGAGCAATGTGGCACTTGGAACATCCGCTGCTATCTTCACTGCCATCCTCGGAGCCTTCTGGCAGTATCAACGACACTCCGAGACTGGACTCCAAGGAATGACCGCCCATCCACAGTCGTCTGGAATCTGGGGAGGACCACTTCTCTGGCAAAAGATGCAACTCGGAGATTCCGACGTTCCAAAGACACGATACTGATTCATTATTTTCTGTTTCGAATTTAGTCTCGATTCAATCATGTATAAGATATTTAGTTTTCGAAAAAGACGGCAATTAGTAACGCCTTTCGTTTCCAAATTTTTTTTTGCACTTTTTCAAATACAATTCTGTGGTTACGAAAGGTGTGAACCCATGTTCTCTTGTTGTCCTGTTGTCCATTCGCGAGGGAAGCTAAGACGCAGCAACAACAACACACTAATCGATTGTTTCACACGGGCTCGGTGTGTGAGCTGGCTCTGTTGTCCGGGTAACAAGAGAAAGAGGGTGGAAGGAAGGAGCTTTTTGGGCAAAGGGGAGCAAGAAAGAAAGAATAAGCGTCTTGGCGCACACCGACACATTCACTCACTCATAATTCTAAACTCGATGAAGTCGTCGAGATTTCTTCTGCTCCTGTTAGGAGTACTCCTTTTGATTCCTTCGTCGGAACAGATGGTTCAATGCAGATATACAAAAAATCTGACTAACAGAGCAGATGGTGAGTCGGAGACTGTCTGGAAACGATGAGAAGGGGTACCGAAAATCAATTAAATAACTTTCAAAAAGAAAATTTATATCTCCATAGATTTCACAAAATATGGGGGTTCGTTGGAAAAAAGATTACAAAAATTCAAAGTTTCCAAAAAGATCTTTGCTCCTTTTTGATCAGAATCACTTCGATCGAACTTTGATGTTATTTATTTCAGACATGAGAAATATTGAATTTTTATAAGTGATTCATGTTTTTATTCTGGTACCGAAGATTACGAAGGTCCCACAGTGAAAATACCGTAACTTAAAAACATGTCCATTTTCCTGATTTTGATTTTCGTGTGCTCTTAGTCAGTTTTTTCACTATCGAAAGTTTTCATTTCCGACTTTTTTTTGGGTAAAAATAACAGAAAATTCGACTAAAAGTGTAGTGAAAAACGAGAAAACAAATCTGAAAGAACATTTTTTAGGTTATTGTAGTTGTCGTTGAGGGACCATCGGACACGGTCATCGGTCTTTTCTCTTCCACATTTCCATTTTTTTGTACCAAAGTAATAGCTAACCTAGGTTACAATCGTAAATGAGATAAGCGGAAACGAGGATAAAACCAGTTTGAAAAAATTGTATAAGTTCATTGACCTTGTGTTAAAATAATATTTCTTTTTATCATGATTCCAATTACTAGGTGGCGATGAGCATTGTCTCTTCTACTACTTGCTCAATCGAGAATTCGAAGATTCTGGAAGTGTACACACTCTCAGCACGTTTCCTCCAAAATCCGATGAAATGAAGATTACGGTATCCTTACTCATATCCTACTTTCTTTCACTATAACCTCTGTTTCAGATCGAAAACGTACTCGTTAAATATGTAGAACTTGTAAAAGGATCCAGCTATCAATTCAATGTATTTGGGGATATTTACTTGGTAATTCAGTTCATGACACCAAATTTAAACTTGCATTTTTTTATAGAACTGGAAAGATGAACGTCTAAAGTGGGACAAAAAGGGCGAATTTGAGAACTACGATCACTTGTACATCTTCAATTCGAGTGCAATTTGGGCACCTCATGTTATTGATCATACGTGAGTCATTGGGATTTTTGGGTCACAAGGGTGAAATCAGGTTATTTTGAGGGGGAGAGGAGGGAGAAAACTAAAATCTAAAATTATAGGTTGAGGGAGATTCGAAAGATAATTATCGAGGCATAATAATAGTGTTGGAGTCTGCCTAGTAGAATAAAATTAAAAACTCTCGGAGCCAGTTTTCCAATCAACTTCTTTACTAAAATCTAGTCAAGAAAAACTGGGTGGCGGCTTTTTTGCTAATATATTTCTGTGATAGGTAAGATTCGGCGATCTAGCGGTTCTTGAAGTTTCTGGGTGGCTGAGCTTATTTCCTAAAGAACGGAGAAACTGATCCACGGCGGCCGGGCATCGGCTGACCGCGGGCACTGTTTCTGATAACTTTATCTACCATTCACAATCATCAATCAACTAATAAATCAGAATTAAAGTCTGACCTTGACTCTCTGGAAACAATTCCAGACTATGTGCTGATGGCGGATGCTCCTATTCTGTTGATGACATTGATATCTATGACGATGGAACAGTCTACGCTAGAATCCAGTTCAAGTACCAAGCGAGTTGTGCAGTAGACTATAGAAAGTAGGTCAACCTCTCATCTTTCAATTGATCTCCTTTTTTCTCAGATTCCCCGAAGAAGATGATAGTTGCTGTATCTTCTTCACTGCATTTGAGCCCAACGTTTTGAAAACGAAATTTGAAATTGAAGGAAAAGCAAAAGAGAAACTAAATAGACCTGTCTATGCGCAAAAGGTTTATGAAAAAGAAGAGAGATTGAGTGAGGTTGCACAGGAACATTCTCCATGGGTAGTGGTTGAGAGATCTATAAGTGTGTCTCATCTTGGAGGATTGGAGACTTTGGAAGTTCTTCAAGTTTGTGTGAAAGCGGAAAAACAAATGAGTACTGTAAGAGTTGCTCTTTTGTTCCCTGTTACATTGGCGACTTATGTTATGCTGGTAAGACATTCAAACAGATCGAACAATTCAAACAGACAAAACAAAATGATATATTATTCAGGCATCTCCACTTTTCGGGGACCTTCGTACTCAAATTTTCGTGAAACTTTTCACTCTTCACGTCCAAACCCTCTGCTTCCTTTACCTATGCACCATCACCCCATTGAATGGTTTCCTTGGAGTACGACCTAGAATTTGTGAGTTTTTAGATAAAGATTTCATTGTTTTTCATAAAACCTTTTTTCAGATATCTTCTATGAAATCGTATTTACCATCAGTTTCTGTAGTATTCTGGTTACTCTGGTTGTAATGGCTCTCAGTCGTGTCAAACGAAACGTCCCCCCATCTCATCGACTCTTCCTATCTGCCAAATTGGTTGGTCCAGGATTCAAAGAAAATTTTACATTAAATCTCTCCTTCTCAGATTAATCGCGTTGTCTGCTGCATTGAACCAGAGAGAACCGATGCTTATCACCGATTCGTCGAAGAGGAAACCAATCCCGAGGCACGTCCGACAAGTGAGGTAAATGATTCGGTGATTAGACGTGGTGCTGAGGTAGATGAGACGGAATATTTGGAAGAAGAGAAATTTAATTTCAGCTGGACTACACTCAAGACTGGCGTCACATCTATTTGGCTCTTAACAACATGTTCTCGGCTCTCATGTTCTCCGTCTTCCTCTTCATGACCTTCTTGGAGTTTTTCTAAATTTTACAGTGATTTTGGTTCCCTGAATACTCTCTTAAATCATCAGAAAATCTGTAATTTAATGACATCAGAAACGGAGAAATGCCAATTCCATTCGGATTGAAAAATTTTGATTTTCCCAAGCACAAATCCGTAAAACCTGTGATAGAAGGGCCCCCTTATTGTCAACTTTGTGCCAATTATTCTTTGTACCTATGAAGAATATCAGAAAGTGGTTAACTGACAAATTGTTCGTCACAAATATCAGTTAGGCATTTTTTGATACTTCTTATAGGAACCTAGATAAATTCGACCAAATTGTACAGTTTGGATGTCCTTATATTACAGGTGTTTCGTTTTTTTCAAGTATTTTATATTACAACGAAAAATTATTTGTCTTCTCTGAAAGTTTCTAAAATCAAACAAAAATTTTTTTTGTCTGAAAATTTTCCCAACTCAAAGTTATATACAAAAAGTTAAAAGTATCCCCAAATCGTAATATTCTCCTGGTCTCAAGTTTTTGTACCTTCTGTCACTTTCCATTGTTCCACCGACTCTCTCCCGTTGTGATACCAATCGGTTCCGTTTTCCCCCATTTTCTTTTCGGTCCATCCTTTCCGTCTTTTCTCGTATAAAATCTTTTTCGAATAAAGACCATCTACACTTTTCCTCTTCATTCCACAAAACGACATCCGTACTCCTTATCTCTAGTTCTTATCCAGTCCTCTCTGTTGTCTCTTCATCTCATGCACTCTCTCGCCGATTCGCCGAAAACTTGAAAACTTAACGAAATGATCTCAATAAAAGGAGAGAAACGAGGTAGCCATCGACGAGTCTCTGCTTTTTCTCGGAACTAGCTGAGTCAGTTTTGGAATCTCTTCGTTTTTACAATAGAAAATTTACAGAGATGTCAGTAAAAATCGCTTGCTATGTGACCGCTTCGGTCACCGTCGCCACCCTGATGGTGTGCTTCATGACCATGTCTACCATCTACTCGGAAGTTGATGGATTCAGAGAGCAACTCGACACTGAGATGAACGTCTTCAGAGTAAGATATATTGATTTCGAGATATTCATTCTAATTTCGATTCTCTTTTAGCAATCCACAAACGGATTGTGGAAGGATATTGTTGTGATTGGAAGAAACAGCAAGCGTGTTCGCCGTCAGTATGAAGAAACCAACGCCACCCCAACCCCACACGCTGATGGATCCCCATCTGCTCCACCAGGTCAACCACCAGCAGTTCCACCAGTCTTCAACCAACCAAAGACTCCAAATGGAGCCAATGGGAATGGACCAACCTGCAACTGCAATGCTGACAACAAGTGCCCAGCTGGACCATCTGGACCAAAGGGAACCCCAGGAGTTCCAGGACTCGACGGAGTTCCAGGACTTGACGGAATCCCAGGAGTTGGAGCTGAAGATATTGCCCCACAACGCGAATCTGTCGGATGCTTCACTTGCCCACAAGGACCAGTTGGACCACCAGGAGCTCTCGGAAGACCAGGACCACGTGGACTTCCGGGACCAAAGGGACAAAATGGAAATCCAGGAAGAGATGGACAACCAGGACATCCAGGAGAGCAAGGATCCTCTGGACCAATCGGAAAGATCGGAGAACCAGGACCACCAGGAGAGAAAGGACGCGACGCTGAACATCCAATCGGAAGACCAGGACCAAAGGGACCAAAGGGAGACCAAGGACCACCAGGACCACCAGGACAGAATGGACTTCACGGACCACCAGGAGAGCCAGGACCAGTTGGACCAGAAGGACCAACTGGAAAGCAAGGACGTCAAGGGCCAGACGGAACTTCGGGAGAGACTGGACCAGATGGAAGACCAGGAAAGGATGCTGAATATTGCCACTGCCCAGATAGAGCTCCACCATCAGAGGCTGTCAACGGAAACCGCGGATACAGAAACTTCTAGATTCTTTATTCAAAAGTTTTTTGTTGCTAATAAATACATTGATATTAAATTTGTTCTCAAGGAAACTTTTATTCAGAACGGATAGATCAATCAAAGCAATCAGTGACCTTAATGTAGAGAGTGAACTTTCCATCGTCTCCTTTTTCCTCCGAATTAGCAACTTTATCGAAATCGCGATGAACTTCGGTGTAGACGTTCGATGGGTTTGGGGTGGATGACACTGTTGGCTTGAGGATGTTCAGATTCTCATACACAGTTGATGGAGTTTTCACTGGAGTTATTGGCTTTTGGTGATGGTTACCATCTCCAAGTTGTTGACTCAACTCGTTCAAATTGAGCATGGATCTCTCCTTACGAGCCATATTGTCCTCACAGAGACGATCAATATGGGTCATTGTTACGGGACTTTTCATTGACAAATTGGTAGAAGATGACGTCGCAGATGAAGCCGATAAATAGGATGATTGATCGACCTGAATTATTTTAATATAATATGTATAATCTGGACAGTTTACCGAAGTGGAACTTGCAGAAACAATCGGAACATTTCCAAATGAGGCGATGGTCGTCGGTACGACTCCTTGAACATTGATCAATGAACTACGAGCAGAGAGAGTAGAACGGTCCTCCGTATCTGCCAAATCACGAATGTACACTGCAAAATCTTATTATAGGTTACCCTAAACCACGGGGAAAACCTTTGTAAGACATATCGAAGCTTTTGTTACTAGGAACATTCTTGAAAAAGTGATTGAACGTGCTTATGATGTCATTTGGAGAACTATGACCGGTCTCAAACCTTACTATTTTCAGATTCAGAAACGACTAAAAGGTACCTCATTTCTTTTACGAGTGTCCATTGAGTATCGAGTTTTCTGTTTGTCAGAAGAGGTTGAGTAGGCAATACAGACATTTTAGTGCTGAGGGTATTACTGACTGATGGTCCACGTATGCCTCGTGTCTCATTAAATTACGTTTGAGAAATTACAGATGACCTAGTTTTACATTGACGTGTGCATCAACCATAAATATTACCACGTTCTCAACGAACAATGAGTCTGAAAATGGCACTAGGTAGCAATGGAAAAAGAAGCATTCGCAGTGGTATCGGTAATCAAATTGTTTGTTTTCCGGCCATCTCAATTCTTTTCAGGCAACGCTGCAGGTGACAACAACAAGGAGTTAGCACTGGGAATCAAGCAAAACTACGAAGAAAGTTGTCTGAATCTTCAAATGGCGGAGCGACAGACGGTCGTCGGAAGAGATATCCCTTCCAATGAAAACCGTTACTTTGGAGGTCTTATTGGAAACAAGGAGATTTTCGTGATGACAATGATCGCCGTGGCGTTGTATTTGATTGAGGGAGAGCATGCTAAAGTAGGTCGAAAAGAAAAGAAAACAGAAACACAAACCGAATTTCAGTTGGTATGTACCGCTCTGACTTCCGTACCACCAGCGATTTTTTCGTATCGAGTGCTGATGAATCCAAAGAGTTCGAAAGATGGATATGTGAGTTTTTTGACTGAATTCTCTCGTTTCTCAAAAAAAAAAACAATTCAAGCACTCGATCCTCTTCTACTGGACCATCTATGGTCTTCTAGCTGTATTCGATCAATTCGTTGGCTCTCCCCAAGGGTACAATCTCATCAAAGGAGGTCTTCTTGGAGCTGTCTTCCTCCATGCATTCCGATCCAACCCACACGCGATTCCTCCGTCCTGGAACATTCCGGATCCGGCTACTGTCGAAATGCTTACTTCTATCTTCACTCGTTATGATTCCAACGGATATGCTCAGCAGACGACCTCATCTGGATTTGATCCCAGGTCTCCAACAATTACTCATTTTTCTGATGATGACGAATCTGAATACATGCCCATGAGCTCTTCAGTTCTGGAACAAGAACCAGTGGATGTTAGCACTGCGTGCAGTTTCATTCCATCAGTTTCCATGCAAACCACCCAAACTGTTTCTCCTGAATTCGTTTACGAAACTGCCGCTCCAAAAACAACACCAATCGTTGATGATAACGCTGAACCGAATTCCACGATGCGAGTCCATTATAAAGCACAAAACCAATACGAATCAATGTCGGCAATGACTGTGACTTGTGGTGGAGCACCGGATATTGTCACAGTTCCTTCGGATCGAATCGTCTTCAAACATGATATTCGAGTGACCCAAATTCAAGTCACTAATGTTTCTCCTCTTCATCTCATGTTTGCTCTGAAGGTGAGTCTAAAAACGAGGAAATTTTTAAAAATTAAAATTTCAGACAAATGCTGACACCCATCTTGTTGCTGCTCCAACCACAGGAGTTCTTTTGAGTGGTCAGAGTATGCGGATGAGAGTTGGTGTTACAGATGGTTTCTTCAAAACTTGTGCCGATCCAGGGAAATCGATTGATAAGGTACTTGGAGTTTCAGAGATTTGAAAAAAAAACGAACATTTTTCAGCTTGCCATCGACTATACATCGATTCCACAAAACTGTGCTTCCGAAAATCTCAAATTTTCGCACGACTTTTTCCAAACGCACAATCGTCGTCGCCACGCCATTCGTGTCTTCTATCAATGATCCTTTTTTTCAATATCATGTAAACCAAATTTTTTTGAAATTCCCTCTTCTCCGTTCACTAATTCTGTCTCCATGCTTTGTTTTGATTTGTAACATAAAAGTTTAATTTTATAAACTGGTATTTGTAAAGTGCAGGAAAGATTTTGGGCCTGGTCTAAAGGGCGAAACTAACTACCAATAAACAGTTCAGATAAATAGACTTCACAAGTTGTACAGTAATCCAGGAAAACATATTTTTTATTTATCTTCAAAAGCGTTGACACCATACTTGTAACGGGCCGGACCGGGCTTTTTTCCGAACTTCGGAGGCCCGGCCCGGCCCGGCGGGCCCGTCATTTCACAAGTTTTGAAAAGTTCCAAAAACACATGAGTTGACACTGAACAATCATTTTTTCTGCAAACTCTTGACAATAACAGCTCAGCGGGTGACTCATTTCCGATAACACACAACACAAACATCTATTTAGTAAAAGCCCCGTATGAAAAAATGACAAAAAGGTGTCAAAATTCGAGTTGGATATACAAATAATCGGAGAGCACCGCCAGAGCTTCCGAGCCAGAGCAAGGGGAAGAGAAGGCAATCGGATATGTGGCATTTTCGGGCGGTGCCTAGTGGAGAAGTCCGTCCAAAATAAATATCGGGAGAAGAAAGCACAACGAAAAAAAAGCAGATATCTTTGGGAAGAGTGTCGGGGAAAAAGGCGATGTGTGTGGTGTGTGGAAGGGGTGCAACTTTTCTTTCTCACTCACTTTCATCGCCTCCTCTTCTCCGTAATAGAATTCAAAGAAGATGTGCGAAACTTGTCATTCATTCATTTTGTGCTCTCTTCTCTCTTCGTCAAATCATTCAAGAAGGCTGTCGTCGTCGACGCCCTCTTCTCCACGTCTCCTTCTTCTTCTTTTCTTCTGTCTGTCTTGATTCAAGAGGCGTGAGAAGGAAGGAGTAGGGTCCAACGGATTCTTGGGAACAAGTTTACTCTCCAGTCAGTAACCACCAAATACCCTCCTCTTATTCTTCCCTAAGGGGATATTTGAGCTTCTTAATTTGGGGGTCTAGGCTCTTTCCAAAAACGAGGTGTCCCAATTGAATATTCATCATTCTCTTGCGATTCGGAATTAATATTCCAGTTCTTTCTCTATCTCCTTCTTTCCAATTCTGTTTTTTCTCATTCTTGTCTCCTCCATCTTCTTCATTTTCCTGTTTTGCCTGGTTTGGGGTATCTGAGTTCATCTTTTTACACAACTGATGATAGGATTATATCTTCAGATTGTTCCCTAATCTCCTGTTGATAGTTTTTAGGTGTAATATCTTGTTTTTTCCAAAAAGTCGGATAAAATTGATGGTTTTTTATCAATATCATTGGTTACCAAGTTTACAGTATGCTCTATTCAAAATTATAGAAAGTATTACTTTTCAAAATTTATATCAGTTTACTTTAAAAGTCTACTGAAACAGGAACAATTATTGAGATTAGTTTCCGCCGACGGTTTCGATGAAAAGTCAGTGAACAAAACCGATATTGTGTTCCTAGGACTTTGATTTTCAAATATAAAAATATTTTAATTCATAAATACATCACTCTTCGAGTTTCTTGTACCTAGTGGACAGTTTGAAAATTTTATTTGTTTTCAAAAAATTTCGACTCATTTACTTTTGAAAATCGATACTGAACAATCATTGCACTAGACAGTCTGCTCGAAATCTGTATAAAACACTTTTCAATAAAAAATAGCTTTGATTTTTTGTACAATATCCGATAAGGCCACATGATGAGCTATTTGACGAAAATCAAGTTTTTACGACTTGAGCGAACATTTGAGTTCGGGATTCAATAAACTTAAGAAAAAACAGATTTCCCCAAATCTTGCCACTTTTGTCCTGGCACGCTGACTACCAGATAAGAGCTAAAATCAGAAAACAAACTAATCTGATCCTAAAAAAGTACCAAATCTTTTTCAAAATCCGCCTCAGAACCAGCTCATCCTTTTTTTCAGATTTCTATTCAAAGGTAAATATCTATACTACTACCGCCTACTTACTCTAGAAACGCAAGTTTTTTCTCTTCATAATAAGAAACTGGAAAGTTGTATCTTCTTCTCCGGATTACATCTTCATATATTTACACGTCGCTTCTTTTCTTCCATGCATCCACAAAACACCCCATACTTTTACGTCTTCTATTTTCTTTTTTCCTGCTGATTTTGCGTCGTAATAGGATTTCGATTCAAGTGTTGACAATTTTTCGTTCCGTTCGTTTCGGCAGCTCCTCTGTTGGCCCATCTACTTCTCACGTATGCTTCTTCAAAACTTTGGTTGCTTTATTCAGAAGAAGTCCTCTTCTTCTTCTATTCAATTCGCCCTTTCAACCTTTCTATTGAACTTCTTCTCTTCCATCCTCTGATTTTCCGACTGAATAGAACTGAAGAGTGAACAAAAATGAAGGAAAAAAGGAAAAAAGAAGAAGAACTCAGGAGAAGAAGCCCGAGTCTCACTACTTTCATTATGAGTCTAATTACGGGAAGATTCCATCTTCATCGTCATCATCAGAGTCCCTCACTATTCCCTTTTTTTGCAGATTCCTACAAAGTATTTTTTATGTTTACACATTTTCTTTTTTTCCTCTGTCGTTTTTTCTCATTTTCTTCTGACAACTGCCGTTTTGTTGTAAATTTCCTGTAAAGGCGTGCCAATCAGTACCTTCTCACAGGAAATGAAATACCCGGCGAAATATATAACTCTAACAGTCCGTCTATTCAATTTCCGATCGTTATTTTTTTTCATAGTAAGGGTATCTATAACCGCGAATATTGGGCTCTTTATTTTTGTATAGCTAGCTAATCTTACGTTTGGCTTTTGCATATTTGGAATATCTTCGTATACTTTCAAAACTTATTACGGCTCTCTGCGATAGGCGAGCACTCAGTTACACCGTCTCAAAATTATCTTCACATGAAACACAAATATTTTATCATTGACTCTCCGGGAACAGTGGTGGTATAGGTAATACCGTAAAACCTGTATTAGAAGGACCGGCCCTTCTATTTTTTCCAGCCATTTTTTCTAAATATTTCATCAAAAGTTTGGTAAAATTGGAATCATAATTCATGAAAATGCATCAATCGCCCAAAATTGGGCAAGTTCTTGAACAAATAAAGAGTGTTTCAACAAATTTCTGTAAAATTTTGGAATTTCCGGAATATTTTTCACTGACAAAGTACTGAAATCTTTAATTTCAAACATAACTTTTCGAAGGGGACCCTTCTATAAGAGAGGCCCTTCTATTAAAGGGGCTCTTCTAATACAGGTTATAAGGTATTCGAGAAAAACTGTAAATAATTATTTTTCTTTTTTTTTTTGAAAAGTGGGATACAGTTTGTCATTAGGTTAATTAAAAATCATTAAAATTGCATATACCTTTTTTCTATAGAACGGTTTTTTATATTTGTTCAAGTTTTCACTTTGAGCTCACTTATATTTATATGAGCTTGTGCACAAACGCGATTCGCTAATTGAGCAAAACGAAGTGTGGACAAACTTCACTGAATCGCTCATTATCAATCAGGGCAATCTTTCGGAAACCTCCGAAACACCCAATTAAGAACCTGATTTGATAATGAACGGCAAAGTTTTAAAATTCAGATTTTTGGGAGCTTCGAAAGCTGTATCCAGTCGGAATCTGAAACTGTCTATATTTCTGTGAATCTTAACTGTGATGGGGTTCCTATTGTAAAACCTTTTAACGCCCTAATTTTAACACACACAGAAAAACAAGAAATAGAAAAAAAACTTCGAAACCATATCAAGTATATTTTCAGCCGTTTGCTAATAATATCAATTTTCAATCTTATTTTGTGAGATATTTTACTTTGTCCAGGTCAATCAAAGCAAGATCTCATTGACCTGATTCGCATCTTTTGCTCCCGAATAAATGACTTCCTATTCCTTTCCAATCGGAAGAAATTCTTTTTTCCTGTCCCATATTTTGTCCTATTCGTTTCAGCTCATGTCACTTTATAAGCACATCTTCTCCTTTTTGTCTGTCTCCTTCTTTCACCTTCCTCTTGATATCCTATTCTTGATTTCATTCTTTTCCTTCTTTGTCTCGAAATTCAATCTCACTTCTTTTGTTCTTTTTCTTCTTTTCTGCATTTTTACCAACTCGTAGAATCGTTACTTTCTGCTCGAAAAATTTGTTAATTTTCTAGCACTTGTTTGGAATTTCTTTATGTGTCAGAAAAAAAAGAAAAAAAAATGGGAAAACGACGAAAGGAGAAATTGTTTATTGTGTTGAGTCAAGTAGTGGTGTCAATCTGAAAAAAAGAAAAATGAAGCAAGAAATAGGAAATTGGAGCCGCCTGTCGTGCCCTTGCTTGCAGTGATGAAATACTGGAGTTGGAAATTAAAAAGTCATTGAAAATTGTTTTGCATTCATAAATCAGGTCTTGCACTGATTGATTGCAGAGCTAGATTGAATAAGAAATTGAAAACTCTTGATTTCAATTTTAGATTTTCAGAAAATTTGTTTCTTGGTTGAGCAAGTTTTGATTGCAAATTTTGATTGGACCGATATCTATAAAAATATTGTGATGAATTCATTCAGAAAAAAAAGATACAGTATTTTTTCACTTTTCATAGTCTGCTCTAGTAATGTACTCCTAAGAAATTCCCCGTTGTTAGTAGCTAGTAAAAATAAATATTTTTTGCATAAAGATTTCTTCCAGAGGTACCCGCGTTTTCGGATTTTCTAAAGAATAACTAATTTTTAGGAAATTTTTAGACAAAAACCGTATGTTTTTCTGGAACACTTAGTGAATGCAAAATGTGTTCCAAAATTAGAAAATGTAAAGTAAGCAGGAATTTACTTCGCATCTGACCATAAAACCTGTAATAGAAGACCCTTCACACTGTCAAGTTTAAGCTCAATTATCTCAATTCTTATGCAAGATATCAAAAATACCGTATTTCCTCTAATAGAAGCCCACCTCTATTTGAAGCCCACCTCTAATAGAAGCCCACCCTGGCTGTGCATTTTTCTTTTCGGTTGGGGTATCCATACTCTTTTTTTTTGCTTATTTTTCTGGTTTTTTCTGTTAATTATTGTCGTTTTATAACGATTCCAGTTCAGTTAAAACCCGAGAACCCTCTAATTTGAGCGTTCTCTCTAAAATTAGTCCACCTCCAGAAAAAGGTTGAAATATAGAAGCCCATGGGCTTCCATTAGAGGAAATACGGTATGTCAACTGACAGAAAACTTTTGGTATCATGTTAAACAATTAAACCTTTTTCATATCTTTGACAGGAACCAAGAAAAATAGCCTCAACGTTAAAAGTTAGAGAGCCCTTCTATTACAGGTTTTACTGTTACTGTACCTCTGATTGTGAGCTATTCAAATTGTAAGACATAGAGACGAAGTTAGAGGACTCTCAGCTACAGTAATCTACAGTAATAAACAAAAGAGTTGAGCCATCTGCAGTAGACATTGAAAAGGTACAGTAACGTGAAAAAGTCTCTAATTTCTTCATTTTCCTGAGAATGATTTCTGCTACCGTAATACTGTAGATATTCTAGACAAAATAAGATATTCAAAATTTGATTCCAGAAGCTGTGACCCTCACTCCAAAGTTTGATCAACCCTTGAATATCACTTCCTGATCGTCATTTTTCCTATTTTATGTTCGAAATTTCAATTGCTATTACCTTAAACACACTACTAGAATATCATTCAAACTGTCAACTTTGAGAAATTTTATCTCGATTCCTGTGAAAGAAATCGGAAAACGGACAACTGGCAAATATTTCGTATAAACACAAGAAAATATTTTGTCATTAGGCCGTTTTCTGATATTTCTCACAGGTATCGAGGTAAAAAGGCTCGAGAATAGAGTGTTTACGGTATTCATACTCTTTCATTCCCTTCCCTCGATCCCTAGAGACCGCATCTCATAAACTGAACAGTTTCTGTTGCAGGCAACGTCGTTCTCGACGACCCCATCAAATCAGACGAGATTCGGTAGATGGCCCCATGGGATACGTGCACGTTGTGCTCTTCTGGTAAGTGTCTGGGACGGCTCCTTCCGGGGGACCACTACTACCCCAATTCGTCTTGTCTCCAGCTCTTCTTCTTATTCTCCTTGTGCCCCCAAACGCCCCGTTTCTTTTGCTCCTTCTACACCCCGGTCGGTTTTTGTTTTCGACTCTGTCTCTTCTTTCTGCCTTCCGCCCCATATCGTCCTCTTCGCGCATCCCATCCCCCGGTTGGAGATATATAGACGCCAAACCGAATTTAACTCTCTACTCCCTTGTATTCTCTCACATTCTTCTGGAGTCTCTGAATATATAGGAAAAAGGGGAAGAAGAAGAAGAAGAAGAAGAGTCGCGGTCGGAGTCAAAGCGAAAAACGAAGAATCGACGATTCCATCTGAAGCGTCGACGACAGAAAAGGCGTTTATTTTCTGCTCGAATGCTCCATTCCGAATCCACGCCTGCTTGCCTCGAGCCATAACACCTGACCTCTCTAGCTCATTCTTCTAGAGGCCAAAGGAATGCTATTTATTCTGACTATCTTATTCAGGCTCTCACTGTCACATCTACCGAACGATACAATTGAAGAAGCCCCACCGTCCATCGCAAAATTTTCTGCCAATATCCTCAGAGATTTTGAGACACAATCCAGATTTTCAATAGTTCAAGACGTGAGTTTTTATGTTGTTTCCAAAAAACCAGATCAAAAACCGGGACCTCATGGGATAATTCTTGGTTCTCTATGAGATCTGAAAGCAGCAACATATAATTTTAGTGTATAGTAGAAAAAAGCTCCAGGTTATATGTATATCTGACTCTAGTCGCCCCTAATCTATCACGCGATCGGTTAAAAAATTTAATACGAAATTAATTTGGTCTTCGATCACCCAATTATCAGAATTAAATTCTTATCAAACAACCTTTCATTTGCCTTATTCTTCAAAGTACACAAAACAATAAAACAAAAATTCTTCGTCTCCAGTGCACCCCAGGGACCTAAAACACCATATCACTAATAAGCCCAATTACCGAATTTTTCTTTTCTCTTTTTTCACTTTTCGTACTTTAGGAGTTCGAAAAGCTCAAATCGGACATCAAATCAAAAAAGGAAGATGCAGCTGAAAAACTTCGGGAAGCGACGGAACATCTCGATCGACTTGTCACCAACAGAGTTCAAGCGCTCAAGGTATTCATTTTTTTAGAATCTAGGATCCGGGGCGCCTCGAATCTATAGAAAAAAATGCATGGAATAGAAGAATATATTCCATGTCTTGTCTTCATTTTTCTTCTCGTTTCTGACAAGTACTATAATTAGAACACAAGAAAAAAGACAATAAATAAATTGTGTCTCCGGATGGAATGATGAGAATATGAGAGCATAACTTTCTGCTATCCTATTCTCTTTCCCTATTCCAACATAATCACGTGCCATATCCGCACATTGATGGGTGGACATCTATCCAAATTGCATTCATCTTTTTTTCCTTTTCTTGCAGAAATTGGCGTCGAGTGCCGAAGCGTCCGCAGCGGTTTTCGACGAGTACGATGATCAGGCGTATGCAGTGCCACAAGCCGACAAGAGATGTGAAGCGTACATGACGAAGATGAATGAGTCTGATATGCATTTCGTTTCAAATGCAGTAGAACAAAATTCAAAGTCTGGAATTCATATAACAGTTGAATCGTATCAATGTGATCCGAAAGTGATGAGAGATTTTGATTGGACGGGGACGAAATTTATAGAGAAGACAATGACGGAGAATAAGGATAAGGATCCGGATATGGGACATCAGTATATTGGAACCTATTCTGGATTGACCAGAACTTATCCAAGTGAGTTTGAATATTAATCTCTGGTACATAAACAGACAATAGATTTTAAATATTACTGAGATCTAATTTTTTTAAACTTTGAGAGTTGCTTATAAATTCTCAGTTTTCCTGATCTAATCCAAAATTAGAGATTCAAGTATCTTTGTTTTCCAGGACGTCATTGGAAAGTGGAACCAGCACCAATCACAATCGATCTCTTCGATCCTCGATTCCGTCCATGGTTCGTTAATGCAGAATCAGTGCCAAAGGATATTGTCTTTCTACTTGATTAGTGAGTCAATCCATCTCAATCTTCATTTCATAAAATCTCAAATTTCAGTTCCGGAAGTGTGAAAGGACCCACTATGCATCTCATCAAGATCACAATGATGTACATTCTTTCGACCTTAAGCCCAAACGATTACTTCTTTGGAGTCTATTTCAATAATCATTTTAATCCAATTATCAGCTGTGCAAATCGAACTTTTATGCCAGCAACCACCAGTAATAAGAAGGTGTTTTTTGAAGAATTGGGAATGTTGGAAGAGAAAGATCAAGCCCATTTTTCGACTCCGTTGAAGTTTTCATTGGATGTTTTGAGAGGGGTAATTTCCAGAGACTGGGAAGTCCAGCAAAGAAATATTTTCAGAACCTAGATTCTAATCAATCCCTATTTGCTGATTATCGTTCAGAAGGTCACAAACTCCTGATAATCTTCACAGATGGAGTTGATGAGTGGCCACACCAAATCCTTGATGAAGAATTCCAAACTAGAAATAGTGAATTGATTAGAATATTTGGATTCTCTATGGGCTACGGTACTAGCCTTCTACCACTTCAACAATACATGGCATGCAAATCTCATGGAGGATATTCAGGTACTGATCTTATTTAAAAAATAAATAGCTCAAGTCATATTTGTTTCAGAAATCGACTCTATAATGGATGTAAAACCACAATCAAGAACAATACAAAACGTGTTGAGTCAAGTGAGAGGAGATGAGCTGAGAGGCACGAAAGCAGAGAATCGGGAGCCGAGTTGGACACAGTTGTATATGGAAACTCAGGGATCTGGACCTATCGTAACCCTATCACTTCCCATATTGACAAGTGATCAGAGGATATGGAGGGAGCAAAGTTTAGCAGGAGTTGTAGCCATCGATATTTCCATAAAAGAACTAACAAAACATTTGCCAACATCCAGTGAGCAGATGTACGCGTACATTGTGGACAACAATGGAATGCTCATTTATCATCCACAGCTTCAGATTCCAGTAAGTTGTTATTATCATGAAAAATGTTCAAGTTCCCTGTTTTAGAAAACCGAAGTTCATTGTGTTCGTCGAAGTGCTTGTTATGATGCTCAACAAGTGAAGCAAAAGGCTGGATCTGGACTCCGTGTCCACTATGGATTCAGTGATGAACGAGTTTATAGATTAGTTGGATTAATAGACAGTATTCCTACTTTGGATATGGTAGGTCAAAAAGTCGAAAAAAGAGAATCCAATGAAGTTTTAGTATGACCTGGAAGGCGATTCAACTGCAATTCGGGATCTGAGAAGAAGAATAACCACGAAAACTTGCTACGAGGAAGCCATTAAAGACGTAAGTGTTCAATATTTTGAAACCACTTAGAATGTACAGTTTCAGGACTCCAAAGAATATCACTGTGCTCACATCAAAGACTCGCCGTTCACAGTTGTCATCGTAAACAGTCTGGAACTGAAGACAGTATATTATGATGAGGATGTACCAGAATTAGATATATCCAACAACAAACTGGTGACATTTTTCTACCCTAGAAGAGATGTTTGTCAGTGGAAACTTGATGAATATCAGCCATACGACAGATTCAAGGTGTGGTCAGGCATTTCGGATCAGCAGATTTGCAGTCAAGATGATATGAGACTCCCGAGAGCGTTTACGAAGGCATTGGGGAGTTGGACTCAATCGTGGCCATCTTCAGGTGAGTTTCTTCGTTGCTTAGAAAATACCTTAATAAAGGAGATAAGTCTCATTCATTATTTTCGAAAAACATGTTCAAAATCCCAAGAAGTTTCCTTTTTTCAAAAGTAGACCCAATATTCCTTACGTAGTAAAATCGGATCTAGAACTCAAACTGTATATTTGACTGATTTAGAAACAACACTTTGATTTTGAGACATTGAACACACAACTTGCTTGCTGGTCGAGTTCCCAGACAACGCGTCGGTTCCACATTATGTGAACAGTTTTGTTCACACAAGATCGAAACTAACTGTTTTCTATCCGACCTGGTAAGTTGTCAACATCTTCCTTCTCGTCATGATTCAACTGTTTTCAGTTCGAGCCACGACATGAAAGCAGTAAACAAAAAGTTTGACGAAGAAATCAAAGTAACCGATAACAACGATTTTGTGCAGTTCTCAATGAGATCCGGTAGTCTTTTGATCTATCGAACGATTGCGGATTATGAGAATAATCGATTGGCAGTTGTGGGAACGCAATGGAAGGAAAATTATTTTGATCAATACTTTGATAATTTTACAAAGCAACATTCAGACTGGAAAGTTTGTAGGAAGGTATAACTAAAAGATAAGAGATGAAATTGACAACAACAGTGTTTCAGCAAGAATGTTCGATAATCACTAGAAATGGACATGTGATTGCGTCATCAGCTAACCGACAACCTGCACATTTAGCCAACTTTGACCCTCAACTTTTTGAGTCTTTGATTAAAATCAATTTGGTTTCGACGTAAGTCATAAATGCCTGACAAAAGCAACTAAATCAGTCTGGGTCCAGAAAATCTTGGATCGATGTGCAATCAGAATGCAAAGCCAAACGAATCGCTCCTTGGAGTAGTGCAGCACCCGCGTCGAGCAGCTTTCTCCGTTATTTTGTCACCTCAATCTTCAAGTTCGCACAAACTTCATTTTGGAGGAACCTCTTCGAATCGGCATTCACTGTAGTGGATGCCCAACCATCGATGTCTGGAAAGACGTGCACTTTCCAAAAGATCAAACCATTTGAACGATGTTTTATGAAGTTTTTCCATTATCGAATGTCTCTGAATATCACCAAACAACTTCAGTTAACAGGAATGTCTACGTGTTCAAGGTGAATAACATGTTAAAATCTCGAAAAATGTCTTAATTTCAGATACGCCAAACTCTATCCAGTGCCAAACACAACTCTTTCACTTATCATCGCGGATCGAGCGTGTAGTCAGTATAGACCGAAAAGGAAGTATGAAGCAGAACCAAGAAAATGTTAGTTTTAAAATAAATTGGCTTTCCAGATCCTCATTGATGCAGATAGAACTCATTAGGCTCTAGAAGAGTGGAAAAATCAATGGCTGAAAATTACTGTATTCAAAACTTACTTTGGAATACAAAAACTGACATCTCAAAAGTTTTATACCATGCTTACAACAGGCCGGGATTCTTTTCAAAATTTTCTCAGCACGGTCGCGATTTCCAGTTATTTTTTTCCTGTCTTAAATTTTTCGGGGCCAAAAAGTACCTTTAAAATTTCCGGAATTTTTTGAGACCTTACTTTTCAATTGTGGTTATTATATGGAATCGGCCATATTGCTCAGCTTGTCTAGTATATATCGTACAAAGAGTCAACATTTCTAAATTATTCATTTAATCAAAAATAAACTGATATTTCAGTGGAAAAATGCGAAGTAGTTCATTCTCATGCCCGTCGAAGACCAGATTCACTGAATGATTGGAAAATCGAACTTCAGGTGTGTTTATTCATAACTTATTTTGAGTTCACTCATCTGTTTGCTTTTGTAGACTAAAAATATACAAATGACATAGATTTTTGTCTCAATCTTACTATATTTCAGAACAAACATGTGGATTGCATCAATGGAACTAATCGACTTCTATCCAGTTTCCTCACCATCCTGATTGTTTTCATATCATCATTTCGGATATTTTAGTTTTTTTCTCGATCCATTCTTATCCTTACATCTCAGACTGTGTAATATGACGTGTCTCAAAATGTGAAATTCACTTTTCCCTTCCTTCTTCCAGATATCTTTTTTGTTATTATCAAGAAGCAGCTAAACGGGTGTGACTCAGTGAACAAATGAATTTTACTATTTAATTTCCGCCGATTTTTCAGGTTTGAGTTTCAGGGAAATGGCAAGAGCTAACGTCCACCATGCGACTGTAATCAGTCTTTATAAGTAGGGCGTTAGTCGAAACGAGATCATTAACGCATTCGGATTGCAGACAAGTGGTTTTTTGAAGTTATCAATCGATTCATCAAGTCTGGACCGTGCCACCATCGATGCCTACCCAAGACATCTTCAGGCCGTAACTGATGTGAACGGTGGTCGAATCGAAAAATTATTTTTGATTATAATTTTTGTACGTCTGAGTAATGATATTGTTGAGTTTCATCAGTTTTCGACTTTTACTTTTCGAGAAAACCTCTTTCAAACATATGCCGGTAATTAAAAGCCACCCTGTATGTAAAATCGTAGATCGTTTTTTTTAAATGACGTTAGTGGAGTTCATACAATCTTATTGAGGAAGTGAAATGCGATACATCCATGTTTGGGTTTTTTATGCTTCATCTAAGTCAGGATTTAAAGATAGGATGAGTGAGAAACGATGGCAAAGGAGCAACATAAAACTGCCAGCCAGAGGAAGCGAAGATTAGCCCCGAAAACTCAGTAAATACAGAGAAAGTGAATCAGGCCAAAGCCAATCCAGGAAACCGTCAAAATGGAGCTGAAAGATATTGAAAGATTCAGTTTTTGAGTCCAACAACCATCGATAACATTTTTCACATATTTTAGTTTTCTTTGTTTGTCGTTTACAGATTTGAAGAAATTACAGAGCAAATGGACCACATGAGGGCGAGACTTCACACAAGCATAAAAATTTTTTTTTTGAAAAAAATACCGTAGAACCTGTAATAGAAGGGCCCCCACACTGTCAAGTTTGAGCTGATTTTTCTTGGCTCCTTTGCAAGAAATCGAAAATGTGTCAACTGATGGATTTTGTTGTTTCTCTTGTTTCTCAGTGAACTTCTTTTTCATATCCTTGACAGGAGCCGAGATTGGCTCAAAGTTATAACTCTCCTCGTACAGGGTAAACGGTAAGATCGAGTTATAAACCCTAGGAATTTATAAGAAAAATAATAAACCAGCCTTTTTTTCATTATTAAAGAAGTTAAGTTTCCGGTAAGTTTTTTTCATATTTTTTGAAAAAAACATTTTCATCCGTATCTTCATGTTTTCCACCAAAGGCGACTCAGAACCTCAGATCTATTTCTGTGCAAAAACCCATAAATTCGTCCAAATCCCATTCATCTTGCAAAATCGTCCCCATTGGAAGAAAAAAGTTGTGCCAGATGGCAAAGATGTAAATCATGGTTCTCTCTGCCAGTTACACACCTCCTCAGAAACCACTCAACTTTCCACTTATCGCAACCTTTGCACCTTATCCTTTCTGACATAAATGAGAAGAAGTACCACGTCCACTCGAGAATTTCAGAAACAGTATTTCTGCGTACCACTTTTTGCACATACCTAAAATCCGCTTATGTCTAGTGACTCCTCATTTTCTACTTTCAAATTCATACGTCTTCATTTCTCCGAAGTCCGTGGGTGTACACTTTCCTGTATTGTAATCTGGGAAAGTGGAAAAATGACAAAGAGTAAGAATCAAACGAAAAAATGGGTGGAGTAACGGAAAGAGAAGGAAGGAGGCGTTGCAAAATGAACCCCTCTTCTCATCTGGAATTCAGGTGTTTGGCAAGCTCCGCCCACAGTCTTCGATAACTATAAAAACTCTGTCAGATGACAACTGTTTGTGTCGCCTCGTGTTTTTCCTAATTTGCAAAGCCCATTCTCCTCTTATTCTGTTTTTTTTCTTCGAAAATCAAAAATTTAGCACACCATATCCTTTCTTCTTTGACAAATGACGAATTGTATAGTCTTCACAGTCAGTCAAATCTCATAAAACTTTCAATTTTCTGACAAATGCAAATAATAATGGAGCTCATCAAAAGTGTATAAAAGACAGCTCATTTCTAAAGAAAGAGATCTCAAAAAAAAAGGCTATATTTTAATTAAAATCAGAATAGAACCAGAAGCTCAGACTGTTTTATTATGCTCAATTCTCTATTGTTAGGATAGTACTAGCCAGCCTAACATCATTTTCCTGACTCAATCCGATTCTATTATTTTTCTTTTCTTTTGCTCATTTTTGATCATACTGGACTAAACAAGTCATTTCTAATCATCCAGATCCAATCAGATTCTGTTTTTATTCTCTGCATGGTAGTATATAAAGAGAGGTGTTTTTAGACTCGCAATTCGGATTTCTGGTTTTGTGAATGTCTGAAAAAGCTTCTATATTATCACATTTACTTGTTTTGAGATCTAGAGAGAACACTTTTTGAACCGGCCAAGCTAGAAATTCTCAGAAGCTCATGATCTTGCTGATCGTAAATTCCTAGAAACCATACTTGTAAAATTCCGGGCCGGCCCGCCAAAGCCCGGGCCCGGGCCCGGGCCCGGCCCGGAAGGCCCTGTGTAAAAAATTCTGTATTTTTGAGCCAAATTTTGAGCTCTCAATATAATTTTCTCCATTTTTTTCGTATTTCGGATTGTTTGTCTGTCTGATCAAAAAAGATCGAAAAACTCGAAAAAAAATTTTTTTGGTCGAAAAAAATCACATAATCACATAAGCCCTTATGCGTTTTTTGAAAATTTCGAAACTAGTGAAATGACGGGCCCGCCGGGCCGGGCCGTGCCGGGCCTCCGAAACTCCGGAAAAAGCCCGGCCCGGCCCGGCCCGTTACAAGTATGCTAGAAGCCAGATCAATAATTCCTAGAAAGCGATACAGTTATCATTCCAAATTCCTCGGTTTCGAACTTCCCCCCTAGGGGTCAAATTCATCAAAGAACACCCCTCACAAATGATCACGAAGAGAAATTATCAGCTACACTGTATCTCCTAGGTGTTTTCTTCTCGTGAAAATCATATCTGTGATAGGGAACATTCCTTCGTACTGATAACCGGAAACCATTTGATTATAGGGTCTGATGACCAAGAAGTCGATGCGATTTCCTTTTTTCTTGTTATTCTTTTGGAATATGATTCCCACGAATTCTTCCAACCCCTCCCTCTTTTTGTATATAAACCCAAGTAACTGATCCAACAACTTGCAGTTTTCCAATCACCATGCGATTCCTCATCTTGGCTCTTCTCGTGCTCTTCGCCATCACCCAGGCCTATCCATCATCGGACTATCAACCACGTCACCGAAAAAGCCAGACTCGTAAGTTGCACCGTTACCTCAAAATGGTTTCAACAGACTTTTTCCAGAAGAGGCTAACATCCAGCCATTCATCCGCTTCCGCAAATCGACTCAACCTCAACAAAACTGGATGTTCCGCCCGGATGCCGCCCCATATTTTGAATAAATTCATTGAGAATGGAATGACTCTCTTCTGTTAGACATCTTTCTCCAAACCCAATGATAATCTCTATCCATTTACTCTTTTATATGTCGAGGGGAAAATTTTGAAATTGTGAGCACTATTCGATATCGTCATTCGTCGTCCGATTTTCAAAAACATTGATATTGATTTCTAATAAAAGCTTCAATTGTTAATGTTCAATTATTATCAGTTTCCGGGAAAAAAAACTATTTTGAGAGCTAAGGCAAATCAATTATTTCATATGAGTAACTGAGTTTTGATTCGAAAAACAACAAAAAAGGAACAGAAACGAAAAAATGTAAGGATATACATAGCTTAAAAATTCTGAAGAAGATTACTTTAATCTGTGAATCGGTGCAAAATATGACACAAAGAGGAAGATGGATTGGAGTTTGTGAACTGGTTTGTGCTGAAAATTTGTCATGGTAATGGGACAAAGATCTTGAAATTCGGTTACAATTCAAAATTAGAGAAGAAATTAAAATTTTGAAGAGTTCCACTATTGAAACTACCGTAAGCACTCTAATAGAAGGCCATCTTAACTGGCGCATTGAGCTTAGTTATTTCAATTTCTGTAAGAGATATCGAAACTGTATCATCCCACAAAATTTTTTCAGAACATCACCAAAATTTCATCAGTTGGCATATTTTTGTTACCTCTCGTAGAAATTGATGTAATTGAGCTCAACTTGCAGGTATAGGGTGGAAATTCTTACGGTAAATGGATAAGCCAATTTTAAATATGATTTCAAAATTTCCGTTAGCGCTACTGAAAAATTGAAAATAGGATGAGAGTTGTAAATTAAAAAATCTATGATTGTGTTCCAATATCACACAGAAAACTTTGAAGCTGTTCATCTCTTAAATCATAAATCAAATTCCTGAAATCTTTCAAAAAGTCTTCTGACTTTTAATTCTGATGACTCTTTGTTAGGATTAAATTTAGTTTTCTGAAATTTAAAAACCATGCAGTCCAGATAAGGAAAACCCACGAAATTTTCATGTGTCATCTTCCTGGATATCAAACTTCCTCTTCTCTATATAATCCCATTCACTTTATTATTATACTACACTTTAGGTTTTGAGGATTTTTACTTTAGTGGGTTTAACAACATAATGTAGAAACTTGTTTTTTTCAACTGTTCTCATTAAAAATGAAGTACAACCAACTGTTTGTCTACTTGATGTTCCCTCTCTTATCCCTCTCGCATCAGATCAAACATACATACAACACCCCTCGATACTCTTATTTTCAAGACATTGTGTTAATCCACTTCCCCTGAAAATGACACCCATTTTCATTAAAAATGTCATCTTCTTCTTCTTAACCAATTAACGGATTATATTGGCAATGCTATTCGTGCGCATCAATTGAGTTGTATTCTCCTTTTCTTTCCCTTTTTTCTTATTCCTTTTAGTTGCATCCGACACCCCGTCTGGAAAAAAATCATGGAAGATATGGAGACGCAGAAAAAAGTCACCGGAAAAAAGAAAGAAAAAGCAGCTTGTCTCTCGTTTTCTTGGCCCAGGAAACCCCTCTCCAAAAGCCTGCCAATTGATATCCACAGAGACACTCTTCGCCCCAGGAAAAAAACTTTTTCTAAGCCACCCAACTTTTCAGTTGTTTTTTCACTAATTTTCGCATGATCATCATCATGCTTATGTATCTCATCCTTCCAGAATATGTTTCCTTTTCTCCTGCTGCTCATCATCAAATTATTTTTCATCGCCATGTGCATATGTGCTAACGGACATGAGAGCAAGCAAAAACTCCCCGGGATGAGATATATGAAAAGAAGAGTGAAAAGAGAGAAGATTGCTTCTCATCAATCTCTCTGGAAACTATTCTATTTCTGATTGCCGCATTGGATGTTTGAAAATTTGATTATCAACAATCAGTTCGTTTGTTCGCTTTTTGTTGGACCCATGTCCCAAGTTGTCGAACATTTTAAAGCTGATTGGTTTCCCAAATTCCAACAACTTCTAAAATTGAAATCTGCGATCAGAATTCGGAAATTTTCCAGATGTTGTCTAGGGTGACTAGCGAGTATACTGTTATTTTTTCCATGAATCAAGTCTTATCTAGTTTAGTTACTTTTCTAGTAACTCTGTTTTTCAGAAATTTCCAGACTTCAGGTATTCTGGTCTGACGCATACTCGTTCATTATTTATAAGAGTTTTCATGTTCAGATGTTTCGATAAAAATTTCAGACAGAATCAGAATGCGAACCTTTAATATTTTTCAATCGTCGTTTTCCGGTAGTAAAATTTCGCAACCACTAAACAATTATTAAAATTATGAATTCATATTATTATTTTTCCAATTTTAGTAACACATATAAAATGATATTGTCGAAAAACTGTTTAATGACAGCCGAAAGGGCTTAAACTAGCAAATGACTGCTATTTGACAGCCAATGGAGGACCGACGGACCATTGGCGGACTGTTGACGGACAATCGGACTCTCTAGAAAATCGACTTAAAAGTTTTGATTGGAAATCAGACAGAAAACAATATTTCATCTTAAGATTATACACATTTTTTCAAAATTTCCGTAAAAGCAGAATCACTCAACGTCCCTAGAGACCAAGTCATAAAAATTTATGGTGTTTTTCTGTTCACTGTTTTCGAAATGTTTATGCCTAGAAACGGACCCTTTTAAATAAATCATTTTGAACCTCGAAAAGAATGTTCCAGGGTCTCTGAGATCTCAAAATCTCATAATAAATCTCTACTTCCTTCTCCTTGTGATAACGGTCTTGAATTCAAATGATTGTATTTATAGTACTCCATCTGTCCGAGACAGATGCTTGTCCTCACAGTTAATCCCAAATTATTCCCGGAGCAAAAAATAGGATACATAGTTCATACGAAAGAATTTCCTGAAACTTTTTATGGGGCTTCAATATTCCCTCCCACCCACATCATTCTATTTTCCATCGTCTCCTCCTTAGCAACTTCTTCGAAAAGATGACATGACAGCTTCTTCGTGGGAGGGGACGTCGTCTTCTTCTGGCGACTCGAGGGAGTAGTTGGCTTCAGAGTTCAAGTAATTCGAGACTTTCCACAAGAGTAGTCGTCTCTTTCTCTTTTTTATCCATTCGATTCATTTGACTCACCTCTGTAATCTCCCCACCTTCTTATTCTTCTTCTTATTCCTTCTATAGTACACCATAAAACGCCTTTTCTTTCTGAAAAGGAGAAGGAGAAGCGAAACCAATTTGCAGTATGCGTTTCCCGAGTTCAAAGCGAGCAGTCCCGAAGTGCTGGAATAAAGAATAATGGTTGGGTGTCCTTTACGGACACCTTCTTGCCCTTATTCTTTCAAATCTCTTTATCCCCTTCTTGTTATTCCAGAGGTGCCTGCCTTATATCTTCCGAGAACTGAAACCACTATATACGCTTTCCCAATTCCTTCCTTCCCATTCAAATACAATTTCTTCATTTGACTCTCGAAGCTTATCTGAGGTTTTCTTGATGAGCTCTCTCTTTCTCTTCGCTTTTTCGTTTTTTTTTGTTTGATGAAGAGTCAAAACCTCATAAAGCCAACAGATTTATGTGGTCCCGATTGGGAAAAATTGCTCCATTCTAGCGCCTATTCTACTATTCTGCCATTCATTCTGAAATGTGTTTTTATGGGATCTGTTCAGAGTCTCTCTCTGCTGTTCATTTCGTTTGTTGTGTCAAAACAAATGAATAATGGAATGGAGAGTGAGCTGGAAGAACATGTAGGTTCGTGGGTAAAATTGTTTTTTTTTGGCTTTGGAAGCTTTTTTTGGGCGTGACTGTTTTGTGAACAGTTGGTTGGTTTTTATCCTAGACGTCCCAATCAGAAAAAGTCGAGTAGCTACAGTAGTCGGTTTACTCTAGTTCCTCACAACATCTTATCTCGCCCTTACTAGGGATGGTTGTAACTGGGATTAGAAACTTGAAGGTATTCTGAAGTTATTCGGAAAACTTGCAAGAGCTCAGATATTCGGATTAGAACTATTGATCATGTTCCAGATTAAGCTAGTTGTAAGTTCTCATGTTTCTATAATATAAATTTTCCAAATCTAATATTATAAATACCCAAAAGAAATACCTAACAAAATACCCAAAAGGAAATTCATTTCCTTACCCGAAAACGAATAATTGGAAAACTCGCCATTTCTTTATCTGAAAACTGCCCAAATAAATATCCCAACCTGATTTTTTAGAGTGCTTTCCTTCCCACTTCGCCTCATTAAATTCTTTACCTTTCTCCCTTTAACCTCTTTCCCATTCTGGCGATTTCTTTGTGTATCTAGAATATTAAAACGACTACTTTTCTTCCTGCTTCTTTCCTCGAAACTCCTGTTGCTCTTTTGCCTTCTATTTCTCCAGAATCTTATTCTTTCCTTCACTTTAATGCCATGCCTCCTTCACTTCTCTCCTCCCGTACGCCCAATTTCACATTGTCTCATGCTCCAGAACTTTGCAGATCCTCCTTCTTCTCTTTCCTCTGGTTTTCATTCCATCTAAGAAGTTTGCTGACGACTCAACATGGCTAGTAAGTTTTCTTTTTTTGTTGTTTTTTTTTCCATTTCCTTCCCGACTTCTTTATTTCTCCGGAGGGACTAAGTTATTCGTTTTGTATACCTAGAAGGATTGATGTGGCTCTAACTGAAAATGGAAAAGGAAGTGAAGTAGTGGGTATTGAGATTTCAAGATAAATTGAACAAGAGGGATTCTTCTAGAAAAAATGGTTCAGTTCACTCATTCAAAATTCAGATTGCCCTCCTCATTGGACTGGAGCCGCATGCGACTGGCCAATTTGTGTCCATGGAAGAGCAAATCCAGCAACAAAACTTTGTAATTGCTACAATTATTACTCCCCTCCGTTTTGTATTTCATGCTTGCCAGGTTAGAATTTCAAGAGAAAATGCCAACATGACTCATGAAATTTTAGGATATTGGGGTGAATCATGTGACCGTCAACCTCTGAAAGGGGTCACCTCAGCCAGTGATTTCCCAATTCGAGTTCCTCCGTTTCTGGTGAAACCAATTCTTTTCGCTATCGCAATTTTAATCGTTCTGTTGATTCTGTTTGTGATTTACAGGTGAGTAACGTCTTCTTTCCTTCAACAACTCTATTTTTTAGAATCCGTATCTACATTCGCAGCAGGAAGCCACCACGTTACGATGACATCGCAAAGGATCTTCCACCTCCATACTCATCGTAAACTTGTCAACGTTTCCTTTTGAAATTCAAACCACTACCATTATCTCTTCCATTCTTCTCTTTTCTCCCGCTCCGTTCACTTTGTATGCTTCTTACGAGTTTTTACGTTACTTACTTCCCGAAAAATCGCAGTTTCAAATTTTCAATTCCCAGTTGTCACCAGCGAAATCCACCAGTGTTGTAAACCTATATGTAATTATAAAATCCATCAAAACCACAACGACTTTAGTTTAAAAATTCGTTTATATACTCTTTCTTTTCAAACACATGTTTCTTTGAAAATCTATTAAATAAATAAATATGATTTGAGTCAAAATAAATTAAGTTGTTTGGTTTTCCGTATTACTCCTGGATGACACGCTCTTCTCCGGTTCGACCGTTGGTGACCGTGATTTTCGGAAGAGGACCCAGATCCCGTTTTGCTGCGATTTCAGCTGCCTAAAAAGTAAATATTGGGATGAGATGAGGAGGTCAAAGGGAACAAAAATTTTATTAGAGTATAGTTTTCAGTTCAGGTGGTGATAGGATAGTTGGAAATGTGCCGATAAATGTGATGGATAATAAACATATTTTCAGAAAAGAATACGTTTTGGTGCAGATTTAATAAATAGATGTAATCCAGAAGTTCTAGAAAATGGAATTCGAAAAGTTATAGGTCGGTTCTCAAAAAACTTTTGTCAATTAGTTTTTGCGAATTAGAACCAATGCTTCAGCAATTAAGATTGCAAAATAATCAATTTCTAGAATAGGACTTTGCAGTTTTACAGAATCTCACAACCAGAAAAATTTCTATTGAAGCATATTGGTGATAAGTCTTTGAGGTTATTTTCTTCATTGGATTACATCTGTAAATTATTTTGCGTCAGATTATTTGAAATTTGTGAATTCTTTGTTGAAATATGGCTTAACACTTTGGTCACACAATTAAACGTTTTTTGGCAACCGGACATTTTCAGAGTTTTTAGCATATTTTCATCCTGAAAACTTCTGAAAAAACGGGCTCTCGAGTTATAGTGCTCGAAGCAAAAAAGTATGGTTCGGCTCTTGGACCATAACTCGCTTCACAATAATTCAATTGCGAATTTTTCTAAAATTTCGCACATAATTTTCTCTGAATTTTAAACTTCATGTGAGTAAATTGTTAAGAAACTTATGTATACATGTTCAAAAAATTCTTGTCATTTTGGATTATTTTGAAGCGAGTGATGGCACAAGTGCCGTCCAATACATTCTATGATCCGATCATCATAACTCGGGATCTCATTGATTTCCAAACCACTTCAACGTGAAGCTATCATGGAAAGTCTGGGAATTTTCGGTATTCAAAAAAATTTAGTAGACTAACGGAAAGTTTAGCTACATTTTACAATAACGTTCTGATGTTTTCAATATCTTTGAGCGAAGTCGCGAACCAATGAATACAGACCTTCAGTACTTCTTGCCGCTATTTATTCTTTGGAGATTAAAACAATTGTGAATGTCTGCGGATCATCAGCATAAAACGCTATCAGTCTACAAGGAACACTACAGTTTTTCATTGCGCAAATCTTTTCAGGAATTGTGTTCTGATCACCGATTTGTCATTTTCCCACCTTCCTATCAATATGTTTTTTATAAAATTAGGAACACATTTCGTTTCCGTTCTCTTTTCTCCCATGCATGTTATTGTTTTTTCTGATTTCGTTAGATTTTGTGATTAATAATTTTGTGAATAGATCCCTAGAATAGAACATAGATAATGATATCATTTATGTTCTCTAATCAGTTTTTCAGGAAAAAAGTTTTTGCAAAAATGCTTTCTTTTTGTTTTTCAGATCGGCAAACGGGAAAAAAGCATAAGATGAAATAGGATATCAGGACGAGTGGGATGTCTTTTGTTTTTCATTGGAAAGGTAAAAAATAATAATATTTTTTCTCTCACCTTGCTTCTTCTGTACTTGAAGTGACACTCTTTGACACAAGCAAGCAGTAAAATCAGTAGGATTGCAGTTAGAATACAAACAGGGATCAATTGCTCCCATGGTGTTGGACCTTCGTAATCATCGATGACCGGTTCGCTTGTCATTCTTAGAGCATTTCTTTCTTGAGACTAGGAATGGTATGGTTTGAGCCAGATGGAGCAAAAGCTAGCTGTTGTTGCTGCTCCAAGAGGTGAAAGCAAACAAAATCGGACAGTCAGTTGGTCAATGTCCGGACGGTGCGAAAATCGGGTCGTGAGATTGCAGTCTATTGTATCTGGGAAAAGAGGGAGAGAAGGGAACCATTTACGGGTGGATCCGTCGTTTGTATTGTTTTTGTATTCAAGAGGAAAAGCATTGGAAAAAAAGAGATGAGTGTTTATTTGTATTATGTATAAATAGACAATCTTGTCGTTGTTGGAGAAAGTGACGTCAAATATGGAAACTGTAGTTTTGGAGCAGAGAGAGCCAGAAATCCGTACAAAGAGAGGAAAGAGAAGAAGGATACCCTAGGATCCATAAAAATGAGTGTACATCATGTTTACAAATTCGTTGATTGGTCCATGTTTTGTTTTTTGAGATAGTCAAGATTCACATATTCCGGATCTTCCATTATGGCATTTTTTATGGTTCCCGAGAACAGCATACTGTCTGATGTTCCGTATTCATCTTGATTTCGGAGAAACTGAAAAATTTAGAGGAATGGATTTTTGGAAATCGTAGTTTCTATTTTTGAAGCTTGAGAAATCTCGGTGAAATTTTTCGATAATTTTTTTTTCAGATTTTATAATGGGCCGATATTTTTTGTGCACTATCGGGGGTTGATGTCAATGACCTTCTACTTTTTAACCTATACTAGAAGGGCCCCGACACTTAACTTTGAGCTCAATTATCTCGATTCTTATGCAAGATTAAAAAAATTTGTCAATTGACAAAACATTTCTGATATTATGATAAACAATTTATCAGTTGCCAACTTTTTATATCTTCAACAGGAACCGAGAAAAGTTGGTTCAAAGTTGGAAGTAAGGAGTCCTTCTATTACAGGTTTAATGGTATGTTTAAACATGTTTCTCTTTCGTTGAGAAATTCATGTCAACTTCCAACGCTTACATCTTCATCCAAAAACGGATTCGTCTGAATCACTGGTTGAGCTTCTCCTTCGGGAACGTGATGACCTCGTTGACGGAGTTCCGCATCAAGATGATACCTGAAAAGGTAACTTTCAAGGACTTTCCCCTTCCCAAAACATCTGAGCTTTCAAGTAAATATTTGTCTCTTGGTCAGTTTGCAGAATGACGTATCTTTCTCTCACCTGTACTGTTGATATTTTTGTTGCGTTTGGAAGACGTACTGCTTCTCCTCCATCCCCAAAATCCTCAAGAAATTCTCGAGCTCCGGAATTTCGAAAGCGTCCCACTGAAAAAAAAACATTTTTTTCTATTCCCGAATTTGTGACCCGCAATCAAGGGAAAAAAAGGAGCAGAAGAAGAAAATGCACATACCAGAATATCTCCAGTGTCGTTTTCTTGTAGAACAAGTGCACGACCACAATGTGGACTTGGCCAATTGAGAACAACTTTCAAAGGACAAGCATCATCCGAGATTCTAGTCAGTCTTCCTGAAAAAAAGTACAAACTAAGGGAACTCTCTTTAAAAATTACACTCACTTGTTAGCGTACATGTAGTATCATCGGTTTGTTGCTCACACTCGTACAATGCAAACTTTCTCGGATTATCGGCCACTCGGAACTTTTTCAACAGAGTCACAATCATCTTTCTTGCCGTAGTCTTGCTATCGATATTGATAACTTTTGTAGTATTTCTTGGGAGGAAAAATGAAGTGATTGTTCTCAATGTTGTTTTTGAAGTTGATTTAGTAGTATTAACAACGTCATAGACCGTGGGTGGAGCAACTCCCTGGACAACACTAATTGGTCTACTAAGATTCATATTCACATGAATATGACCTCCGAAATTGATTCCATCTTTGTGAAGTGTGATTTCCATTCCTCTAGCAATGGAGTTGTATGCTTCAATCTTCCTTTCCAGATCCAGTTCTTTATATTCATCAGTCCATTCAAATGGTGTATCCTCCTTCACATATCTCTCAATAACTCTTAACGTTGTATGTCTTGATTCTGGCGGTGCACTCGGTTCTTTCATTTCTTTTCGAATGCTGTCTACTGGAGAGAATGATTTTGGAAGGGTGAATGAGTTTTTGGATGAGAATATTGGATTTTCAACAGATGTTTCAGCAGTGTTAGCATTTCCATTCTCCTTATCAGACCCTGTACTTGAGCTCATTGCGGGGGGAAGGATCAATCCTTTAGGAATGGTTCCGAGGGTCCCATCGAGTTGTGGATAAATAGAGTCAAAGTCAGCCGAAGAGGCAAGAGAGCTTCCAGGAGATCTACAATCCAACGTTACCAAGTCTCGGCATCTGGCATGACATGTGTAGTTGCAATTCTCACATTTCAATGCTTCCTTCAGAATTCCCCAAATGAAATCTCCACACTTGTCACACCACGTTGGATGCAGAAGAGAATGGGTTTTGAAACTATGACTGCTGGTTTTGTTGGCGCCTCCTCCAGTTGTTATCAAATCTTTGAGAGGTCCGAAGTGCTGCCGTTCTATAGTATCATTCCAGACATGATTGGAATCCAGGTCAGCAAGGAAAGTGGCCCCAAAGTCCCAGATCTGAAAAAGAAATACATAAATAGTTTTCAAATTAAGTAAGGTGTCGTTTTCATTATTTCTATGAGCACTGACTATGTCCAAAGTTATCTTTTGGGCCGTCTCTTCTAACGTGTTTTTAGCATAATCAAATATTTAAATCCGTCTCTAAAAATCCAAAACAACATACATCAACTTGTTCGGAATCATCCTCCTGCCCACAACGATCCAGTTGTACTGGTCGAAAAACTAGCGTACTTTCATCGTACTCTCCAATTGATTGCTCACTTTGTGGACTACTCGTAGATGATGTATCCTGCAAAATTCAATCATTTCGTCACCTTTTCACCCGGGGACACTTGTCACTTTATGTACTGATAGTATTAAAAACCCTTCTCCACTCACCATTTTCTCGTCTTCCGATCGGATACCTAGTTGTGACATCCAGTCGGGAAACAGACCCAATTGTGATAGTTTCGTGCGAAGGCCACCAAACCAACTGAAAAAAGGATGTACGGATTCAAAACGACCATGATGATGATGATGCTCTTTGGTGACAGGAAAGAAATAGTGTGTTAAGTGGAGAGGAAGAAAACGGAGCAGATGGTCGATTGGGTGGCGCAGAAAATGTCAAAGGAGCAATTGAGGAATAAAATGGAGATTATTGGTTGGTGAATTGGGTTTTTGAGGGGAATGAAATACGGGAAAGGATTATAATATGTAGTAGATGTTTTAGGTACTTTCTGAAGGCCCACTGAAGAACGAAAGCTTGTTGATAAGCCCAAAAATATCAAAATTAACCTATTAAAAATGAATCATAATGAATCACCATTATAAAATATGAAGCGTCTGGTGTTTATAAAATTGATAAACAATTTTCATGAATGAAGAAATCGAAAGGAGAAATTTTGCGGAAAGATGTAGAATGAAAAGTCTCTCTCCGGGTGGAGATAGAAGAGAGATGTAAGCAGATAATTGAATGTTTCCGTTTTATCAAAACATATGTTTTTCTCTTCCGGAGATATTATTGAATGAAGAAAAAAAAAAGATCTTCCGTTTTTCAGAAAAAAAATGGTTTTTTTTCATTAATCTGTGATAAGCTTCTTCTATTGAGAAGGAAAATAGAAGAAGAAGAAGCTACGCGTTGATAAATATTTTTGCCTTGTTAGACGTTTCCCGAAGTCAGCTGGAAGCTTAACAATGATTGTAAATCAAAAAGAAAATGAATTGGGAAGGAATGATAAATGTCATCTAATTTAAAAGAGAGATTGAGAGAAATAGAGCGGTAATGGAGTGTGGTTCAAAGTGAAAACGAGAGAGGAAGACGACCTTATGATCGGGAAGATCGATAAGTTTTCTGAGATACGCAGACGTTTCAAAAAAAGAACTTACCCGACGTTAGATGATGAAGACGTTGAAGGCTGGAATGCGTATGATTGGAAGGTGGGGTCGTCAGTCGCCACACGGACACTCGAATCGCTTTCTGTAATATACTTTTTATAATTTTATATTCTTTGATCCGTTCTTTCCCTTCTTCTTCTTCTTCTTCTTTTCATCTCTTGTCACTTATCTCTTTTTCAACCGATTGTAAATAAAAAATGAGGAACAGAAAAGAGATACGAATAACGACAAGCCGTTTCAAATTGTAAAACGTGCAGATCGGTCATTCTACTGAGTTTTCAAATCAAAGAGCAACATTCTGTTCAAAATTTTGTTTGAAACTAGTCATTGGTGTTTTTTGGTTCAGTTGAAAACTTCAGTATTTTCCAGAATACTCGACGTTGTGATTTCAATTAGCCACTTTTAATTTGTTCCATAGCATTAAAAAGAAATTAATTTTAACGCAATCATAGCTTTTTAAAGAAAGTTGAAGACCATCCAGTTATTTCAAAAATTAAAATTTGAACAGCTTGTTACTTCTTCAGAAAGTTTTACTGTAGCTTCCAGAACTAAATGAATTTTTTTAGTTTCAATCAGTTTATCAGCTAGTTTTAGCTTTAGTCATTTCGATTTCAACTTACAAAACCACCTAATCTATCTGAAAAAAAAACCTATTGTATTTCCTCTACTAGAAGCTCACCCAAACCAGAAAGTTTGAGCTCAATTATCTCCATTCCTGTAAAAGATATCAACATTTTGTCCGCTGATAAAATAGTGGGAATATTGTTATTAACGGTTTGAGTCAGCTTCTATTAGAAGAAATACGGTGAATCGATTTGAACAAAAAAGTTTCAATTTCAATTATTATTCAATTTTGAATTCAACTTTATACACTGATTTTGAAAATTCAGTTTCAACTGAAGTTTTTTTTAAGTTTAATATTTCAAACTTTATTCCAATAATACTTAATTTGAATTTTTTTAACATCTTCATAACTTTTTCCTTCTTCTATCCACCATTTTGTAATTTCATGGAAAAGTAAATGTTAGAATTCTGTAAACTCCAAAGCACTTGCCTTTTTTCTTATCATTGTTATTTACAACGGAACGAAGCATGTGAACATACAACTTGAAATCTGAAAATAGAAATATCGATAGACAACCGAAAAGTGCACTCAAAACGATTTTGGGAAAAGAGCATGAAAGGATATTTGGTATTTAAAATATATGAAAAATTCATAAGTCCTTGAAGTTTTGGTTTGCTCTATCTTTTCTTTTTCTTATTCTGACAGAATTGAAGAGAAGGAAAGGAGGATCAAAAGTGAGTGAAATATGAGAAGAGAAAAACGCGGAAGAGAGAGAAAGGAAGAAGAAATAGAAGAACAACAGATAATCGAATGGAAGTGAGAAGAAAGAGAACATATTGGACCGTAATTATTTTTTTTTTTTGGAAAATGGCATATACTCTCTTTTACTATTGACTAGTATTGGGCAGAGACATCTTCTGCATGGGGAGGTCAGGCGGACAAATAGGGAATCGAGAGAGTATTTGAAAAAAGGAGACGCAGAGAATAGAGTTCCCAAAAAGACAGTGTGCAATCCAAAAGAAGCGCAGAAGAGATCGAGCAAGTGCGCGAGAAGATCTTGTTTGTTGTGTGCATTTTACTTGTTTTGGGATGATGCCTCATCCGATCCGACCCCAGCTGCATTATTCATTTTGTAAATAAAGGTGTTCGTTTTGTGGAATGCGGTCTGAACATCTGGTTTTTAGTGTAGATCACTTTTATTGAACAACGCAACGGAACTGGTGTGTGTGTGTGTGTGTGTGTGTGGGAAAGACATCAATGGGAAGAAGAGGTATTCAGAACAGGGATAAAAAATAGAGTAAAAACAGTTGAGATAATGCACAATAATGTAGCCTGAAACAGCAAAAGATACGATGGGATTTAAAACAAGAAGTGCACAAAAATAAGGAGGTTGAGCAAACTATAACACAAAAGATACTAATAACAACAAAAATGTGAATAGAGTATGAAATGGGAAACACAAGATGATGAAGAGAGGATCTAGTTGCGGAGAATAAGAGCGTATAAAAGTCCAATCTGTATGATGAGTACGATAAAAACGAGGGCGAAGAGGATTCCGACGACGCGACACTGCCATGCGCTGCTGACCGTCGAGTGTTGCTGCGAGACCGAGGTGAACACCGAACCAGGTCGATTGCGGCAAAATGAGACAATTAGTAACCTATTTTCGCAAAGGTTTCATGAACTCACTATGTATCTGGAGGCAGGTATTGGCTTCTCTCCATGTTTGATGCTACCATGGATCGTGCTGGTGTTCCAAATAAGGATCTTGTTGGTGTTTGGTTCTGTTGCTGCATTATTTGCCGGCGTTGTCTTGAAAAGATACTCGGAGAATCCAATGGTCTGGCACTTCCAAGGAGATTCAAACTGGCCACAGAAGGAGCTAATTGTTGAGGAGTCAAAGAACCGATGTTTTCACCAGCGTTACGGGAAAGTAGTCCAGGTCGGAAATAGCTTTGAGCGGTGCGAACTGTTTCACTGTCGTCCCAGTCCATTGACTCTACCATACTATTTTCCTTGTCCTCTCGTCGAGTTGGATTCCAGTTTGTTATGTCGCGAAGACGGTTTGTTGGAGTAGTGGTAATGCTTTCTGAAGGTGATTTCGGTGACTTCCTAAGAGCCGGCTCCTCGTGCTCCAGAAGTGAATTATTTCGACTATTCTGAGATGAACATTGAGAAATTGGAGTTGAGGCAACTGAGAAGGCACTAGAAATCATCGTATTCGGTTTTTTTTTGTGCAATCGTTTCCTTGGAAGCAATGTTACCGCCATTGCCAAAATAGTTGCGAACGAAGCACATGCACCTCTGATCAGAGCCACATCTTGTGATAGACCGTCACTTGGAGCCAAATGGGTTAGCATTGCAATAATCAGGATGATCGGGAGCAAAAGATCCGGAAGTGTGACTCGACATTTGTTGTTGAATGCAGCAATCAGATGCGAGAAAAATATGATAAAGTTGATGGCAAATGAGTTGGTATATAGAACTGGGAGTTGATCTTGAATGACTTTGGGCAAATTCATCAGGGATGCACCAGCGTCTTGTTGCAGGAAATCGATGTTGGCCAAAAAAAGGAATGCAGAAGAGATAAGGCATCCGAAGTGGAGAGCTTCACAGACGCTGCCACCAGCAAAAAACCAGCGACGTGATTTATTTCGATTCCCTACCACTTCTCGCAGTGTTGATCCAATCGCATGTTTCAGTTTGTATTGAACATCCAGTAAATATGAGTATTTTTTCTGTATAATAAGAAAAGTATAAAATTAATTCAATAATTGATTTCTTACTTTATCTTCGTTGAGCTTTCCATGAACTTGAAGCGTACATCTTGGACACAATTGATACCTTCTCTCCAGTTTATAACGGTAATCTTCTAGCTCTTCATTCCACCGATCCTCATCAACTGGTTCAAAGTTTCCCACACTCTGCATTATAATCTCTTGACCTAGATTGCAATCTGAGCACAGACCATTCGCAGATTCTGAAACATTCAGGTATTCATTTAAAAAGTTTTATCTACCAACTTGGACTCATATTCACTCCACCGAACCGAGCAAGCAATCCGTTTGATTTTTCAGGTTTTGGTTTCAGAGGTTCACAATATCTTGTTGTTGAGATGTTTGTTTGAGCAGGAATTCGTTTATTGTAGTCACCATCTTCAGTGAAACCATTGTATTGTTCACAAGATGGACATGTGAAACTGTTGCGATTACTGTAGTCAACTTTGGTTGAACTGTGACAAAACCAACATTCCACTGTGGATTTCAATTGAGGTCTGGGAAAAACAGGATAAATTTTTAACTTTTTCTGGTTTCTTCACCTGACTGCTCTATAGAGAATCGGAACGGATGCAATGACACCCACCGCCGCAGCAATCTCCATCTGAAATTAAGTCATAATTTACAATAACAGAACAGAGACCATTTTAAGAGAAATCAGATACTAGGATTTTGAGAGAAAACCACAGGACTAACTAAAAAACCCAGACACAAAAATTTTCAGCTTCATTGAAGATATAGCACAATTCATATACAAATACAGAACAAAAACGGAAATGAGTCGAAACGAGGAGTGCGCGAATTTGTTTGGGTTGGATGGAAAAGAACAGCTTGGATCAGACACTGGAAAAGGTGGGATGTCTGAACAAAATAATTTCGCAATACTCGGATAGATACGAAAACGTAATGAATGGGGCCTAGTCGGTGAATTATGAAATGAAAAATCACTAAACTATTCATTGATAAAATATCCGGTGAAGCAAAATATTACAGCCAAAGAGAAGAGTAGCAACGGGAACAAATGCTGGAATGGGCAAGAAGAGAGAATTGTTCAGAGGTATTAGGGTTTGGTTTCGATTGCTTCGAACACTTTTCTTGCGTTTTTCACATTCATTGTGATCATCGGAGCAGAAGCGTTTCCATCAGGTACAACGATCTGAATAAGCAATCATTTAACAAATCGATTCAAGTTTTAGTTACTGACCATGACGTAGGTATTCTGAGTGAACGAATCAATGAATGCCGAGAACTGACTGTTGCGAACTTGAATCGAGTCGAGTTTGGAACCCATTTTTCTGGAATGAGCTTTTGAATAGGAGGTTTCGGGACTTCTTTCTACTTACGTGCACGACAGCTTGAACTGTTTTATGATGTTCGAAACTTTTTCGAACCTATGAGGATCCTTGTGTTCGCGTAGAACAGCATGTGCGATCACCAGGAAGGTTGCCCGTTCGAAAAGAATAATTTCGTCAGCGTCCAGAATCGCTCCGAACTTTTTGAGCTTATCTTCCATTGTGCCCACGTTTGGAACCAAATGATATACTATTGCCGACCAGGCTTTGTACAAAGTCTCGTCCCAAATACTGCTTTTGAAGCACTGGCATACAGCGTTTTGCCGCTCACTTTGAAGAGGTGTTGCTGCCAGCTCACTGTAACGAAGCACTTCCGCTTCACGCCGCTTGAATGTTTCTTCGCGCTTGTCTTCTTCGATCAGATCCATTTTGTGGATGAGGCAGAAGACTTGTGCGTTTGGAGAGTTCTGAAGCAGTGCTTCCAAACACGACTGGTAGTATCTGAGATCCTTTTCAAATTCACGACTCTCGACGTCAAATACATATATGAGCACTTGGACGTTTTTGAAAATTTGATCTTTTTGAGAAACAAGGAAGTTCTCCATGAACGATTCTTGGCCTCCACAGTCCCACAAATGGAGCACCATGTTACCAAGAAACCTGAAAATTCAATGGTTTTTAATTTGAATTAAGAAAGATTAGAAAGATTACTTGACATGAGCATGTTCGACTTCAATAGTTGGCCCGAGGCGAGAGCAATCTCTGGCAATGTAATTGGCAAAAATGATCGAACGCATCGAAGTTTTACCAGAGCCACTTTTGCCCATCAAAAGCACTTTTCGTTTCGAAGACATTTTCTATGAAAGGATTATTTTCAATGCTTCTGCTAATGAGCAAAAAACGAATATGACTGAAAGGTACTAGCGATGACTGAACATGGGGATAATGATTGGCAGACACAAGGGCCTGAACATATTTTCAAATTTATTACTTCATGAAGAAATACAAAGAAATAACGTATTATTACCGAATGCAAAGAATCGAGAAGAGGATGGTTGGAATGGAAGATCGAATTCTCATGATCACGAGATGAATATTAATCGAGAAGAGTCACAAATAAACCAAAACACGAATGTGGATGATTAATCACCGAATTAGAGAATAATGAAATTTCAAAACCACCTAATCAAAAAAATAAGAGTGTGAAGGGGAAGAAAATGGACCTAACAGTCGCCCGAAAGTATATATTATGTATTAGAAAGAGTAAGAAAAAAGTGTGGCGCTCAGCCTTTATCACTAGCAACTAGTGATAAGAGAAAGTTCTTTGAAAGAACAATAAGTTGAAGCGGACGAAACCACGGCAAGCTTCAAAACAGTTTCTAATTGCATCGTATGCAACAACTTCCCGATTCGTACTGCAGAAAGGGAGGTAAAGGAAAAAACAAACGGGAACCGCAAACTCGAGAGAGTGGTAAATGTATAAGTGAAAAATTGCGAAGAGAGAAACTCTTGGAAGTTTGGTTGAGGACGAAAGAAAACATTAAGTGAATTGCATACAGAACTATGAACAGTGAAGTGAAAGATGTGGAAGGAATTCAATTGGTTGGTCCTGAAGAAAAAAACACGAGTTGTAAATAAGTGAACATGAAAAATATGATTTGATTGTTATAATCTAGGCTTCGCTACTGCTTTCCGGGTGCGAGATGCTGGCAGCAAGCCCAACACATGCTGGATCAGTGGCTTTTGAATCATGGGAGCTGTTAAGCGGCCAATCAGAATCCTCTCCTTGCTGATGTGTGTCGGCACCTGGCCAGGCTATTGTGGGATCGTCGTGGGTAGGGGCTACGACAGCGGTGGAAGTTGAGGGACTGACTGTTGGAAACGACGAAAAATCAGCCCACATGTCATCTTGTGGTGGTGGCTTATCTGAAAAAATCGTGATGTTGAGAGGGTGTGAAAACTATAATAGGTGGGATAGCAATTCATAAGCAGGATAAAACAACGGGATGAACGATACAGGCTTGATGGTGGCTGCAATCCCACCTATCAGTGACCATATATATTACCTAAATACGAAAAGTTGGGTTCCAAATCAGAAACCCAGTTCGTTTCAGGTCGGGGTCCAGTCTCAGTGACCACTTCGTTTCCCCCAAGTGGTGGCGAAGTTGGCCAAACCCACTCCCCGTCTGATTCATCCTGATCTAGATTAGTTTCGCTCCCCTCAGTTTCTTGTGGATACGTACTGTGTACGACGGTCGGCTCAGCTGGTTTCTTTTCTTCCTTGTCTTGCTCACCAGGCCACTTGATCGGACTAGCTTCGAAACCATGCTGCGCTCCAGTGCATGATGATGAATTTGCGCGTTCTGAACACAGTTTTCTGAATTCGTCCTCATCTGGAGTATCAAATTGTCCGTCAAACTCGGAGAACCGATTCAAGTCTGCGTCGAAAGCAGATCTGAAACTTCATGGGGGTCAGAAAATTTTTTTAAAAATTTACATACCCAAAAGCAGCGAAGCCTCTGGTTGCTGATGAACTTGAATCCATTTCAGCAAACTTTGTGGATGCATCTGTCCACTCCTCGCTATCATTGAAACCGTGACTGTCATTTCTAACAGAAGAAAGGAGACTGGAATCATTGAAATCGTGTTGCATTTGAGGTCGATGTTTCAGGTTGTAGTTATTAACTATTTCTTCGAGCTCTGTCCATCGTTTGTCATCCTAGAAACTTGACAGTAATTCATACGATTTTCAATAAATTTACTTACCTTCAGAATAGCAATCAATCGAGGATTCGGGACTGTGCGTTTCTTGGCCCGACTGATAGCATCTCCAAGGTTCTGGTTGAAGGAACGAAGTCCACTACAAGCTATCAAGTCACCAGATCGATGAAACGATGTTGCTGTATCATAAATGTTCTTGATGAGTCCTCCTTCCGTCAGCAAATACTCCCCAGCTGGCGAAAGATCTCCAGAAGTGAAGACAGAGTGGAGCAGTAAGTTGACAACCTTTACGAGATGCGAGTGAAGAACACCAGCAAGAGGCAACTTTTTGGCAGCTTCGATCAACTGAAAAACAACTATAAGATATGCAGCAATCTACATCATGTACCTTCACGAACGGTAGCTTTTGAAAAGCTTCAAAAAGCCTCTGATGGGTGGAATAATGATTAGTGTTGCACAGTTCAATGAGCAGTCTGAGAAGAGATTGCCAAAGCGATCCGTTAGCCTACAATTGATAACATGTACTAAACTTAAATTAATAACTGATTTTACCTCGATGTCCCTCAAAATTGTTTGCAAGATATTGAAAGCACGATTAGCAACGATTCCTTCCACAATCCGTTCAGGATCTGGCTGATACGAGTGCTCATATGCATCGTTATCAATGCACGGGCGCATCAGGCCATACGAGTAATGCCGTTCTTCAATCAGATTTCTTTCGATTTCTTCAAGGTGTTGAGCTGGTGCATCTGCGACATAGTTCGTTTTGATGAAAGCTTCTAGAATTCGTGCCGATGTAGCTACGAGCGAAGACTTCTTTGCAAAATCTTCGTCCGAACAATTTTCCTATAAATTTGAGTTCAATTACATCCTCGGAATATTTGGTATGTCACCTCAACGATTAGATTATCAGCAATTTTTGCAATCAGCTCTTCTTCCATCGCTTTATCATGCAAGCTGTCTTCTTTGCACTCGAGCATATAGAGCTTATCTCGCAACTCCCTCAAAATTTCACAGTAAACTTCAGCAAGACACTCCCTGTCGTCGTCGTTTGTAGTCTCGCTCATTCGATTCACAATTTTCACAAACATATCCTCGTCGATCATCCACTGAATAATTAGAATATTTGTCCGGTTTCTTTATTGGACCTACTTGTTTGATAGCTCTTGTCCCTTCGCTGGTATTTGGAATTCTAACTAAGTTTTCCAAAAGGCATTCAATGGCGCCGAGATTGATATTTTGGAGACATTTGTCGAAGAATGGAGTTTTTTGAAGAAGCGCGAATGTCTGAAACTATCATCAGGGGTCCTGATTTAACTGTGAGAACACGAACCAAAACAAAATGCCGAGACAGGAGACATTCCATGATTTTTGCAAAAAAGCCAGCAACAAGATGATTCAGCGGAGCTTTGTCATTCATAAAATCCACTAGACATTTTTTCGTCTCCTCTGTCTGTAAAAAAAACAGAATTATAATTGAAATGGTGGCGATTATGGTAGTACCGTCACGATTAGCTTTTGAAAAACATCAGTTCCGCGAATAGTCAGAATTTCTGATGCAATGAACGAAAGTCTGGAAATTTGTTTTTGGAGGATTATTTTCGGAAACTAAAAATTACCTGTATTGTTGTTTCATAGGTAAATCAGGGTTGATAACTGGATTCAGACTGAGCTCCATCAAAGCCTTCATGTTCTCTTCTGCTGTGATGCTGCAAAATGTGATATTTATAAATGTAATCATGTTATCAGCTCACTACTTGACAAGTTCGGCTTTTCCATATCGTGATTCTTGAACTACAAACTCGTTGAGCAGAACATCCTCTAACGTGAAGTTATCGGATTTGAGTAGCTGCATCAACGTATTCTCCTCTTCTTCTCGTGCCCAGAACATCTGGAAAAACCTGGTAAACATTTGGAATCGCTTCTTTTGCGCAGGCATCGATCTACGTTTGGGTTGATAACACATAAAAGGGCGCGGGCGAGAAAGAAACAAAACAAAAAACGCATCTGCAATATCGCGATAATGTTGAAACTCGACAAGAGAACCAGAGAGAACGATGATGACAACAGCGCCGCGGAACGATAAAAAAACAGAAAAATGCGCACAAATTTTGCGCCGAAGTGTGTATTAGTGCGTAGTAGTGTACGCGCGAACATGTGATTCGACGCCAACTTGCAGACATTGAGGAAGAAGGAAAAAAAGGAAAGAAGCTGAAGATGGAGTTTGAGGAAGGGAAAGGACGCGTTTTTCCGTTGTCCCGCAGCTTTTCCTCGTTATTTGTTATCTGAATATGTGATCTGTTCCTCTTAGTGTGTCACATAACATGGGAACCGTTTCGTTAGCAGTTCAATTATTTATTGTATTCCTTCTGACTTCATACTTGTTGAATAAAGTAGGTTTCCATTACAAATGCTCATTAATCAATTGGAATATTGATTTCAGTACTCAACAATCCGGAAGCAAAATCCGATTGTGACGATATCCACGTTCATCGGATGGTACTTCTCGCTCATCATTGTATTCGTTCTTCCGCTAGATGTGGCTATTGTTAGTTTAATCACTATAGTATGCTTTAAAAAATTACTGAAAAACAGTAAAAAATAAACTTCATTCACTTTCTTACTTTTAGACATTCTTCCACAAATGCGAGAACGATCGTCAAAGAGTTCTAAACACCACCTCGACTCCAGCGCCAATCGTACCAGAATGCGAACTTCCAGGAGGATATGTACCAGATGATGTTCTCTTCGATCTCTGGCGTGTTGTGTATTGGAGTGCCCAAATTCTGACTTGGCTCATCCTTCCACTCCTCCAAAGTTACGTCACGGCTGGCAATTTTACCATATTTGGAAAAATCCGTGCGGCAGTGATCAACAACACCGTCTACTACGCCATCTACTCTCTTTGTTTCCTCGCGATTCTGATCTATGCGATGTTCAAAGGAGTGTCCATCAACATGTTTGTTTGAGAACCTAGTCTGAATAGGGAATATTCCTAAGAAGTTTCAGAGAGAACTTGAAAGTCATTTTGGTGTCTGCCTCCAACACCTGGGGTCTATTCCTGCTCGTTGTGCTTCTAGGACATGGACTCGTTGAATTACCACGAAGTCTTTGGCACCATGGAAATAGACGTAATCAATTATTGCCTTGAAGATGGCTGGCAATCATATTTATACTTTTAGATTACCGACTGAGGAAAACGTATTTCGACATCGAAAAGTTGGCATCAGAGAAGAGTGAAGCAGAGGAAAACGTCAAGGAGATTTACAAGTTTGTTTTATAATTCTATCTCTCCAATCACCACAAATCGATTTCAGAAAAGTTCGTGTTCTTTTCAACTCGATGAAAAATGACCAAAATGGACAACGACGAAAAGTCAGAACGATTCTTTCAAAGTTTAGTGATGATGTTATTGATCAACTCTTCCCTTCAAGACAAGTTATTGATAATGCAAGTATGGAAGAAATAGGGGATTACTGCTCAGAAGCAAAACTTATCAACCTTCACAAGAAGACAATTTACGCGGTGCAAACGTTGAATAACGCCACTGCTCAATGGAAGTGAGTTTTCTTTTAATTAGGATTCGATATAAATAATTTTTCAGAGTTCTGGTGGATCGCGCTTTGTTCCTTGAAAATCTTGCGTTCTCCGAATCCAACGGCTACAATTTGGATCTTGCGAGAAACATATGTGTTCCGGTTGGAGTTCGCCGATTTTGGTACACACGTCTTCAAACGCCATTCTGTCGAGTTCTCGGAGTTGTCACAGTTTTCATGACATTTTTCGTTTTGTTCTCGGAATGTACTTTCTTCGTTGTCTCTTATACCGTTTCCCCAGCAGCTTTCGTCACAGAATATGCATCAAACAGATTCCATTACAAGTACACACAGGTTTGAGTTACTCGTCTTTTCTTTTCAAATAACCCATGATTATCAGTTTGTTGCTTTCGGTATTATCGTCTACTTGATCACCTGTGCGTATTTCACGATTTTCCGACTTCAAATCTACAAATATTATCATCTGGACCCTAATGGACACACCGATGAGAATAGTATTCTGTTCAGTGCTATGTAAAAATTTCCTAATTTTTCCTTAAATAATATTCAAAACTTTCAGACTTCTATGTCGCCTGACCCCACCAATCTGTTTAAACTTCCTCGGAATGATACATATGGATTCTCATGTCTCCATGGCTAAAAGTTTCGGTGTGGAGACACAGTTCACCAAATTGATGGGTCATTTAGACGTTATCCCAATTCTAGCTAAAGGAATCAACATATATTTGCCGATCTGTATCATTTTGCTGTGTGCGATCCACTACTATAGAGTTGGAGCTTACGTTCTTCACAATATCGGATTTGATCAATTTGTGGAGTCTGATGAAATGACAAACGATATGATCAACTCGGGACGATCACTTGTACAAATAGAGCGAAATTCAATCAAGCGGTCAAATGAAAGAAATCAACGGAATCAAAGCTGGACCAATACCATTACAAGTAACACATCTACCACATCAAATGCTGTTAACAAATACAAGCGTTCTCGGAAGAACGAGGAGGAAAGACCAATGCTGGAAGAAGAAGAAGAAATGGAGGAGGTGTCGAGTACCACGCGCATCTCCTTGTCTCCAACGGAACATCCATCGTCTAGCGGCTTCTTCGATGATATGTGAATAATAGATCTCTAACGAATATATGGAAAATTATTTGAAAAATGCTTGTAAATGTGTAATAACTTATTTATTGCTCTTAATAGATTGCCAAATAAAATTGATTAGTTTGTTTGAAATTTTTTATTCCATTTTGAAAAAAGGTTAACAGCCTTTTGAGAACATTTTTCTATTATCAAAACTCAAGATTTCAAAAATGATTGTTCTAGATGGCACTGGCCTCCTCCTCCAACGCAATTCCAATGGAGGAACTATTCGGAAATCCATTCAGACCAAAAAAGGAAAAAGTAGTTGTAGAAGAAAAACCATTTGAGTATAAACCATCAGCATACGTCCAAATGATTGATCAGATGATAGGAATTCGGACGAGACCGTGGAATCCAGAACGGACGCCGATTAAACCGATTCAGATGCTAACACTTCCGGAAATGTCTCGAGAAGAACGATGGATTCAGTGGGGAATGGAAAATTGTGCAGTAAAAGCAACGATCTCAGGAGTTCTTGGAGTGGGAGTTGGTTTCGCTTTCGGTCTGTTCACAGCTTCAGTTGACCCTCAATTATCAATGGTTGGAGGAGATCCTACTAAACAGGTACAGTGAATTAATAGTTTATCGAATTATGGAAAAAGCATCATTTAATCATTAAAAAGGGGGTTTTTGAAAATAAGAAGATTGCTCATAACGTTGTCGTCTGTTTCAAACCATTGCAAAGTGTATTTTCCACAAAAGATCCAATTTAGGCTTCACATAACACTAAACAACTTTTCAACCGACTTCCGTTTTTTACCCCAAAGTTTTTGGCTTTGGTGTAAAAAAGGTTCGGGTGTAACTGGAACGATTCAGTTCAGAAGTACATTGAACACAAACCCTGAAACGAGTGGTAAAATTAGCGATTTTTTTTGAGAGAAAAATTCATTTATTTGATTACTAGCATAATATCTAGACCTTTCAGGTTTTCTAGCTATTTTCAGAGATCCTTTCTCGGTTTTTCCGGTTTTTAGTCTGAAATTTGATGGAACGGTATTCGTGAGATTACTGTAGATTACGGTTTTTGTCTGCATTTTGACGTGATTGTGTTTGCGAAAAAAAAACTACAAAATATTATGCTTGTCTGAGAAAAAAAAGGTTAGAGAGTATTTTTTGCAGTCTGAATACGGTAGCGATATCGAAGCGGAGAGCCTAAATAGCACACAAACGGCGGAGACGCAGACACATTTTCTCTGCGTCTCAACCTTTTTTTTCTCAGACAAGCATAATAGAAGGGCTTCTACAGTAATCTTCGCGAACATCATCCTGACAAAATTCTAACAAAAAATTTGGAAAAATCAAAAAAGAATTATCAAAAATATTAGAAAAGCCTAAAAATATCTAAAATGTTGCAACAAATCGAAGAAAAAATCAATTTTATTCCCTCGAGAATATTCGCTTTTAAGAGAGAATCCAGGCCTTGAAACAAGTGGTAAAAGCCTATTTTCGGAATTATAAAACTTTCTCTGAAATTTCGTCGCCAAGATTCTCAGTTTCAGGGCCTGCATTAAACACTGTCAGGGCTTTCCCGATCAACTTAATACCAATACAAAGTAATTTTTCAGCTGACACTCAAACAAACATGGAAGGAAATGTCGAGTCGAATGAAGTCGTACGGAAAGAACTTTGGATCCATCGGTCTCATGTTCTCTGGCACCGAATGTGCTCTTGAAACGATACGGGCAAAAAGTGATTGGCGCAATGGAACTTATTCTGGAGGAATCGTCGGAGGTCTACTTGGCTTGAGAGCTGGAATTATGCCGGCTGTTTGGGGAGCCGCCGGTTTTGCTGCATTTTCCACTATCATTGATCATTACATGCGAGGCTAGGATATTCATTTTCAAATAGTGGTTTTATGGTTGTTGTTTTTTAGCTGAATTAGTAAATTTTTTCTTTTGTTTCTTTTTGTTGTCCTTTTAAGAATACACCTCTAACAGCTTACTGAAATAATACATGTACACCGATTAATCCCTTTTGATTTTGTTCAATTCTAATACGATGAGAATCGAATCCCAAAATTCCAAGGTTCCCATCATAAATCTGTACGTCGCCTTTGCGTCTACTCCGATGCCCCCCGTTTGCTCCCTCACCCATCATGTCATTTGTCGTTTCCACAATTCAGAAGTTGCTCTTTTCAACAAGTGTCGATTACCTCGAGTGACCCTCATCGGCGGAAAGGTGCAAAGTGGGCTTGTCACTCAAAACAAGCGGATATTTCTCTATCTCCAACGTGTCCGACAAATCGTTTACGATGAGACAAAAGGACACCGCGCAGATTGGCAGCTGTCTTCTATTGTCTCTTTCTTCCGGCATAGTTCACAAGTTGTACAGTATTGCATATTACGCCAATTGAGCCATCAGTAATTGGTCTGTACTACGCCTAGCCACGAGTCAGTTGACTCTTTAGTTGCGCAAGTTTTAATGACTATAAAGGTCCGATAGGTGTGAGACGATGGCCATTGTGTCATCTGGAGAACAGTTGTTTGAATGTGTGATTATGGGAAATTGACCGTGAGTTAATTATACAAGAAATATGGTCATTTATTGGGTCATAAAGAAGATTAATTGATCCATATTATGATAAGGTACTGTAAATAAATAATTTTCAAAAAAAAAACTACTAAAAATATTGCCCGATGTTTCTGAAATGTTCGGATTTGAATTTCCAGATAGATGCTGATCCGTATTTTTTAGTTCAATAAACTTGCAGTTTAGAACATTCATTTTTTGATCAATTAGAAAACCAAGCTGTTTCCAAATCTCATAATTTCAAAGTCAATGTTCAGATTCCAGTTTTGAGATTAATCTGATGATTGTCCAATATGTTTGTTAACATACATACATGTCGCGGGCCGGGTCGGGCCGGTGGAGGATTTTTCATTGGCCCGGTCCGGCTGGCCCGGGTTTTTGAGGCAAAAATGTTTCAAATTGAGAGAAAACGATTTTGGGGAACATTTTATCAAATTTTCTTTTTTCAGCTTTAAGAAGCGTCTTGGGATAAATTTCGTGCTTTGAAATGATTATTTTGACAAAAATGTATCAAAAATCAACAGAAAATTTTTGAAATATTTGGAACCCGGGCCGGCGGGCCGGGCCGGGCCATGCCGGGAGTTAGCAAGTATGTTTGTTAACCTATAAATTCCACTAGTTAATTATTACTCTGATAAAGTGTTAAAGTGTTATTGGAATCCAGTCTGAATATTGCGTAAATGTTATCAGTTTTGTCAGTTTTCGTGTATGCATAAAGATAATAGGATTTTTGAAAAATCATCCGACCACATTTGTGTGTAAACCCACTTATATATTAGGTTGAACCGAAAGTTTCTTTCTTTTTTGGCAACATTTTTGATAAAATTTTTCTCAAAGCCAAGGGGGCTTGATCAATGAAAGCAACGTCCATAAACATCGATAGTTGTCTGGCAACGCTCCGGTAATTTCTTGATTCCATCGGTCCAGAACGACGAGGGCTGTGCTTGAAAAGGCGAGGGAACTCCTTTTCAGTGTCATCTTTTCAATTGAAGTATTTTCTACCAAGATGACGTTTAAGAGCTCCAAACGACCACTTATCCAAAAGGGCAAGACCTGGAGTATACGTCGGGTGCAAAAGAATAGTCCAGCCAAACGATATGAATTTTTGGTTGATCCCTCTAGCCACGGGTGATCTCGCATTGTCTCGCTGGAAGAGAACATTGGTTTTTTCTCCTCGTTTTGATTTGACTGCCAAATTCAATTTCTTTAACTTGGAACTGTACAAGGCGGCAGTTATAGTGGTACCTTCATCTAAAAGTTCACTGTCTCCATTTTTTTTTTGAAAGACTACCAAACACATAGCATACCCTTTTTCACGTAAAATTCAGGTTTCGGTAAACCCAGAGCTAGCTCTTCTTTGTCAATCAACTGACCCTTCAGCACATTGATAGAGTAACTTACCCACTTCTTAACTACGCTAATTAGATCACCTAGACAACGGAACGTATCAAGAAATGATAGGAGAAACATGCTCATGTCTACACGGCGATTCATTTCGTAGTCTTTTAAAACATGGGGTATGAATCAACCGAACTTTTCACTTCGCCAAGAAAATTCAATTTTTTTCACAATACTTGTTTGACTAACGGACAATGTCTTTGACATTTTACAAGTTGTTTGAAATAGATACGCCTTCACGGCTTTAAGCAATTGATCGAAATCCAACTCACTGGGCCTTTGACAACTTTCAAGCTGAGCTCCCCCGGGCGGAATGTTTCGAGCCAAACGCAAGTTGTAGACGATGACGGAACATGTCCTTTATATACATGTACAATTTATTTGCTAATATCAGGCGTTTGAAGACCGAATAAAAATAAAATAGAATCATGCTGTGAATGTACAGTCGGATGTCGGTCCAAATGAATCGTCATTTCTCCAACAGCAAGGGAGAAAAAATTTACAAATCTACGATCTAATAGACACTGAACATAGCGCTCCAACAAAAAAAAACTGGCCGCTAAACCACTTGGAAGACCAGATATGGAGCCTCAAAAAGAACACTGCGAAAAAGAAAGAAACTTTCGGTTCAACCTAATATAAAACGCTAGAGGCGTCTGTCCGTCCCGATGTCAGTCTGTCAACTTTTGAAAAGCTTGAAAAAGGGGGGCCCATGAGAAAAGGGGGCCCAAGCGAAAAGGGGGGGGGGCCGATGAGAATAGGGTGGGCCCAAGTCAAAAGGGGGGGGGCCCATAGGTAAAAATGTGGACTAAGTTAAGATTTACCAATTTTTCTAGTTTTCTGAACGTTTCCATTGAAATTTCGAGCTTTGAACACTTTTCATAATTTTTTGAAAATTTCAGTTTATGTCATTTTTTGCATATTTTTTGACTATTTTTTTGTTGCTAAGCCTGGCACAAATCTGAAACTAGCTGAATAACTTCAAAGTACACAGTTTCAATGGAAAAAATAGTGTTGTTCATACAAAAAAACCGGCCTAAACTGAAATTTTTTGAAGTGACAAATTTTTGTGGAAACAAGCGCAAAGTACTAAATTGTTATAGAAACATTCGAAAAACTAGAAAAAATTGGTAAATCTTAACTTAGTCCACATTTTTACCTATGCCCCCCCCCCCTTTTGACTTGGGCCCACCCTATTCTCATCGGCCCCCCCCTTTTCGCTTGGGCCCCCCTTTTCTCATGGGCCCCCCTTGTCATAAAGAGCCAATTATTCTTAGAGGATTACCAGCTTGCTGGTTGTACATAAATACGGATATAATTTGTCAATTTTCCCTAAACGCACAAAAAATAAAACCGGAAAATAAAATTATGTTTAGGTTACGGTGGTTGTCGTTCTGAGACCATTCGGCCGCGGCCAATAGTACATTCCTCAACTCGAAAATCTAAAACACTGTATAGCTGTAAAATCATGCTTCTCCTCCTGTAGTACCGATTTTTTTGATGTACAGTATCTGGAAATCATCTGAAATTATTTGAAAATCAAAGTATTTGTGATGTTTGAGCTCATCTGGCGGAAAAAAACTAGTGGAGTGTTTTTTTGATATCATCATGTGTTCATTGAAGTTCCACTAATTACAGAAGGACCTCCAGGAATCAAAACATTTGTTTCTATCATTATGATCATACAACGGATTACGGTAGTCACCACTGTTCAACTTCTCGTTGTTACTTTTTCTAATGGATCAATCTCCCAGGTTACCATGGCAACGGTTTCTTAAAAGTCCTTTTCACAGAATCTAAATAAATCAGACCCTCCGTCCAATCCTCTAATAAAACATCAATTGTTATTCTAAAACCCGTCGCCACTGACATATCACTTCTGTATCGTCGTCGTATTTCTATCCTCCTTCTTCTCCGTTTCGATTCTTCATCTTCTTAATAAATCGGTTCTTTTTCCGTCCGCTTCACTGAACACCGTATTCCAGAGCTGATTGTATCGGAGGTCCGGCCCCAACCAACAGTATGAACCTCTTCTTCAGATCCTCGTCGGGGTCCAACCTACTCCACTGATTAAAATCATCACGCGGGTGGGGGCGCCGTTGTCTTCTTTACATCCTCTTCCTTCATTTTTTGACATCTATGCATAGTGTCAGTTACAGTATGACTCGAGAAAAATAAATGGAAGACCATGATGGAAGAATATATGTCGCTGGGCGGGGCCTCTCTCCCTCTCACCGTAACACAAATATTTGCATTCGAAAATATGTTGTGACAAGAAATAAGAAATAAGACGAAAAGGCGAAGATGTAGTGGTGAAGAAGTTGCGAAAACGCGATATCGGATCGCAATTTGAAAGCGATGACGCTAATTTAATTAGTGTGGCCTATGATCTGGTTGAGTGGAAGAAGTTTCACTCTGTTTGTTGTTTTTGATTCATTGTGAGACGACCCCCCGACACCCATACAGTTGAGGAGAAGCTGGAAAAAACGAGACGCAGAGGAAGATTACTGTAGAAGACAAGGAAAAAACTTGAGAATGTTTGTGTAAGTGGGAAGAAGATGTGAAGAAAACAACTAATTGTTTTTAGAACTACCATTTTTTCGAGAAACACGCTTTTTGATTGGGTTGTTGTAAGATCATGTGCCCTTCAAGAAGAGTTTGGAACTAGTTAAATTCTAATTTCATTTGGGAGTTTCATGCAAGTTATTAGAGCACTAAATATCTGGAATGTGTAAAAACTGATCCAATGAAAGTCACCAACCAACGGACTACCAAACTTTGGAAGCCGAGGAAAAACCACAAACTTTCCGATTTCGAGAATTTTTTCAGGATTTTCAGTTTCAACAATAGACAAAATGGAAAAATTTTGATTCCGTAATTTCTAATTTTTTTAAATTACCGTTTTCCCTCTAATAGAAGCCAACCCAAACCGTCAATTTTGAGCTTAATTATCACGATTTCTGTGATAGATATCAAAAATTTGTCAACTAATAAATTATTTATCGTAATATCACTACTATTTTATCAGTTCACAAATTTTTGATATCCTCCACAAGAATTTGTAATTGAGCTCAAAGATGACGTTTTGGGTATGCTTCTATTAAAGGAAATATATATTTTTTCTATTTTGCAGGATTGAAACATGTGGTGTTCTGAACACTTTTATATGCTCATACATTGTTCAGATTCATGGGATTTATTTCAAAAATGAATAAAAAGCATTTGAATTTTTTTTTCCATTTCTCTCAATACTTCTTTACCCAAGTAATACATTGACCACCCCAAAGCTAGAAACAATGTGTGTTAAAACAGACAAACATACATTCTACTACTACTGTAACTGATAACAAATTTCCTCAAACAAATTCCCTTTCCTCGTACTCATTTACAATCTATTCCTGCCACTGATTACCCACATTTTCCTTACCCAACCCCTTATTTTATTCGTCCTTCTCAACAGATTTATGTTTGCCCTTATGGTTAGAGGTGTTACTAGTTTATATGTTTTTTCGGGTCGATTATATAACAAGATGGTATTCAAATGCTCGTTGCGTCACACTGCTCACTTGCCAACTACCTCTTGTCCTTGATGTCTGTCGTCTCTTTATTTCGTATACTATCTCACCACTCCATATCAGATATTCGTGCAACTTCAGAGTTGCGCCACCTCGAACGACTTGTGTACATCGCACCTTATAATTTGCGGATTAGCCGACGCTGCCTCTTGGGCACATCATCATTGCCCATTTGTATGAAAATACCCTTTGTGTCGGCTAGTTCTTTCGCCGGTACTTGGATCGACAAGATACAGTACCCATGAGGGTATTATGTATTGTGCTCAATGTACTTGAATTAATCCCAACTGGTCCTTCCTCATTTGCAGGTGACACTTTCCCATTATTCTGAACGAGGATGGACAAAGTTTTCAAACAAAAGGAAGTAGATAATTATGAGTTCGAGCAGAGTCATCCCATCTAAATTGACATGTTCCCCGAAGATGTCAACAAACGATAACCAAGTTTGTATTCGTATATTTTTATATGGTAGTAGTGATTTCAAATTCAAACCGAAACCTAATCGGGGTTGTCACAATGTGCCACATGTCAAACCGTTTCGGGGCGCGGATAGGTGGCATTCGGGTTAGAACCTTTTTGTCTCGATAATTGAATTTGACGTGGCAAATTGATGAATGGATATGATAAGGAAACAGATGATGAGAGGAAGGGTGTGATCACAACAAATAGGGTTTCCGATTCTTGTATAGTTTTTGAATGTCAGTAGGAATTAGGAAGATGAATCAGATGAGAAAATTTTGAACTGGGAGTTTTATGGTGGATTGTGAGGATAAAGCATGAAGGTTCAAAAATCCAAGATCCAAAAGATACCGTAACCACATTTATATAATAATCTAAACAATGATACAACTAGCTTCAAAAGTTCTATACTCTTCACAATTAGATAAACAAGAAAGTTCTCTGGATCTATCATTTGGGTTACAGTAGACACTTTTTCATGCTATAGATAGTTTCGATTTCTTGATTTCTAAATTCTAATCAAGATTTTTTGACCCCTCTTCCGCGGTTTCTGTATTAGTAGTGTGCCTAATATATTTGCAGAATTAAGTACACCCAATACCCTTCGGTTTTTATCATGTGTTATCAGTAGTGCCTAGTCTTAATTTTGATCGGCTCTGAAGCTTCTGTCGGTCTCCTTTCATCTTACTGTTTACATCCATTTCCCAATTCACTAATACCTTTTCATGATTTATTTTTTGAGTTATGATGTCATCATGTGGACAAAAAGGAATTTCATCAAGAAGGAAAACTGAAAATTTTGAGAGTGCAATTATATTATAGAAATGGATAAATAGATTGCACGATTTGAGATCTATTGGCAACGAAGCGTAGAATGCTGAAAGGGATGGGCGCGGATGGGTGGAGAAACTGAAGGAATGGAAAAAAGACTAGAAGAGATTAAAACAGAATGGTGACCAAGAAAAAATACACAGACAAAAATTAGTTATTAAGATATAGATAATCGAATCAAAATCACTCGGATCTCGGTGAAGTTCCATTCTCATTGGGGGACGAATTCAATGAGGATCTCTTCTGACTTGAATTAGAAGGAGAATCACTTGGCATGGCTCTAGCAGCCATCATGGATAAAAGTTTTTGACTATCGATTGGGGGAGGAAGGTAGAATGCAGGCATGTTTCGAGGGTTCATCGGATGAGGTGGAGCCATCATTGGAATTGTTGGTATTGGATACATCATACGGGGAGGGAGGACCATTCCTGGGGGCATAAATGAAGGGTAAGGCATCGTATTGTGGGGTAGCACCGGATAGTCATCGGACGTCTTTTTGAATCTGGAAAAAATGAACTTGTATATATAAATTTCGGGATAAGAATATTTAATTTTTACTTCGAATTAATCAGTTTTCTTCACCCCGAAAATCTACTTTATGAAACTCCCAAAACCATCAAATCTTCAAAGTTTATGTTTAAGTGACCTCAAAACGAAAACGTTCTTATTTTCCCAAGGCTTTCCCCCGGGGGTGCGATTAATGACAACAAATTGGTGACAAATTATCGAAACAACTGTCTTCGTCGTTTCTCTTGCCGCTGTCGTTATGTGTGCTCACAAAGCTCTCACCACTACCTCAGGTTGTAATACTTTCATTCAGAATTCCCCCTGATTTCCTCACCTCTTCCTTCTTCGCAAAAACGATCCATTGTCAAACATGTCTTCACTGTTTGGATCCAGTGTCCAATAGTTTCCTTTTCCTGGATTTCCTGGTCCCCGTGGCACTTTTACGAAGCAATCATTGAGACTCAAATTGTGTCGAATCGAGTTTTGCCACGCTGGGAACTTTTCCTTGTAGTACTCGAAGCGGTTCATGATGTAATCGCAAATCTCAGAGAGCGTCAGTTTCTTCTCGGGTGAATTGATAATTGACATTGAAATGAGAGCAATGTAGGAGAACGGTGGTTTCGAGTGGCTACTTTTTCGGTGGCCAGACATAGAGGTAGGTCTGAAAAATATTATTTTGTTGTTTTCGTTGGGGATGAGATGAGCTTTGAACTAGAAAAAAAGAATAAGTAAAGTCAAATGGTCAGATAAAATCAAAAATCGAAGTGCATGATTTTCTTGAATACCTTACTCTCGACCGCAAATTATGAGTAGAAGGGATTATAATAACGGACAAAGTTTAATTGTAGAATTAGATTGGAAGTTGTAAAATGAAGTTTTGGAGTTTTGAAAAAGAGGAATTTCAGAAATTTGTGGTGAACTCAATTGGATTTTAATTTTAAAAGTTACGGTACTGTGAATATTCAAATTGCTCAACTAGTCTGGTTGAATTTAACAATTCGTTTGATAATTTATCTTACAAAAGATATGAACTTTGTCTAAATTGATTTATTTCAGTTATTAAATGTATACTAATAGGAAGACGAACTTCAGTATGATGATTCATTTGAATATGCTTCCGACTATATTTTCTTCATATTTTCCCCCAAATAAATGTAATTTTGCATTACTTACGGAACAGATGAATCTTCATCGTCGTCATCTTCTTCTTTCTCATCTTTCCCACTCTGATCATCTGAAGAACTTTCGGCAGTGGTAGAAGTCGAATTATTCCTTTTAGCTGATTTCCTGACAGGCTCATCATCATCTTCGGCTGGATCATCTCCCAGAGACCTACTCCTCTTTCTACTTTCAGCTTCAACCTTCACCAAATTGTCTTCTGAAGACGTCGATGGCTCCGAAAGCCTAGTATTGCTCCGTGGAGGTGTCCCTTCTTCGTTGGTGGTGATTTCTGGATCCAACTTTGGCGGAAGTTCCAAGTCTTTTTTAGGCTTGGAAGATAGTATAGATTCCATTGAGAATAGCATTATTGGCTATCTCTTTGTCTGTAAAAAAAGGAAAGTTTGTTTAAAAACTGGTTGTAAAATGGAAAAAAAACGGAGTGGAAAAGATAAGCAAGACTAATATTTTTATAACGTTATCAAAATTATGAATTTCGAATTTTCAAATTAGGAGTTGAAATTAATGACACCGTGATAGATAGATGGATGGGATGATGATATGAATTATCAAAATTTTATAATCGGATAGAAAATTACGGTAGATGGAAACAAGAATGCGAAGACGACGAAAAAGCAGAAAAATAGAAAAGAAAGATGATCAGGGATGAGTGCGGAGCACTTGAACTTCGGGATACTGTAGGAATATTAAAGGAGAGGACCAGCTGATCATATGCATTGTTTGGGGAAACATTGAAACATATTAATGATTCTGAAGAGTGTGAATTAGAGACACTATTAGCGATTATCGTAATACGGGAGAAAGAGAGAAGATGAGAGAAATGGAAGACAAGTGGCGTTCGAAAAAAGGTTTGGTTGAAAAACAAGAGTTGAAAAGAAAACAGAAATTGTATCTCCAATATCAGTTATCTTAGTTAACACAAACAACATATCAAATGTCATGATCCGTTGGAGGATGGGGCTCGTTGAGCTTAGAAATGATGAAAGAAATGTGTTAGTTGGTGAAGAACAATTGAAAAACGATTGAGTTGGAAGAGGATGTTGGAGAGGTATACTGTAGATTTATGATGGAGGACAAGACACATGTTGAGCAAGTTTTTTTTTCGGGCTGTGTGGAAAAGAGTCGAATTCTTGGGAGACGAGTTGTAAATTGATGAGTGAGAGGAAGTGGGAAACTGGGAGGTGCAAGTTACAGTATCCCTAGGAGGTCAGCAGAAAAGGGTTTAAGTATATTTGAGGAATAGATCACCAGCTCAAATCAGAGAGTTATCCGTAATACACTATCAAATTATCATTTAAAGAATTATAAACATAAAACTAGGTCCCAAAAAGGCCGTGACCGTTCAGGTAACCCATACCTAAATACAACCCATGTGTGTCAGGATCTTCCATAATATTAGTTTTCGGGTCCACCTCCTACTTCTCTTCCGTTTTCGTGTCACTCATCGAAAAAAGAGCGCGGATGAATATCACAAAAGCGACAGTTGGTAATTGGCCGACTCCGCCTACTCGGCCTCTTCCACCCGGGGCTCCGCCCACGCGTCGCCTGAGACTCATCACCAGTGACACGATCGAGAGACGAAGAAGGAAGAGAGAAACAGATACATAGGACTAATATATTTTATCACTATAATGTTGATGATGATGATCCGATCATCAGTGACTACCAAATTCTGATCGGGGGACCCGGTCTGATTACTCAATTTTCAAATATATACCAATTCCGGGTGGCATTCTAACCTGGCATTCTGTTTTTATCTGATTAAGATTGATGTGAAAAGGAAGTGTCGGCTGGGATAGATAAATGAGGGAATAATTAGGTAACACATACTCGCCGCGTATCATCATAAAAAAGTCCAAACACTTATCAATTTCATTATCAGTAGAGGTCAAGTCAGACGAATAAACAGGCTATCTGGAGCCGACGTGTTTGAGGGTAACATGGCAAAGTATAATAACTTATGAGGTTAGGCAACAATTATGTTCATACTTGATGTTCTTATGGTTTTGATGTGTCGTCGGTGAGTATGAGGTATTTGAGATAAAACAATTGAGATAGTTTCCGGTATGGGAACAAAGTCGTCCGACGAGTGTCTTCGATTCAAGAAGGGGACTGATCGAAGAGCCGATGACTCAAAGAGTTTAGTTTCATGAATCGAGTTAATATTAATGCAGAAAGTATGAAACTGAATTTCCCGAAAGGAGTTCTATGAATTTTTGTGGCTGGAAGCTCTATGGAAAAGTTTTGCCGTCGTTATGTTATGAGCAGTTTTCTATAAAATACCGTTAAATCTGTAATAGAAGGGCCTCTTAACTTTTAACTTTGAGCCAATTTATCTCGATTCCTGGGAAATATATAAAAACGTTGTCAACTGATAAATTGTTTATCATAATATCACAAACATTTTTTAGCTTACACATTTTTATATCTCTCGTAGGAGCCAAGATAATTGAGCTCAAATTTTACAGTGGTGGCCTTCAAGTAAAGAATTCACGGTTTACCAAAAATGTCTAAAAGAAGTAAACTGGAAAAACAAGTTGAATTCCTTGAAATTAAATTATTCATTAAAAAATTATATTTTCTAGTCTGAATTGACTGGATACTGTTTTTTTCTTTGGTTCATGTCAAGACCTAGAATAAAACATTGAGAATACGATATAATTTTCAATTCCTCGTTATTTCCATAAATTGAAAAATAGCTAATAGAACCATTTTTAATTTCACATTTTTAAGGAGCTTATGCTCATAAAATTTTGAATTTTATCCCCTAGAAATTTACCTGACGCCTCTCTCCAACATTTAAATTCCCCCCCCCCCCCAAACTACTGAAAACAAACAGTGAAACAAAAAAGACAATTAACAATTAGTGCCCCTCCCCAAAAAAAGAAATGGGTTCTCTTCTCTTTTCGGGACTGGAATAATGATATGTCGTCAACGAGTATTGGGTTCTCAAAATAAGGAGATGAGACTATAAATTTGGACTGTCTCGGGTTCCTTCTACTCCTTCTTTTAACAGTTTATTGTAATTGCACCTGAAGGGGAAAAAAAAGTATTGGGAAACTTTTTGGAAACCGGACAGGGAAAAGAAAACGTTTTGATAGCAAGACAAGGAAAAGCAAAAAGGAGCAGAGTGACATGTGTCGGGGATCTTCAAGAGGTTGGAAACAGGTCAAACAATCAGAAATTCTTCTGGAAGTATCGGGGAAAAAGATTGTTAGACGGGTAGGATTGGCTCTGGTTTTTATAGAAGATAGGATATTACATAACAATTTTTTCGAAAAGTAATCAACACCTCCGAGGTTGAATAATAACATGAATGTGTCTAGGCAATCAGACCACTAAGCCGAAAAAATTCGTATTGTTTTAATGAAATTCCGAATACTAGAGCATTGATCATTTTAGAATAAAAATAGCAAATGCAATAGAGAATACAGTGACCCTAGAAAAAATAACTCCTTATGAGCGCAACAATTCTTTGGGATTCTAGACCTCTACTGAACCTACAACATAAAAAACTGATTGAAAGATACAGTATCCAAGTATTCTGAAATTTCGAGAAGTGACAAAAACCTACAGTTTCTCCTAATATGAATAACCAGTTTTCTCTCCTTCCTAAATATGTCAAACTTCTTCAGACACCAATACCAAAATATCAGCAAATAACCAAAAGATTTACAAGGCCATAAACACGTAGGTAACCTCCTACTGCTTGGTTTATGGCCGCGAAACCTCTTTTGTAACCTTTAGGTCTAAAGGCATAAAAACTTTCTTTTAGTTTCTTTTACCTGGAGCCGTAGTCATAATGCGGGAAAAGGTACATCAGAAGTAGGCGGGAAAATAAAGATAAAGTAGGTCGGCATCCGTTTGTGCAAACTTTAACTGCTCATCCTTTCACTTCGGATGACTCCTTCTCTCTACCGGCTCGCTCTGACAAGCAGGTGTCACTAAAACATGTTCGGAGTGGTGTCTCGCGACCACAATAAGCAGCGAAAATGATGAAGAAGCACTTCGGGGTGGGGAGGCGCCAAAATCGATCCATCTTCATTTCAAGTGCCGGGTGCCCGGTTATCTGCGACATAATCTTAAATGGTTGAGGAGGAGGTCTTCATGAAGAAACATAGGTACAACACAAAAACGCCAAGTTTCACAACGATGCGCTGACACGATACCGTCTTTTAACTTGCCGCGACCCTCCCCACACTATTCTATTTTTCCATTCAGTGTCCACAAAAAGATATTTCGGGCTAATTGTCGCGTGGTTTACAGGCTCCTTCTGAAAAAATAGAATCCGATAATTGGTCTTCACAGGCGACATCTGTCAGAAATGGAGACTTCCCGGAGGAAAAGTTTCGACCGAAAGTGTGTCTCTCTATTGAGTGGGGATTATGTAATAACACGAGCCGCCATCACCGGCATCATCTGAGTTTCGGCAAGAAGTTTTGTGATGACAGAATAATTGTTTCTCTTTGATCAAGTCGCCTGGTTACCGCTAAGAAATCTTTAAGCCGATCAGTTTTCTCGTGGGATCGGTTGAGAACACGAGGGAAACGGTACCGGAAGGAGAGAAGATGTCAAACCGTTTACACTGTTCGGGGGAGAGGGGAGAAGGTGAAATATGTAAAAGGCGATAAATCACACAAAGTGTTGAAATGTTGAAAAGCGAGATAGCGAAAAATAGCCATGCGCGGAAATTAGAGGTAGATTGGAATCTTTTTGTGGGATTGAAAGCTGTGAAGTTTTTATGGCCTAAATATTATGTCAGAAAATAGAACAGTGTGTATGAACAGTGATATGATAATGAGTATTCTTTGAATTTGGGGATTTCAACATCCAGTCCGAGCACGTACCGTAACCTTTTATGTTTGAAGCTTCCACCTCTCACTTCTCTCGATCACACTACCCCTCGATCACTCTATTCTTCTTCTTGTTTTCAAAACATTTTCTTTCGTCCAATTAGATCCTACTTCACTTCCGAAATGAAACATCATGAAACACGGCTCTTAACACAATACATAGCACATGTGCACTTCTTTTTCCTAACAACTTCGTTTTTCTTTCCCTCCCAATCACATTCATCTCAATCCGTCTCGTCTATCATCACCAACCGGGATCAATTGAAATTTGTTGTCCTACTGTAGGTGCAACAACTGGCACGTCATCATCGATCCTCATCGGGCGGGCGGGGTGTTTGTTGATCCAAACGCTTGTAAAAACGGCTGTCAGCAAGATGCTCCGGGGAGGTCTTGGAGCACGTAGAAGAAGATGAATTGGAAGTTGGGAGGAGAAGTGAAAGTACGGAAGTACTGATGATGATGGAGAGGGGTATCTATGGAGTGAAGTATAGGAT